TCTCAAGGGTTGCCTAAATCGGTTAGAGCCCCACACATCGGTCTTTCAAATGACGCCGATGGACGATCTCTTTCTGTGGGCCATGGCCCATGGCCGTGACTATGAGGCCAGACTGGATAATGATTTAAGAGCTGGCTGGACTGGAGTTACGTGTCTACTGTTCTGACGAAAGATGGCATTCTCAGATAGAGGAAGCGTTGCATAGAAGAATGAAGGAGAATATAGCTAAAGTACCTATCCTCTCGGCATATCCTGCATCCTTGTGGAAAGGAAAGTGGAGGAAAAAAGAAACCAAAAAATATGATCTAGCTCACCAGCCGTGCAGCGGAAGCGTCGACCAGTCCGTTAGCTTATTGATCTGGGCCCACGGATTATTTTTCCTCGGTTTAGAGGGGAAGGTAGGCCCTGCGAAGTATTAAAAGTAAAACGTCTTAGGAACGAAGGGCAAAGATCCTGGAATAGCTGATCTTTTATAAATAGTAGTGATAGTACGGAGTAGACACAAGCATGACACGCTGTCAATCATGCGGTATACTTGATAATAAAGACAATGATACTAATAAAGTTACTCTAATAGATTGAACAAGGCTAAGTAACAAAATGACAGACACGATCATACAACGTTAGGTAGGGATGACCCTGCAAGTCCGAGAGCCATCGGCGGCCACTTAACTTCCTGGCCCGAACTGTCTACCTACCTTACTGCCTAGTCCCTTTAGTGTAACAGTTCTGTCAACATCAAATATCCGCTTGGTGCTGGGTGGGACGCCAATTCCAGGCTTTATGATTAATTACGGACTAGGTACGGAGTAGTTATGTAGGCGCATCCAATGATCCTTACACCAATGGTAAGAGGTAGTTCTACTAGTAGTCTAGAGATCATCGTGGTATATTGTCTGTCTCATCACGATTATATGCATGCACTGAAAGTCTGAAACTGAAGATCAGCAAAAAACAAAGACAAAGGGCCCTAGAGAGCTACTGGGTCTTTATTTGTGCCTTGAATAATAAGAAATTTTATGATCCTGCGTGATTTCATTTCGCCCTATCCTGGGCAATCCAGGCAGGAAGAAACTAAGAGACTAAAGACTGATAGCTCCAAAGTAAGTTTGAGTATTCCCGTCGCCATCAAGCATATCTAGTCTAGTCTAGCTACTATCTAGGTAGGTAGATAATTTGGCCCATGGATCATGTAACCACCGGCATCCGGCCCATTGATATTATTATTATTATCAAATCTTCGATGATGGATATGAGAGCATAGTCTTCCTTGCTTCTTTCTGTTCATATGACATTATTTCCTCGTCATTAGCTTGATTTAACAACCCTGCCATCGATTGACTCTCCATTCAATACCCTGTCGTACTACCTAACCTTCATAGGTACAATTGCTACCTTAGTTGCTACTGCACTGTACTGGCCTACTAACTCCCAATTTCCACCATCACCGCCATCGCGACTCTCATCCGGTCAACCATCCATCATCTTGTTCATTTGAACCATCCATCAATCCTTCCCATCCTTCTTTTCTCATTCTTCCTTGCAAATACCTATAAGATCCAAAATTTCATCGTTACAGAGACTTGGCTGTTAATTACATCTAATCGCTTTGTCGCACGGCCTTGGACCCCTCTTCTTTTTTTTTGGCGCCACTGCATTCCACCTCGTCCCTCCGTGTCTTTCCAAGGTTCTTCTAACTTCCGGATGGTGCTTTTCGCCTGGGTTCACCTTCAGAGGCTGCCTCAACCTGCCAGCGAATCTACCCATAGCTTATGCCGGCATCCCGGACTCTGATCCGCGTTGCTCCCTGGATGCAATCCGGCTGGCCACAACCATGGCGCGTTCACTCGACACGGCCCAAACCCCCTTGAGCGGCTATTTTCCGGGCAACATGCATTTCCAGGACCCAAATCAGATCCCTGCTTATTCTATCTTCGGTGCTAGCCAGTATCCCGACAGTGTAGCTTTTTGGCACAATCTGCCCCCACAACCCCCGCAGCCTGGCATTCCTGCGGCGGCAACGCCATATTCCTCTACTCCGCCCAAACAACACCACCAGCCGCCATTGTTGCAACCTGTCTCCGATCAGAAAAAGCACAAGCGCACCAGAAGCGGTTGCTTCACCTGCCGCTCCCGTCGCATCAAATGCGACGAGGCCCGTCCGGTCTGTGAGAGATGTCGGAAAGGTAATCGCGACTGTGTCTATCCGTCGCCCACTGCGACTGGTACTTCATCCAAGGCAGCGTCGCGGTTTGGAACCAAGGCCAGAGCCCAACGCCCGCCATCGCAAGGAAGTGACTCTTCGGGCCATGTTGGAGCGGATGAGTTTCACGCGCTGGAGCCGATTCTCGACGAGGAAGAGGTGGACGAAGGCAGCGTGGAATCGGCAACTCTCCTGTCTCCCTCCACAACATCACTGCCAGCCCGTGTCAAGCCGGGCCCGGCTACAAAGCAAAGCATGCAGTCTCTGGGGAAGCGCAGGACGAAGCAAACAGCTCCAGAAGCGACACCCTCCAACACAGAAGGCAGTTCACCCTCCACTGAAGCTTCCTCTAGATTCGAATCTATGAGTGCGCGGTCGGCCAGTGTCGGACTGTCCAATCAAGAACCTCTTTGCGCCGACAACTTCTCACATCTGCCAGAAGATTTGCGATCTTACCTTATTTTTCATCAAGAGTACATGACGTATCGTCATTATTTTATGAGGCCGTCTTCCGATCAGTTTGTTCATCACAGCATCATCAAATTTGCCCTGCAATACGAGCCGCTTCTCTATGCGATCGTCGGTTTCTCTGCTTACCACCATTCCGTACATAGCGGCACGGGGAAACTCTATACCTTTCTTCGGTACTACGACAAGGCCTTGAAGTTGTTGCGGAAATCTTTGGCATCGGGAGAGCCGCATTCTGAAGCAACGCTCATTACCGTCCTTGCGCTTACGACTTTCGAGGTATGAAACTTGAACTGCCCCGCTTGCTCTCTATTGTCGCCTTCGGACCTGGTTCGTCCCAACGCTCACTGAGTATAGGAATTCATAGGCGACTGGGTGAATCTCATCGACCATCATCAAGCCGCTCATTCGTTGATGCGCGAACTCCTAACTCCAGAGTCCGTCAAATACAACGAACTTCATGCGAATATATTCCTTTGGTACGCTCGATTCGACCTGGTCGCTGGGATATTGGCCGGAAACGAGGCGATTCTGGGCCGTGAGTGGTACGTTGCTGGAGAAGAACATGACGCCGAACAAGCCGCCAATTTCCCAGAAGACCCGGAGAAGCAGCTCGCATTGGCCGGGTCCATAAATCGCCGATTCGGACTAGAGATGGCCTCTCTGTATGCAAAACTCTCTCGCGGAATGATCCCGATCGAGGAGTTTATTTGTCAAAACGAGCAGCTCGACCAGCTATTGGAGAAGATGAAGAGCATCCTGGAAACACTCACAGATCCAGAGTACAGGGTCACAAGCTTTCCAAATCAAAAACCCTTGACGGAAGATGATTTCGTCGACCCTTACGTTCCTGGCTGTCTGCATGTCGGCCCATTATGGGAGGTTAATTTTGCTTGGATTGACTACCTGTCAACAAAAGCAATGTTCAAGTACCAATCCTTACTGTCCGTTCGCCAATCGTCAATGGCGGAACTGGAACATTTGGCTCTAGAGCAGTGCCGAATAATGGAGACAATCGAAAGGTGGCCCGACAAGGAGAACGGTTACATGTTTGCATTCAAGCACAGCATCGGAATGGCGAGCATGTTTCTGCCAAGGGATCATAAACATGTCATGTGGGCCCGAAGAAAATTCGCGCTGATGGAGCAGAACGGGTAAGTATTCTTTCTCTCTTCTTTGCATTTTTGACCTCATTGCGCGGTGTGCAATATGTTCCTGGCCGGCATAGCTAAAAACGTGGTTTTACAGCTACATCACGCCCCCCAAGTTCCGTGCAGGCATGGCAGCCCTTTGGCAATTGCCCGAGATCAACCACTGGTGGCTACCAAATGAGGAAGGATACCCGAGATCATCCGCGAGGTTCGCTCGATGACTGAAGAAAGAACAACACATGCACGAGACAACTTTCGGGAAAACGTACGCGACATGAGAACCATCTTCTGGAAACTTAGCTTGGATGACACCGAAAGCGAGACTAGCCCGTCTTCTGCTGGTTTGGAAGCTTCTCGATCATGATATGGCAACTGAGTCCTTGCATATGCTTTTCGCTTAACCGAGCTTCACGATACGTCGTGAAGAAGAGGCCATAGACTCTTGACAGACTCGTCTCAATGCTTTCTGAATGATCGGGTCAGATTTTTACGCCTCTGTTACGCGTTACCTTCGAGCTGTTGCGCTGGATATGCATGAGCTTAACCTGCATGCCTTTTTCATTTACTTCTTCCGAACGACCTCTTCATCGATCTTCTGCCTCATTCGACCAACATCATGATATCACACCCTTCCTCGTTTTGACACCTATTCTTGGTTACTTCCATGTGCCTGTTCAGCCTATATACCCTCGTATTTTTTGTACCTGATTTTTTCCTGCTCTACTGAATTGTCTATATCAACAGCATGGGAGGGGAGCATAAAACACAAATACCCGTTTATACCTGGAGTTGCTACAAGGGTTGGCTGGGATTTCATACAAACGGCATTTTACCCTATACGTCATATCCATGCATTTGTATACAAACTCCGCTATGATCGCTGCGCAATAACAATAGACGCTCTACAATCTGTTGAGAGATAACTACTTGATCTCTCAACCCTGTCAAGGTGTTCGATACAAGCTGAATCGGTCTAAGATCTAGCGCATACGACCATAGCGTGTGGAAAACAGGGCTTCCCGTCCGCTCAGCCGTACTTAAGCCACATATTGAATGCAGTCAATTCTTAAGAAGCCATATTCTCCTAAAGCAGTGACCTTATAATTTAGTACGGGCGCTGGTAATGTCAACAAATCTGCATTAAAATATATGGATATCATTAGGAGGGATTTAAATCAATTCTGGTACCGTGGCCCGCCAACGAGTCCTGGAGAGCTTGAAGTAGACTAGATGGGCAAGAGAATCAGTCCCAAACTATTGCAAATATCTGCCTATCTGACGCAAACGACAACAAGGATCGGAATGACATCATATTAGGCTCGAGCAGGTGTCGCACTCCTCAGCACATCCGTATAATAATAATACCTTCCAATCAACCGGAGGTGGATTGCAGCTTTAGTCCTTCATTCCTTGGATGTTCCTTTCTGTTTGGAGGATTTTTTCTTACGTCTATATTCCTCCACCAGCCGTGCCTCTTCCACGTCTGTGTCTTCCTTGTCGGTTTCGTATGCTTTCAGGTGCTCCGGGATCTCTTCATACTTTGCATCACGGTCGTATAGTTCCCACATTTGCTGGGTAATCTCTTCTGGAACATCGTAGTTAATGCGGAATAGATGGCCATCTATGCACAGGCCATCCGGCGCGACAGATGGTATGCCCGGGGCTTCATCACTAGGTTGGGACAAGTTGTCTTTAGTGGCCATCGCGAGGGTTATCTTTGGTGGGAAGAGAAATAATAACGTCTTTTGGAATATCAGATCTTGTTTTGCTCTCTAGGCTCATTATTCCAGAGGGGTCTTATTCGTGTGGAGGGAAAACATAGTAGGGAAGAAAGCTATTGGTTGTGGGGTCATCAACTAGCAGAAGGCACGTGACTAGGGTGAGTCGGGCAGACCGTTGACGCAACCGTCATAATAAGTCAGGCACCATAGAAATGCCACTAACTGACGCTCTCTTTATCCTTTGATAATGATCCACTCCTCGTCCATAATCGCGTCCAGCTCATAAGTCTCCAACTCCTCTAGGATATCTTCGTAGGTAGTATCTGAATCAGAGTACTGAAGGAGGGTAACTCTTACATTTCACACTGTCATTAGCCTAATATTAAACGAATGATCCTTGTTAAAGGTAATAATATCTGATTCGACTATATCATCAGTGGACAGAATCTGGGCATTGCCTCCTTCCTCTACTAATGCGGTGTTCCTCCTGCATCAGTGACAGTCGATGTATAGTCCATTCACATAATCCAATCCAAGCTGGCCGAGCAAAGATTGTCCCAACGCTACCGACGAGCGCTTCAAGTTACTGGTGGAAATAACCAATACGTATGGCGTCGGGTCTACAGCCTGCCGCAGTTATGGAAGGTAGAGTTCCTGTTTCCTAAAGCTCATATTGAAGTTCTAAGCGCATGTTATGTTGACGCAGCGGCTTGCTATTAGGTGAGATTCGAAAGAAGGAGGAAACAGTAAAGACGCAAGGTATGAGAAACACTGTTAGCTGTGCTTGCTATCATACTCAAGCAATCAGGGGCAGTCTCTCTCTTTGCATAATTAAATTAACACCCACCGCCATTCTAGGAACCACGGCCGAAGATAGCCACGAGTTGGATAACAATGGGACTGAGCGTCCTGTGTGACAGAAATTGAAGGAGATGTCAATCGATTCTAGTCAGCAGGAAGCAAACACCAAGAACGATAAGGAAGTGGCCGGTGCGAAGGTGACGTCGACTACAAATGCACAGCAATCAGCGGATATCAACAACACCACCGAAGTCGGCGGAGGTTCGAATAGCCGGTGGAGCAGCCGACGATAACAATAGACGCTCTACAATCTGTTTGAGAGATGACTACTTCGTCTCTCGAACCTGTCAAAGGTGTTCGATACAAGCTGGATCTGTCTCAAAATCTAGCACATACGACCATAGGGTGTGGAAAACAGGGCTTCCCGTCCGCTCAGCCGTACTTAAGCCACACGCCGGCCGGTTAGTAGTTGGGTGGGTGACCACCAGCGAATCCCGGCTGTTGTATGTTTTTGTTTCTATTAATTATTTTGCTTCGTTGGCGAAACCAGCGGAGGTCTACGCCTGCGGTCAGATAAGATAACTTTCAGAGTGATTTGGGCTTGCAGAATGAGGTCCGCGCACTGAGATGCATCTACTTGGACAAGAAACTTTACGCGGACCTGTCAGCCTCCATCAGAAATCATTGCTGTTTTCTACAGCCGATGGAGAGGACTGGCCTGATTTTGAGTGCTGCGTATGTGGCCGTTCCATTGCAGAGAGAGAACAGAGGCCATCCAAGAGAGGACCGGGAAAAGGTCATGACTTTACTCTAAGTACTATATCATATACACAGGAGATAGAAGGCACGGACAACAATGCTGGATGATATGCGCACTGTGATACCGGCAATACACACTGGAAGTGTAATCACGCACCATCGTTACGAGACTGACGACGTAACGGTACTTCAGTCGCCGGGATGACGGTTTCCAGTCCCCCCGCCAATTCCCTTAGTCCGTCTTCGCCCTCAACGTCTTCACCCCAAGGCAGAGCATCGATGTCGACATCCCAACCAAGCAGACAGCGCAGCACGACGCGGGCCCCCGCCTTGCTCATCACGGAATTCAACTCCCTGCATTTCTCATCGCAAACGCACTCCATACATCCCTGCGGTGTGATGCACTGGCACGCTTCGATGCGCGCCACCGCGCGGCGAAGCAGGACGTCGATGAACTCGAACGCTTTACTCGCAATCCCGGAGCCGCACGAGCCGCCCTTGGCGTCGTAGAAGGTGAGACGCGCTGGTCGTTGCCGGGCCGGGGGCTGAAGATTCCTGACGTTCTCTTTGATTTGTTGATCGCGCATCTCGTTCGCGATCTTGAGGTTTCTGCCGAGTTCCTTCTTTGCGACTTTGCATTCCGTTTTGACGTCGCCGGGCGAGGAGATGACGAACGTAGGGAGCAGGGAGAGGACAGCATGTTCGGCTGCGTGAATAGCGGCAGCGATGTTGAGGCGTCTTGATTCGAGGATCTCTAGCGCGCGTTTAGGCACATCGAGCCACATGCCTTTGGTGAAGATGTCGATCGGCGGGTTGTCCACCGCCACGGCATCCAGCACACGTCCGCGCTTGTCAATTTTGAAGAAGCCGTACACAACTGCGTGGATCTGCACCGAGCCGTAGAATGCGCGAGAGGCGGAGGTCTGATTGATCTGCCGCATCAGTTCCGTTTCAATGGGGTCAATATCGGTGTAATCGCGCTGCATTGTGCTCCAATCCACGTGAACCTTGAGAACGCGAGCGAACCGCTGATCAGTGTTCAGTTCCTTGACGAGGTATGTCTGGCCCTGATGCAGAAAGATGCCGCCTTCGTAGATAGTGAAGAAGGCACGAGAAGCCTCCACTTCCTCCAGGATGACATTGCGTGCGTTTGTCGCGTCAATGATGGCAAAATGCTGGTCCTCTGTATCACGAATGGGCACACAACGGGAAGGATGAGGTCGGAATCTCTCGTGGCAATGGTAGAACCCAAAGGTGTCCTTCACGAGTCTCGTGGCCGCGAGCTCATGCAGTTGCTCTCCAAAATAGACTCGATCCTCGTCTGGCCGGATCGGCATCTCGAATGCCGCGCATTGAACATGTCCTTCGAGAATCAGCTCATTGGAAAGATCAATTTGTAGCTCGCAGTTGGGTTTTGTGAACAGTTCATCTGGATTTTGCATGTAGTATTGGTCGGTCGGATACCTATCGCCAACCAACACAGACAAAGAATCCTTGTTTCGACGTCCAGCTCGACCGCTCTGCTGGCGCAGGTTGGAGATGGAATAAGGGAAGCCAAGAGTGATTACAGCATCGAGAGAGCCAATATCGACCCCCAGCTCGAGGGCGTTCGTAGCGACAATCCCTAGTAGGTGGCCCTCGAACATCTCTTTCTCAATTTTCCGTCGGTCTTGCGGACTGTAGCCGCCCCGGTAACCCATGACGAGTTTTCCAACTTCTGGTCTATCGATGGCCTGAAACTCGTTCCGTACGGCTTGTAGTAGTATCTCGCACGTTTTCCTGATCCTGCAGAAGGCAATTACTCTCGCGCCTCTGAGGATCAACTGACAGAAGAGGCGGGCAGTTTCAGCAACACTGTCTCCGCGTCCTGATGTGGAGTCATTAGGGTCTTTGTAAGGGGTGTTCCAGCATAAGAACTCCTTGCGGCCTGACGGTGAACCGTCGAAATCAATCAGTCTGACATCGTCAATGCCAAATACTGCCTTCATATGTTCTTCAGGGTTGGCTACGGTCGCAGAACAGGATATAAACCGGACGTGTCGGTTGCCCACCGCAGCACAGATCCGATGCAGCCGTCGCATGATGAATGCAACGTGTGATCCGAATAGGCCGTTGTAGACATGCAACTCATCGACGACAACAAATTTCAGGTTCTTCAGAAAGGTGCGCCAAGAACTTTCCTGCGGTAATATCGTGATGTGCAGCATGTCCGGATTGGTGAATATAATGCGGGCCTCGTCACGAATGAGGTTGCGACTCCCCATCGGTGTATCGCCGTCGAATGTTTCGACCATGACGTCCTGCAAGCCGTCCATAAATTGCAGAAGCTCCTTCATGCTGCGCTTCTGATCCTGTGCGAGAGCTTTAGTGGGGAAAATGTACATGCCGCGGCTGTTAGGGTCTCTTCCAAGCTCATGAAGCATTGGGACCTGGTAGATCAGTGACTTGCCGGAGCTTGTAGACGTAGATACAATGACATCTTGACCGGCGTATAAGGAGTTGATCGCTTCCGCCTGATGCGAGTAGAACTGTGTTATGCCCTTTGTGTTGTACAAAGCATTAACGAGATCTTGCGAGAGCTGAAAAGTCAAGTCTCCGTAGACTGGCAACTGAGCCTCAAACACTCTATGGCCTTCAGGTACGATTTGAGCGAAGTACCAATCCATTGCACGAATCTCTTCAATAATCTCTGCCATGGATTTGCGCTCCTTCGGTATCTCGCGAGGCGGCATCGAGAGGAGTTTCGCCGTTTCTAGGTTGTCATCCTCAGACACAGGAGGACTCGGAATCCATGCGTCCTTCTCCCTTTCCAGCCTCTCAACTGGATCGCTGCCGTCATCCTCGCACCGCACCAGGAACGCATCAATCGCGTCAGAGAACTTTTTATTCCGTTTCTCAATCAAAGCAAGCATCTGCTTTTGACTGTACACGGGCATCTTCAGATCCTCGTCCTTCATCTTCCGCACGGGTTTCGTGGGCTCCCCGTTCTTCGGATGTCGCACCTCGCGCTTCAGATCCCCGTCCAGGAACTCAAACAGCAACACCTCCTTCGTCTGAACATCCGCATCAATGTCAGCCGCATCGCATTCCGGATGCGAGAGGCCATAAGACTGATTCCTCGCCGTTTCCTTCTCCCCCACCGTCATAACCTCCAACTTGGCCTCGTCCACATACTCGAATTTCACCGCCCGAGGCACAAGAACCCTCACCCGTGCAATATCCTCGACAGTCAGCTCGCGACCATGGCCCAGTTGCGCCTGCACCGCTTTCCGGATATTCTCGAACGTCGTGGCGAAGTGTTTGCGCGTGCAGCAGAATGTGTACACCAGGTTCAGGGCGCGGTGGGTCTGAGCTAAACTTTTGAAGGCCTCCGGCCAGGGTGCGGAGGGTGTGCGCTTGGGTGATGGGCTCTTGGTCACCTTTTGGGCTCTCGTTCTGGTAGACTTGGAATTTGGCTTCGCCTGTTCAGATTTGCCGGTCTGGGCTATCGCGTCGCGGTTCGAGTCTAGACTGTCGCCCTGGTCGGTCGCTGTCTTACTGGACGCGGTCTCTGTTTCGAGCGCCGCATCCGGGGTAGTTGCCTTTCGCGGTCTTCCGCGTTTTCTTTTGGTATTGGGGCCTTCTTGCAAAGGGGGTTGTGCTCCGTGGACGTGTTGCTAAATTCGGGTGTGTTTGATCCGAAATCGTCAATTCCGCCGAGCTCATCGTTTCTTTTCCTTTTCAATGCGAGGCTGGAGGGAGCTGAGTCTGGCATTGGGCCAGTCATGTCGACGCTCCATCGTGGTTGTTGTTGGGATGCGACAAAGCTGAATTGGAGGTGGGCAAAGCAGAGTTATTCTAGTAGGGGAGACGCGATATCACGTGTTATCGCATTCCATATAGCCACTTACGGACTAGCGTACTCTACCACTCGCATAGGTAGAAGTGCAATATGTATTAAAGAAGACAGAAGTTACTCCTCAGTCTAGGTAGTTCAAACCATGCTCCAAAGCTTCATGCTCCAGAACTTCAAGCCCCAACAACCCAGCCAGAAAATGCAAGAAAGTCAGCCCACATCTCCAAGCCCGCTCTGTCAATTGCCCCATAAGATCTATTGTCGGCCCAGGTATCGTAAAGGTTTTCAAGTATGGACAACTAATAATTTGGTGCAATGTACCATCGTCGAATGTGTCGCGTCGTTGCAACCGAGCCTTTAGTGACATAGTCTACTGGTGCTGTAATAGATCCTGAATGACATGGTAGAGCTCTTTCGCGGCGTCCTCACTTCCCACCTAGTGTTATGTCAGCAACGATGTTACGATGGGCACTTGTAGAGGAATGCCTTACCCTGAGCAGGAGGGGGACAGTACGGCCGTCCTCGACACCAACCAAATGAATCTGCTTGGACTTGGGTTCATTGCCCGACGGATCTCCGACCTTCATGCCCTTGAAAAGGGGGGTGTTGAGCATGACCCTCAAGACGCCATCCGCTCGCATGATCATGCGAGCCGCCTTTTTATCCTCCTGGCCGTCCGTTACTTTCACATTCACCTTGAATGTGCCAATACCGCGCTCCTTCCATTCCTTGTTCGTGAACTGGAAAAGCTTCGCTTTGCCGCTGAAGTACGTCTTCTCTTGTTCCTCGCCTGTCTCAACTGTGGTAGAAAGAGAAGACGTCAGTTTTGGAGCAGTCCGTTATGAATAGGACAAAAACACATACTCTGCCGCTCGAAGAATCTCTCGTCGGGTTTCTCTGCCTCGAATTCTTTGGGACCTGTTTCGGCTTCGTCCTCTTCCTCCTCTTCTTCATCCGCATCCGCCGCTCCAAATGGCTTGTCCTTACTGCTGCTGCCAAAGGTGCTAGGCGCAGTGCGAGAAGCGAAGCTGGTGAGCCCCCCGGATTTAGCAGCTGCTCCGAATCCACCACTGAACCCTGAAAAACCTGATCCTAAGCCCGCAAAGCCGGAGGTACTTGCTCCAGCTGCAAATCCCGTGGCTGCTGGTTTCTCAGTCTCGGACGCGGCTGGCGACTTGAAAATAGATGGAGTGGACGCTCCAAGCGAACCGAAAGGCGACTGCTCTGACCCAGCAAATGCTGCCAGGCTTGACGAGGCAAAGGCAGAGGGAGAGGTTACAGCCGCCGCTTTGGTAGGTACTTCTTCCTTGGATTTTGATGCGCCAAGGGAGCCGAATGGAGAGACTGCGGACGTATTGGCAAAGGCGCTCGTGACAGGGGCCTGCCGAGCCATGCATGTCAGCGCCATTTCCCGGCCAAGGATACAATGTGACGATCAACACTTACCGGCTTTCTTTCTGTGGAATTGTCACGGTGTCGCTTCTTCTCAGGCTGTCCTTCAGACTCGGGCTTCTCTTCTGATTCCACATTCTCGGTCTTCGTATCCGTCTTCTCCGTAGCACGTTCCCCGGACCCGTCTTCATCGAGCTTGTCCCGACTTCTCTTTTTCTTTGGGCTCAAGATCTTCCTTGGAAGGTCATTCTCGCTCCGTGGCGGCTGCTCGTCACCTTCGCTGGTAGAGTCGCGCGATCTCTTGCGTCTGTGACCATGTTCCTCGCCATCACTTTCCGCTTCTTCGTCATCGAATGACCTCTTTCTGCCTCGGCTGCTCGACCGGCTATCCGAACCTCCGCCGAGTTCCATGGTGTGGTTGGTATCCGCTGATTGCTGCGCATCTGTAGTTGATGTCATCTTCACATCGGTTGCTTCCTCGCCGTTCTTGGTGATTGTTTCCTGCTGAGCAGAAGCGATTGACGTCTCCTTCAGTTTCTGTCGCACGGGACGCTCGGTTCCCTCGTTGTCAGACGCCTGGCTATCTTCCACCGTGGTTCCTGTAATCGCATTAAGTATTAATTCAATTGTGCAAAGAGAGGAGGCTTTCGGTGATCGCTTGAGTATGATAACAAGCAAAGCGACAGCGTTTCTCATACCTTGCGTCTTTCCCGTTTCTTCCTCCTTTTGAATTTCACCTAATAGCAAGCCACTGCGTCAACATAGAACTCCAATACAAGTTCTAGGAAATAGGTACTCTACCTTCCATAACTGCAGCAGGTTGTGAATCCGACGCCATATTTACCAGTTATTTCCACCAGTAAACTCATTCGATAGTGTAGAGACGATTTTTCCACGGCCAGCCCAGATCGGATTATCGTAGCGCTGAGCGGCTGAACTGGTAGATAAGGCTGTGTATGAAACTGAGACCTGCCGTGTCAACTCAATGGGCACATCAAAAGGGTCATTCGACAAATATAAATGTCGTCTCAAGTGCGAAGACTCAGTCATAAATCCAGTAAGGGTCGAGCGAGGGGGAGAAGGGAGAAACAACACAGAGTAGCTGCAGTTTAAGCCCCACGCACGGTACAGTGAGGTTTGTACCAACACGTGCGATGCGAACCAGCCGAACGACGTACCTCTTTGTAGACGATTTATTGAGAGGCTCTGGTTCGGAGCATCCAGAAGACGAGCAGCGACATACGCCGATACAGGAAGGTGATGAAGCGGCAGACCGAGACGCAATCGAGTTCCAAGAAGAGTGACGCTGAGCTGTGTTGTCTTATTGTCACTCCGGCTTGTCGCCCGGTCACCGCTCGGATCCACCCCGCTTACCTTGAAGCAGATGGCAATGGAGTTTGGGCAGAACATTCGATTGGATATCTTGAAAATGCTAGAATATCTTCTAAAGTACAATACTTGTGAATTCGGATATGATAATAGCTGACACAAACAAAGAAAAAGAACTCATTCACTGATGATATAGCAGCATACATGCCCAAATGTTGTGTTCCTGTCCCTTTTCAATTCATCTGGCGCTTGACTGTAGACTGGAACCTTCGTTCGCAACTAGATTGCTAGGATACCTGGCCGGCCGTATCGATCCTCCAATCTTCTAACTGATAAAACAAAGACAGCCGATCGCGATGTAGAATACGAACAGCGGATAGACCGCAATGCCTACCCGGTTCTTGATCACACCCGACCCACCCAAAATGCTCACACCTGCAGCCAAGGACCATGCAATGAGCGCTAGGTACACCGGTATCCGGGCAATAGTCGGGAGACCCAATGCGCTGAGCATAGCAGCGATGACCAGAGGGAACAGAGTGTAGCCTATGATGCAAACAGATTGAAAGAAAGAACTAGTAGCCGAGGATGCAACCGTTAGTACACTCCGGAGCTTCATATACTTCGAAGGCAAAACATACATATTCCCACCGAGCAACTTGATCTGCAAGGTCACAACAGCCTCTCCAATCCAGACTATGGAGAAGACACCCGAGAAGACGAGGGATGACTGGTCATCCTTTGCGCGCATCGATAGGAACATGCTCAGGAGCAAGCAGAAAATGAGCGGACCCCTGCACATAGGTTTGAACATGTTAGCCAGCCAGCCCGCCGTTTCAGTCGACCATTTCCCACTTACCAAAGATCCCAGTCACGCAGACCCTCACTCATTCCACCCTGCAAGACCACATCGGCATCCGGCCAGCGTCCTACAAGGCCTCTTAGTCCGCCGCCGAACCCGGTCGCTTCTCCTCTCTCGGCGGCCCCGATTCCTCCGCCGCCGCGCTGCAGCATACCTCCCATCAGGTACTTAGGCCACAGCACTTGGCGCATCTTCTCCCATACTGCTCGTAGATCTCGTGAGAGCGTCTCCCAAACGGTTTCATCGATGGTGTTCTGCGTTGCGCGGCGATCCTCCCCCGGGATGGTCGATGTCAGGTAATTGCTGGATAGATTGCTTCCGAAACCTCCTCTGCTCGAACTCGAGGGTTCGGACTGGATGTTGCCTCTTAGCGGAGCGGTATCGGAAGTGTGAAGAGGGTCGTCGGCTTCGATGGCTGGCATGGTAGAAAGGTCATGAAGCGTCAGTACATCGTAGTAGCACGGGTAAACAAACAAGAGCCGATCTGATAATAGCGAGGAAAGAACCTCGGAAATGAGACGTACTCACCATCATCGGCCTCAATTAGGTCGTCATCAAGGATCGATTCATCATCGTGTAGATCCTCATGGAAACGACTTTGGGAGGTGCTGGCCATGGTAGGCACGTAGATTGCTTGAGCTCCGACTCTGGTCCAATGGTATATTTTCGCACTCTGTCAAGCCGTATACTCTCCGAACACCTTGCCCCCTTGGTTGAAATACGTTAAAAGGTATGCTAATCCTCAACAGAGTATTTTGATGGTGCGTCCCTTGGAAACAGCAGTAAAGTCTCCCTCGTGCTGCTGTCTCAGGCAGAGAGGCTAGAGTGGCATTACGTACGCGCACGGGCCGAAAAAGGCAGGCGGAACAGTACCTCTAATGAACGATTTGAGGATAAAACAATCCGTCCTTTCCAACAGTAGTACTGGTAACTCATACTATTAATATGTCTTAGATTATGTGCTGATTTATCAGAAATTGTATACTTCAGCTGGTGCTGTCATGAGTGCACGTGGGCTTATGCTTGGATCAGTTCGACACAATGTGACCAGTCCGATCATCATCACCGATTGTCCGATGTGATCTAGAAGTGATTCTGGAGATGAAATATTTACAGGCACAGATCTTCAATGCCATGAGAAACAGAAGGATCATATAGTATACATGTTAGTGTTGCAACGCCGACCCCTGTATATGCATGCAATATGCCAGACAAAGATGGGATATGGCAATGAGATGGTGTTTATACAAGCTGTACAAATCAAATGGGCTTTTGAACAGCCCCGCCATAAGCCTTGCTATAGGTACGAAGCTTAGTCGGCCTCGTCAGCGGCCTGGGCCTCGTCAGCGTTCTTTTTAGGGTCATGCTTCTCCTGGAATGCCATGACCTGTTCGAGGGTTGGATGCAATCGAGCGTATTCGAACTTTCGGACCATCTCGGCATTCGAGTATTCGCGGAGTTTCTGCGACTCTTGCTCGAATTGCTCACGGTCCGATTTGGAAAGGAAGGACGCATTCTCGGGCTTGAGAATCTCGTCAATCAGACCTCGCGTGCGATCCATCACCGTGCGAGCGGTCGCACCAGAAACCGTATCGCCCGCGCCCGCCCGCGTCCGCTCAGGCTGTGAAATAAATGAAGTCTTTCCATTCTTCAGAGCCTCATGAAGCTTGTCAATGTGAGGACGCAGGTTCTCCAAAGCAACTGTCAGCAAGCTCAGCTGTAATCTCCGACCCACGATGTCGAGGCTGTCGGAGGGTTTCCGCGCAATCTTTAGACCATTCAATGATATGAGGTGCTGTGGATTGTCCTGTAGTGTTTGCACGAGGTTTAGATACTTTTCAAGCGCCCGGGGTGGGGAAGGACCATGGACTTGTCCATGATTCCCAAAAGTTCGTTGGCATTTTTGAGAATGTTGATATTCCTGCGATCGCGAAGACAACAGCTCATCGCGATGTGGAACGTTTTCCATCCTGGTTCGGGCACCTGGTCGCGCACAATTTCGACCGTAGCACGACTAGCGCGATACACTCTTAGTAGTCGCAAGTATGCATGCAACGAAGGCATGTCTGGTTTGATGGTATACTCGTGATCCTCGAGCGTTAGATGCTTCCAGTAAGCTTTTCCAGTACCAAGACCCTGAGTCATGGTATAGCAAGTTTCAATGAGTATGGTGAGCTCCTTGTCACCTGGAACAACGTAGGATGGACCAACGGTGCCTTTCTTCATTTTGGAAGCAGAATCAGTAGACACCACTGGGTCAAAAAGGTTTTCAAATTCCTTATCGTCTTCCTCTTCCTCTTTTTGCTCTGCCTTTTCTTCGCGTTCTTCAATTGCGGTCTCTGCTGGTTTATATGGTCGGTTGCCTTCGTCTACAAAGGGAACGTCTTCCATCTCCTTATTTTCCGCGGATCGGCTCTTTCGGCATCTGGCCATCTCAGACTCCCGCTGGCGCTCAGGTGAAGGCTTCTTTGCCAGGACGGGAAGCCCAGTAGTTTGATTCAAGAGTGCGAAGACATCGTAACAATCGCGCTCGCTGCCGCCTTCAAGCAAGAGGCGGGCCATTGTACGCACGAGTTGGATGTCTAAGTCGAGTTGACCTCTGCTCCACCGGTAGACAACATCAGACCAGATTCGTTTGCCTTCCTTGACGCCCTGAGCCCTTCGCTCCAAGATGCGATCAATCTCAGACATCTTACTCACGTCAGTACCGACGGCGTCTCTGATGGCTCTCAATATAAGGGTGTATGTCACAGCATCGGGCGAGCATGGCCCCTCCTCGGGTAGCTCACTCGCAATCTCCCATAGTGTATCTGTATGCCCATGGCGAACACATACGGTGAGCATGGCGTTGCTGTGGATGATTGAAGGCTTAACTGCAGAGTTAAGCTCATAGATAGATCTGTAAATTGACAAAGCAGTTTGCACGGGATTCAATCCTATGTGCACGTTTTTCGGCACTGTGGCAAGACCATACAACATAATCGTGTAAGTCCAGGAAGTAGGCTTTCGTCCACGCTTCTTCATCTGCGAGTTCGCGGAGAGACGACAGTCAGCAACCGTGCAAGAAGAAACTTGCGAAGGGGGAAAAGAAAACTACTCACTTCATTGTAGAGCTTCCATGCCGCTTTAGGTTGCTTCTTGTTCATACAGTACTCCAGTAAGTGATTCCACCCCACTGAGCACTCCATATTCTCCTTCTGCGCCCCGCGAACAATCGCCACCGCGAGAGCAAAATCGTCGGCTTGCAAGATTTTAGCGACCCGGTCCGCCAGCGCCTTGGGATCTTGCAACCACTGCAACTCCTTCTTTACCACCTTCCTCCTGACTACGTCCGCTAAGGGACCGCCATCGGGATGCGCCCCGCCGCTGGCAATCTCCAACAGCACATGGTCCTGGAAGAGTTTCCTCTTGCCCCAGGTCGGTTTCCTTTTCTGTTGTGGTTCGTCGTCCTCAAAATTCGCCGTTGAATCAGCAGCACTTTGCTCTTCCGCATCGGCCAACCTCGAAGCCTCTGTCGAGTACCGCTTCACGCCGGAAATTGACCCCCAGGCTACAGATTGGCCCACAACTCGACCTCTCTGTGCGGCGCGCGCAAGAGGAGCACCGTATAGGACGCTCTGAGAGACTTGAGTGGATCTTGAGACCGGCAGACTCCTCAATCCGACAGTGTGCTGGACACTCGTCCGAAGCGCAGCGCCATTGGTACAGCGAAGCATTTAGGGCCTTCAGGTCCTGATCCTACCGTATCTCCTCAATCACTAACACTTGATCCTCTAAAGACCCCTTTGTAAGGTCCAAACGTTCGACCTGGCGTAGTCGAATGCGCAATCGTCGACTCCGAATGTTGAGGCTGGGCCGGCAGATCGAAATTTCAAATGATTCGCTATTTGAATTTTCGCAAGAACAGTAATCAACAAAGATTACTGAGGAAGAGAAGATAGGACGTTGGAGATAACACCCTTGAGCGGCCACTGGAAGAAATCATACAGACCAGGCCCAAAAAAGCGTCTGGGGCTATCGCAGTTATCGCTGCCATCAGCCCTAGGCAATAAAACGTTAGCGCAATGCGATTGCTGCATTCTTGCGGGAGAACATAATTCCGTTCGGATTATTTCTTACTTAAAAGCCAGGCAACTACACTAGCCACACTACAAGCCACATGATACACAGCTTCGCCACACTGCGCTATGCTCTTAGTTCAGCCTTATGAGACCACGGGCTCATGCTTACTGTTAGCCTCCTCGGTAGTCCCGTTTCTTAGTCCCGTACATGCTTCAGGATCGACTAATCGTTGCATTTATTATTTACGGCTAGGCCACTTAGGATACTAGTCTGTCCTACCTTACCGATCTCTCAGAAAAGTGGGAACCCTCCGCTTGAACGTTAAGAGGGATAAGCAGCGACTAACTCGGGTTCGACTTAAAATGACATAGAACATGCAACGGCAACTGTCTCATTTAGTGGAAAAACACGATTGAATCAAGCACCCCAAGGAAACTTCAAATCATAGTCAAAGCACATGACAATGTCTTACTTGATACCTCTCTAGAGTGCGGCAAGAACAGTATTCTCATATCTTCTACAGCGTCACTAACCCTCCTAGTACTTCAACCCGTTCATGGACAGCGCTTCCCCGTACCTGAGTCATTCATAGGGGTTGCGAGGTCCACCCAAACTCTTGAATCCAAGTGATGTTGCCTAGGAATATTAATTATTATACGAGGAAACCGCAATTAAATCTTATTGGACATCATCATTTGAGCTATCAAGCTTCGATTATGCACCACATCACGTGTCTCAAATTTCAAAGGCCCAAGGAGGTGGCAGTTGCCACCAGGAGGGAAGAGCGGAATAATCAAGATCGAATTGTAAGACTTTAGCCACCAGACAGGGTCATGACTGCGTGGAAGGTCCACTGAGCAAAGGACATAATGCACAAGTTCAAACCAACCCAGGGTAACGAGGAAAGAAAAAACATCAGTCAGGACAAAGGAGAAAAAAGTACAATGCGAAGCGAAGCAGAGTATCAATGAAAGGGGCTCGATAAAAAATATGCGGCATGTATCACAGGAGAATGCTCAGCTCATGCAAAGTGCCTCGCCAGGAGTCCAAAATCACAACAGTCCTGGAGCCAGTTTTTGCAAGGACGAGGGCATGTTGTCTTTTGAGTGCAAAGGGGTAGGTTTTGTCTTCTCTTTTCATGTCAAGCGATCTAATTCAAAAACAACAACAACGTGGACAGAGCGTAAGTCGCAAGGCCGCTCTTCGAGAATAACGAATCAAGGCCAGATGGTATCATGTGCGCGTGACTTTAAAGAATTAGATCCGCGATGGCGACACGGGATTAGGGAGGTAAGAGATATTAGAATATGCAACCTGAGAGAACACAGGAATGATGGGCATCTATTGTGGGTAGCTGGCCGATTGGTTTTCTGCAAGAAGCCATCGTCGATCAGCTATTGTCCCTTAGAGCAATAGATCCAAGGACCTCGTCGAAACGTATTTCCATCCTGCCTTGGGGCATGTTGACAAGAGAAATTTTTTTTTTTTTTCTTTTTTTTTCTTTCCTTCCTCTCTTTTGTGTGCATTTCCTCGTGGCTCGGTCCTGACAATGCAATGATAACAAAGGACTGACTACTTACGTTGCTGATACACCTGCCCGCTTTGTCCATACGGAGAGTGAGGGTAGTTTGGAGGATAGGCCATCTGGCCATTACCCTGATACACCATGCCACCGGCACCGCCGTACTGCCCCGGTACTTGGCCGTCGGCAGGTTGGTAGCCAATTGGCGGCAGCTGAGGGCGGACACCGCCAGCGTAAGCAGGAGGTTGAGCCTGCGCAGGATCGGTGGGACCGGGAGCGTCAACCTGGTTCGCCTGAGCAGCTTGAGCGGCGGCAGCACGTTCACGCTCCTCGGCAGCTTTACGCTGGGCTTCTTCCTCCTTCTTTCGAGCTTTCCATTCCTTGCGGATTTCTTTGAATTCTGTGGCAAAGGGCAAGATTAGTTAATAGAACACAGTCGAGGGTGAAAGCGGGCAAATGAAACAAAATGCTCCACATTCTGGGCATCTAAGTTGAATCGGTATGTAGAATTTAACTCCACGCCAGTGCCTTGCGCTACTGCGATCCGCAGCGCTAAAGCAGTGTAACTCGACTAGTGTGAGATACCCGCACTAGTCTAATCGAAACCAATGGCGCTATTAAGAACCAAGGAAAATCCGTGACATTGTAACTGGGCTTTAAAAAGAGAGAGAAAAGGAGATAGAGGAATATATCGGAAACATACCTTCGGGAGTCCGTTTGGCTCCGTGCGACTGCATAGTAACGTGGGCATTCAGGTGGTTGAGAGTACCATAAGCCTTTTCGCACCCGTTCCAGCCACACTTGTACATACGTTCGATTTCTTCATAGCGACGTCGGGGTCGTTTGTGCTGTTGCGCCCCAGGAATGGGCACAAAAGAGTATACCTATAGAAAGAGTCAATGAGCTTTTGAACAACATATTCGGTGCAGATGAAGAGTGCGCCGTGTTCCACAGCCCCGTCAGGCACGCAGGCAGCGGCCTCCAATTTCAGAGGCGTCCAAGACAACAAAAAACGCAGACGCGCAGCCTTTGGAAATAGACGCCAAAATTATCAAAGACATACCTGGCCAGGGCGCGGCCCTGCGGTCGCAGCAGGGGAGGCGGGACCAACCGTTGTAGCAGGAGCGCTATAGGGTCCAGGAAGACCGTGCTGGTGCTGTCCATAACCATGCGACCATTCCGGACGCCCATACATCTGAGGAGGAGGCGGGGGAGGATGGCCTTGATACTGGGCCATGTCATGACCCTGAGGCTGATACGGCGAATAGGGAGGAGGATAGGTAGGGCTAGAGGCCGCGATTGAGGGATCTATAGGAACGTCCGCGTCAGACTTCACGTTCGTGTGATTGCGATGGTCATTTTGGTGCCCATCATGGAGGGTGGTCATGGACGGACTTGTTGCTTGAGCCATACCTGCCGCACCACCGGCCTGGGTGTTGGGGCGTGATGGTATTGAGGCGGGCGAGCGAGGTAGTCCGGATAAGCGGGTGAGCGCGCGGCGGGCGGCTGGTTCAGACCGTAGTCCGACTGCGGTGTGTTGGAGGACGAAATATTGGCGGCGGCGGCAGAGGCAGGTCTAACCTCGGGTTGAGGCGTGTACTGAGGGGTAGGACGGACCTCTTGCTGAGGCGTGTATGGAGCAGTGGCAGCAGCAGAAGCCTGGTCTGCAGCTGGGAGTTCAGAATGCGCAGCGGCAGACGGAGGATACGGAAAGTGCGAACCTGACTGCGCGTACTCGGAGGCAGGTCTGTTGTCCATAAAACAAGATCTCAGCTGGAACTGAAGATGTTCCTAATCTTCCTCCAAACTCGCGTGTCTGCTGTTTCTAGACGCGTCGAAAAACACAATGAGCTTTATGGATATAAACACGAGTATGTTGTATCGCGATATGAAGGAGGGGAAGGAAAGATTGGTGTACAAGATCGCGATATGATCTTGTGACGAAGTCTTTCTCTTTTTCCTTTTCTTTCTTCCTTTGTAGACGTACTTTTCAGTAGTGAATCTGGATGGAAGTTCCCCAATCCAGAAACAGTATCGACAGAGAGGACTCGCGCAGGCGCTATTCACACCTGAGCCGATGATTGGAAGGTGAATAGAAATTGAAAGAAAACAGACAAGATCAAGCGCGTGATCACGTCGTAAACAAATGACACCGACGGGCAGAAGTAATTGACAGATTGAGTTAAGAATATGGATATCAGACGGTGCTGGATTTGAAAGATATGATGCTTGGATCAAGATGATGCTTAATTGCCTTAGTCGCCTTTTAGGGTGGATGGAGGATGCCTTGCAGGTGGCGGTAGGCACAGCAGCACGAGGAACCAGCGGGAAGAAAAAGGAACCGTCGCTTTTAGGCCTGGGGACGAGGGTTAAGAAAGTAATCCAGGGCCAAGGCCAGTCACAGCACCCACAAGCGAAACGAGGAAATGATTAGATAAAAGGTTTAAGATTGAAAAACAAATAAAATGGACCACCAGACTCAAAGAGAGATAGCGCGAGAGACGGTGTCTTGATCGAGTGGCGACCCAGGATATAAATCACCCTAAAATCGAGACGGAGGGAAATTTGGTCGGACTCGAGCCGGTAACGAACCTGGGTGGAGGAGGCGGCCTAAAAAGCCTTCGGACGAACCAAGTCGCGATTCTTTTCACCAGCAGTGAAAGGAAAAAGAGGGCGGAAAAAAAACGAACAGGAAGAAAGAACAGAGACCACTGGTCAAGAGCACCTCGTGGGTTCCGAGGGTGTGGTGGAGTGCGTGGGGACGTAATCTTTCACAGTGGTGAAAAGGAGACGGAGAGGGAGAGGAGAGGAAATATTGGAAAGCCACCGCCCAATAGATGCTCAGGCTTTCAGACTTGGAGGCGATAACAGGAACCCTCCCAGAGGAACGTAAGAGGGGGTCAAAGATGGGATTCTCGCAAGTTGCGTTTCTATTCGCCGTTCCTCTTTCCCTTTTCTTTTCTTTTTTCTTTTCTCTTCCCTTTCTGCTTCGAAACTTGAATAGCCGGAGTGCTGTCGCTTTGTGGTGATGGGTCCGTTACCACTCAGTAATTCCGACCCACTTTTTCCGTGAAATATCAGGGCTCTCCGACGGTAAGAAAAAAAAAAATAACAGTTTCTTCCTTTTGATTCTCCAATTGTTTTTTACAGCCCTTCCCCTCAGTAGTATCCAATCTAGTCGCTAGGCGGATCTGTGTTTTCGTGTCTTCGAGTAAGCTGTACTGTTGTAGGCTCTTCCCCGGCTAAGCTTTCCTTGTCTGACTTTCTTTTTCTCTTTTTCCCTCTTTCTCTTGTTTGAGAACGGAGCTCTCCGCAGAAAAAAGTGGCGAGATTAGAATTTTACCGAGCACCCCCTTTTCCTTCTATTGGGTATGGCTCTTGTTATTCGCCCACCCGGAATCCTCGCACGCAGTTGTCTGTTGTGGTGTGTCGCGGTGTTGACACCAATTTCAAGATGTTGTTGAAAAAAACTTATAGTAGGACGAATTGCTGTTAGAGGCTTAGAGCTTGGATAGTCTAGCCGCGACTTGGGACAGACGGTGTGCGTGTCGAGTACGGCCGCAGGGAGACTGTCATGAACCTAGCGTGTGCGCCCGTGGAGACCATCCAAGATCACTGGTCGTGGCCGAAGTAGTCAGGCTTTACTTAGAGTAAGGACAGATCGAAGAAGGGCTAATATGGCGTGCCCGAGGAACGGCTTGAACGGTCTGGGTAAAGGTCCAAGTAGCGCGGCCCTAGTGAAGAAGAGGGTGTAGCGCAAATCGGGGAAAAGCAAAGAGCGCGTGCAGGTTCCCCTACTCCGTCGTAGTGGAGGCTTTGACGAGGGAAAATCCAGGGCAGGAAAGAATAACGGAAATGGTCAGAAACAACCAGTGGTTCACCAATAAGTAATGTAATAATTATGACAAATATCTTCGAGCCAAGTTGTCCCTCAGATAAGTGCCTGTGTAAATAGGACACAGTCCAGAATAATAACGGAGAAATTAAAAACAAATATGGAGTAGATGTTGTTGTATTCCTTTGGAAATCAAAACGGCGGCTGATGCCGGTAGTAGGTAGCTTTTTTCTGCTTAGTCTGAGGGACTGTTCAGTCGGGAAGGTCATTAAAGGTATGGATGGGCAGATTGAAGGTCACTGGTGGAAAGGGGGAACGGAGAAAATAATTATTACCTACCTCCCTATGGGGGTAGCCCGAGGTCGTCATCTCACTTGTCCTTGGGGAGTACCTTGAAATACGATGAGCAATTGACAAAACACATCGTCTGCTACTTGACCACAACAGCTTAATCATTTACAAGTCAGGAACGCGTCAGTGGGGCACACGATGGCAGTGATCCAATCATCAACAGCATTGAATCACTCACACAGGCAGAAAGTGACTGAGGAGTTTTGACTATGGGGTACTGTGTATCCATAGAGAGAGGGAGCAGTAATCGAATTTCCGAATCACCCCATTGCAGAGTACAAGCGCACAGTAGACTATAAAGTTGTGATTTAAGTAGGTCGACCTACCTAGAAGAGCAAGCGAAAGATCAATCATGGATCAATGGTTACTTAGACAGGTACCTTAGGTAACCTTGAAGTGGTGTGTTGGTGGGATCGATCATTTGTCGCGTCGTTGAATCCCACACTGATGTTGGAGGTCTGGAGTACACGATACACATTAATACAATAAACAAGTTGTGGTACTTTTGTCGTGTCAATTCTTCGTTAACATCATGGCTTTTATCCCACGTATTTGATACGATGTGTAGTTTGGGCACTCGATGATACTGGCTAGAAAGTGCCATACAACCTGATGACGGCAAGAAATGCTACCGGGTAGCATAATGAACATGTGATCAATAATGATATTGAAAAAGCAGTGGAAGTGGCAGCACCAGATGTTAGTAATGAGATAGGAACGGAGTGATCAATGTCCGGAGTAGTTGAAATTCTTATTATTGTGATTTTACAAAGATGCTAAACTCCATCAAGTAGGATACCGGCAGTACTCTCTAATTCTGCTCCTTCCAGCACAATCATAAAATCAAAATTCATTATCATTACAGTGCCAGACAATTAGCATCAGCTTGTCTGCTAAAGGGGCCTAATATGAAGGTCAGCCATGCATGTTGAAGGGGAAGAGAAAGCTACCTAAGGAATGCAAGAATCATGCAAGGCTCCAACCTCGGAAAGGCTTTTAGCCTGGGCAGGCCTGGGTCCCTAATTTGGGCTCCAATTGATTGGTGCTCTGACTTGATCATACCCCGCGCAGGTGGAGCCCAAAACACCCTCGCCCACTAATGCCTCCCGGTGAAGAGAACGGCCAGCAGGGAAACAACTTGAGAAATCAGAAAAGGCGCCAGCCATGCTTGTTGCTTAAACAGTTCAACCTCACATCATGATGACTTTTTATGTATCTAGAGTTACATTAGACGAGCTGTAGAGTGATTACCAGTGTTCTGTAGGGTGTGCACTAGGCTCCTTAAGGTGATATTGTGAGAGTTAATGTTCTTATGGGAGTTCTACATATTTATTGAGTAGACATACTCACGTACCTGCTCTATCGTTATTACAGTATAATATGACCGAAGTACTAATCCAGAAGAGTGTGATATCAATGTCCCGTCATACTCGCCAAGTCCAAATATCGCAATAGCAGGCTTCTGGTCCATATCTTACCCATCCACCGAAAACGATTTCTGTGCTTTTGATGTTGGTGATGTCGTTGCTCCTCTGCTTGTATCCATTTACTAGCCTTTATCTGGGCTGTTGTTCAGAAGAAAGCATGGATTAGGTGGACGATGGGAACACAACAATCTATTATAATGACCTGGATTGCATCTTGTCTCCAAATGCGTGGGTTAGATAAATACCATTAAGGTATTCATCATGTCTGGACTTGATTTATGGTCCCATATCTTACAGAGAACCATAGTGTTTCGGATGCTGGCCGATTACCGTCGCCTTTTATGGATCAGTGTCGATCGGTTTAGACAATTGTCCTTCAATCACTACTCCGTACGCCAACTGGAAAGAAACCAGCCACTACCAAGGGTACGTAGGCCTCAAAGGGTGGTGTTGTACGAGAGCTTCGAGCTTCAAGTAACCATCCAAAATCTCAGGACACCACAAGGTCATTTTTACATGATCATCACGTCCACAATAAGTTGGTTTGCTTGAAAGCACTTGATGCTCTGTAGGTGTTCGCTTCATACATGCCTTGCATTTTTGGAGACCAACTAGATCACTGGGGCCAAATACTGTATGACCCACACCATTGACAGCACAGTGCTCTATCCGAATTTGTGATATTACTAATTCTTCTTCTCTCCCACTTTTACTGCAGCATCATGCAAAGAATAGGGGTAAAGACTCGGCACCCCGATCCTCAAAGCGGCCCCTGTGGTCATAATTTCTGTCAATTGATCATTTTATATTGAGTGATTTTACTTCGTACATTCGCCTCTAAGAGTTATATTCATCCGCATCTATAGAAATAGACTACCGGTGTTGATGAGCCATGGTACCATTATTTATGCGGCTAGTGCGCTGTCACGCTATAATCATGACCATGTCGGAACTAGTCAATAATACTCGGCTCCACGTGGGTAACAAGGCACCATCTGTACGGGCTACAAAGTTCCATCATTCTACACAGTATCTACGGAGTACCTTACCTACCTTACTCCATTCGGTTGTATCTGTTGTATGATTGTATGGCTTGATACTATTTTATTTCTCAACACTCCTGCGTGATATTTACAACTTTATTCAGAACTGCATTTTCCAACCACCTCTGTCTGATCTTGATAAGTAGTACCAACAGCCTACCGGTATCTTGAGTTACTATTGTTAGCATCCACAACCGTACTATGTTGTACCTTGTTTCGATGTTCCAGATAAAAAATATTGCAGATTATTTTCCGAAGGCGTAGGATCCTGTGGCCTATAGCTGCTGAGATGGTCAGCCTCAGACCGAAATACACTTTGGACTATGGAACTATAAAACATCGCTTAGAAATGATTTAAACTTAAGCAACCTATCTTACAGGGTGAGAAAAGGTTACACTACTGAAACAAAGTGTTGGTTAGTCGGTGCGAGCTCTTGTCCGAGATGTGGGGAGCGAGATGGGGCCATAATTATGGTTATTATTGTTGGTTCATTTCGCAGAAGAGCGGTCTTGAACTTGAATCCAAACTCAAATCAACCTCAAAACTCAAGAAAGCCCAGGAAGTAGGCCGGTGCGGGCCAGGGCCAGCACATAACTCAGGTATCATTGTCTTTTACAAATATCTGAATGGTGCGCTCAAATTGATGATTCGGATAGTCGGCTATCTGATAATCAATTTGTCTTGCTGAACAGTGACTCGTCATTCATGAGGATAAAGGTACTTCCCTTGTATTATGACCTCCGGCGGCTGCTATGTGAAACTTGCCAATTGAGCTATCGCGAGTACCAATTACCGTATCAGGTACTTCCATACTCACGGACTCCAATTGACTTTGATCATAAGCGACACCCGAGGTTCGCAAGTTAGGTGCACGAGATTATGAATGCAAACAGGAAGCATAGCTTGACTGCTCTACGACTCCATGACCACGGTCCATTGAAGGCCATCGGGTAATAATAGCGATATCATGATAGCACGGACAGTGTGCCAAGCTAGCCACTATCCACACAGCAGGATTCAAGACTATCCGTAAGTAACCTCCAAAGTCACTAAATCATCAATGACAAATCATTGAATTGAAATTCAACTGTATATTTGCGGATCCGCTATGGCAGTTTGGTCTGCTGACTAGGGAGGAATCGCCTACCTTAAAGAGGGGATTAGTACGGAGTATGTACTTGTTTCATTCGTTTACAACCCCGGCGGAGGAAGGTCAATATCTCCGAGTCTCCGACTTTGTGATCCACCCGTCCACTAGCAGGACGTGGCCTGAATCATGTTGGTATCCTGGTAAGTTGGTGTCGAGTAGGGAGCCTCTCAGCCTCTCAGGTACCCGAAGTAATTTGGTTCTCCGCGGATGTCTCAATAGATTGAGACTTTGAAAATTTACAAAGCTGGCTTCTTATATCATCTGCATGACAATTGCATAAGGAGGACATAAAACTACCAGGCACTGTAGCGGCACAGTAAAGTCCTAAATATAATAGTTGAGGTGTCAGTGACTCAGTGTACATGTTCTGTGCATGATCTACGGCAGCTCTAGGAATTTAGGGACTAAGGAGTCAAGCCAGGATAGTCAAGGGATAGTGGCAGCTGCATCCTTTACTTCTTTTGGTAGAGTATGACAACTTTGTTTCTACCTCCGGTGCCTAGTCTAACTCCTAGATGCCTAACTGGTGACTATTATCAGCGTCTTCAGTGCACTGACTACTTTGTCTGATGAGATTTGGGTGCCGTATCCCTGACCCTGGTTGAAGACTTTACTAAGGTACCTGTACGTATTCAAGATTCCAACATACACACTGTATTAATACAACAATAGAAAATAATAATACTATCATTTATCAAATTATCAATGAAATGCTTCCGATATCCGCGCTTTGGGACCTCCCTGATTTAGACTCATTTGCACCCACTTTAAACAAAATATTAATAGTATTGATAATAATTCGGTACACGGTCTTCGGACTGGCCTTGACTGCCTCCACCCGAACCAGCGCCAGTTCCGCTCAAATCACGGCCTAAGCCCTTTTGGCCTCGCAGCATATGCCTTAAACTGCTTTTGCTTGGGAGGCCGTCATTCGTTGACAGTTTGTGTCCCCAGGAAGCAGAAACAGAATGATAAGGTAGAATTGAGCATCTGATCCGTCGCACCTGAAGATACAATTCCTCATCGTCAATGGGGAAATTACAAGAAGAAATCTACGAGATGATTTGTTATGATCTTATGGGAAGACCGGCCCAGGAGCTTGCTGATAATAATACACCTGATATATCTCCAGAATGGACGGAGCATGAATACGCCGAGGGGTCAGGGCACGAAGCTCAATCCCCTATGACCTCCTTGGACGCGGAGTGCTGAGTCAGGACTCCCACATGCACCCATATCAGTAGGCCCACAAGGTACGGACTAACCATGCCTAGGTTGCGGATATACTGCTGTTAGCTCAAAACAACTAGTGTCCAGTCATATCTTTGGTTAGGTCATTTTACCTTGCGCAAGGCAAAAGGATGGACTCGGCCTTCCGACGCGACATTATCGAAAAGTGGAAAGCTTTGCCAGTTGGTAACTTGAACAACTTGAGGCTCCTGCAGCGGCACGTTGTCGTTATGTCATGCTGCTATGCACAAGCTGAATGCCACGACATGCCTGGACAAATCAGTTGACAAGATGACTAACATCCCAAGTACCAAGTAGGAACAAACCACTGCCGTACGAGCCCACCATCTACCTACTAGGCATTGTCTAGCCTTTTGGATTTGGAGAGAGCCGCAGGAGGCCCCGCAGGAGGCCCCGTAGGGGAATTGAGCCTCAGGCTTCAATCCAGAGCGCGGATGGCTTGGCCGCCTTAGTTAACCTCATTGTTGGTTTTCATCATTGAAGCAGGCGACATATCAATGATTCGAGACTGGATTTGACCGTCGATTCTCTGTCATCGGTGTGACCAGCAAAAACTACTTATAATATGGGATGAGGTGATGACTGAGTCAATCCCGGCGAAATAGGCAACGTTATACAAAACTATATATTCATGTCTCCTTCATTCGAGGCGACAGATAGCTGGGACATAAACCCGCCTCAATCCCTGTCTCCCCAGAGACTGAATTCGAAGATGCTAGAGGTGGGAAAAACTCGTGACCCAGAGATTGACTTCGAAGATGCTAGAGGTGGGAAAAACTCGTGACCCAGAGATTGACTTCGAAGATGCTAGAGGTGGGAAAAGCTCGTGACTGCTTGGCCATAGACCAAATCATCCGCACCTGCCATCCAGTACCATCAATTGACTACGGAGAAATATTGTCCGTCGACTTGCAGAAACATGGACTACTTCCCCACATACGCAATTGATATTTGCGGGGTTGAGGACATTGATATCAAGGTCTCAATCCCGGTCTGGGGTAAACCGGTCTCTGAAATGGTATATTCATCAGATGAGAAGAGCTCAAATATTTCTCTTTGGGTGATAGAAGACAATTGCGGAGGACATGATTGCGGGAACAAGGAACCTGGCTCTTGCAGCCCTCGTCTCTGTGGCAGCAGCGCTTCCTGCGCAATCGAGTCGCAAGCACGCGTTTGACTGGGATGCCACCAGATACCTGTTGGTTCTTTATAATCCTCAGCGTGTACCTTTGAAGAAGATTGTCACTGACGCACATCCTGCAGACTCGCATTTGGCGACTCCTACACATACGTCCAAGGAACACATGGTCACCAAAACTACAGCTTCATCGGCGACCAGCTGAACTTCGCATACGATTGGAAAACGTTACTGACCAACAAGATTGTTCAGAACCAGGTTCGCTCCACCGCAGCGTCCACGAAGTCTGCTGGCTGCTAAAGACGCCGTGATTGCTGACAGTACCACGCTTCCTGCTAGACCGCCACGGCCGAGGGAGGCCCCAACTGGGTTGAGTTCCTGACAAACTGCGGCGTCAAGAAAGGGTCGACATCACCACTGAGCTGTGAGAAGCAACTTTGGGACTTTGCCTTTGCTGGAGCAGACATCTCTGTTGAATAGTATGAGCCCTCTATAGAAGCCCTCGCGCACCACTCATCTAACTCTTCCCCAGCACGCCCCTACACCACAACTACACCGTCTCGCTCGTCAACCAAGTGACACAATACGAGCAATACGGCCACCCCGTGCTCAAGAACATCATCGACCCATCCCGCACCCTCGCCGCCATCTGGATCGGCATCAACGACATGAACGACTCAGCCAAATACGCCGTACACTTCCCCACCTTCTACAACCGCATGATGACGACGCTCTTCGCCTCCGTCCAGGCCCTATACAACCTAGGCTACCGCTCCTACCTCTTCATGAACCTGCCCCCTCTGGACCGCACCCCCGCCAACCAAGCGCGGAGTAATCCCTCCCCCAACGCAACCCAGATAACCTGGTTCAACGACGCGCTGGCCCAGCACGCACAGAGCTTCGAAAGAGCCCACGCCGGCACCACCGTCCACGTCTTCGACGCCCATACAGCGCTCAGCAACATGATGGACCACCCGGCCCGGTATGGCATCGTCAACACGACGAATTTCTGCGCAGGGTACAACCAGCCCGACATCGAGACGAATTACCAGGCGTATGGGTGTCCTACACCGCTGGATACATACTTTTGGTTCAACTCGGGCCATCTGACGAGCCATGTCCATAAAGAACTCGCGGAGATTCTAGAGGCGCAGTTGAAGGCGTGGTCGACGTGATTTGTCTGTTGGTGGTTGATTCGTAGAAGATTCAAGATTCTCAGACTTCGAAACCGTGGTATGAGTATGAATTGTACTTCTTGAGAAGACTTGACTGTTCCGAAAGTCGCTGGATTGGAGCGAATATGACTTGTAGGTCCTCTTCTTAGCTCCCATTACTGTGGCCACTCCCGGATGCGATCCATCATTGATACTGGCAAGACAAGTATGGGCTCGAACTGAACTACATGCAATGTTAAATATGCTCTGAAAAGTAGTGACTGCTTCATATAAGGATTCATATTTGATTCACAGGAGTGCATTGAATAAAGGCAAGGATAGTCAATTCCGGCCGGCAACACTTGGCAAAGTAGAGAATGATATGCAATATATTGGCCTCAATGGACGGAGTATTTTACTGTGAAGAAAGAAAAAGGAGGATGGTCCCCTCCAACTTATTCAATAGAAACATCCAATATTGATGCAAATGCAAACTAATTGCACTAAGACCACTGAACGAGCGAATGGCCCCAAGTTAACAACTTTTGAGATCAGAATTAAGACGCATGAATAGGATCCGCAAATTAGACAATTCCAGCAGCGGTGAGCCTCTGCGGCTCATTTCAAAGCCGATGACGAGCATTTGTAAAAACAAAACCATAACTCGAAAAAAGGGACAAGGTCTATCGTCTCTTCGAAAAACGCCTTCCGTACCGAATTACGTAGAAAAACCCCGAGGGAACCATGAAAAAGCAAAGTCTACCGGTGACGATGAGTTACAAGCTCGATGACGAGACCGGACGTCAAGGTCAAGATCAGTCAGTTTACCAACGGCGAGCGTTGCCAAGCGGGGCAGTGTTGGAAGCGGTGTAGCTACCACCACGACCACGACCACCGCCGCGACCACCACCGCGGCCACCCCAGCGGCCGTAACCGCCGTGACCGCCACCGCCGCCGCTGTAGCGTACCATCTCAGCGAGACGGGGGTCAATCTGCTGCTTGGCCTCAGTGAGGATAGTAACCAAGTCACGAGCCTGCTTGGAGTCTGCATTGAAGGAATCATTAGTCATGACAATTAGAGACAGGGGTAGTCGTAAAGAGAAACTCACTTTCAGTGGTGAAGAAGGTAATGGCAGTTCCCTTCGCACCAGCACGACCAGTTCGACCAATACGGTGAATGTAGTCCTCCGAGTTGTTGGGATAGTCATAGTTCAGCACATGAGTGATGTCGCGAACATCTTTAAACAGATTCAGGTTAGCAAACAGAGCATTAGTGAAAATAGCAACGAGGCCTAGGCGCCCTTTTGAGTCATGTGAGACTTGATGCATCACTCTCTCACGGACTCTGTGGTCGAAATCCGTTTGTGGCAAGAGTCCATCGCCTGGGGCAAGATCGCGGTCCTAGAGTAACCTTGGAATGCAGCCTCAGCAAGTCGAAGGGAGAGAAAGCCCATCTCTCGACCAACGAGGTCCAAGAACAGAGATGGAAAACTCAGAACAGAAAGTACGAATCAATCTGCTGCACTGCACTGTAAGTCCAAGGTCCTCATGGTATGAGCACCATTTTCAGGAGACCCGACAGAGCCTGGACGAGTCATGTTATACCAACATGGTTTCTTTTAGAGGAGAGTCAAGCACCGTGCCATTGTCACACGACGTCAATGTAGGTGAGGGAGCTTAGGGAGGAGAATAGGGAGGGGAGGGGGAAAGTTGCGATTCAATCATACCAATACCACGGGAAGCCACATCAGTGGCCACCATGATTGGGCTCTTGCCCGCCTTGAATTCGTTCAAGACCCAATCTCTTTCTTGTTGTTGCTTGTCGCCGTGGATAGCTGGGCTCGTTGTTAGCAAGAGCATTAGGAAATGAGGAACTGATCCAGGAAAGACTTACAAAGTGCGGGCCATCCGTCCTGGCGGAGGAAGCGAGTAATCTCATCAGCAATGCGCTTAGTGCCGGTGAAAATGAGACACTTGTTGCCACGGTTTTCCATGATTTTCTCGAGGTGCTTGATCATCTTGTCGCGCTTCTCAAAGTCGGAAACGACCTCGACAATTTGAGTAATTCTGTGGTTAGCAGACAAGTCCATGGAACCGATGTTCACCTGGATGTAGTCGTTCAGGAAGTCAGTAGCGAGCTGACGGACTTCCTTGGGCCAAGTGGCGGACCACATGCAGGTCTGTCTGTCAGGACGAATCTGAGAAATGATCTTGCGAATCTGAGGTTCGAAACCCATGTCCAGCATGCGGTCAGCTTCGTCAAGAACGAGGTAAGTGACACGGCGGAGGTTGGTCCGGCCAGCTTCCAGCATGTCGATCAGACGACCAGGGGTTGCGATGCAGACTTCGACACCGCGGCTTAGATCACGAATCTGAGGACCCTTGGGAACACCACCGTAGACGCAAGTGTTGCGAATCCGGGAAGACTTTCCGAACTTGCTAATTTCGGTTTGGATCTGAACAGCAAGCTCACGGGTAGGAGCAAGGATGAGAACGATGGGACCATCGCCAGGAGCGAGGAGAGGCTGAGCGTTGATGTGAACGATGGCAGGGAGACAGTAGGTGAGGGTCTTTCCGGAACCAGTTTCGGCGATACCGACGACATCCCGACCAGAAAGAGCCATAGGCCAACCCTGAGACTGAATGGCAGTGGGACGCTCGAAGCCTTCAGCCTTGACCTCACTCAGGACGTACTGGGGGAACCCAGCCTCGTCGAAATTCTCGACGGGACGAGGCACATTGCGTCCCTGTACAGTCATCTCGTGCTTCTTGCGGAACTCCTCAACCTCGCGCTCAGAGCGAGCGGCAACATCGGGATGCTCCTTGTAGAATGACTTTTCGAACTTGGGAAGAGTGTCCAAATCTAGGGATAGCAAGTCAGCACCAAAAGTCAGAACAGTAATCGAAGGTAATCAACTTACCCCAATCTTGCTTCTTCAAGCCAGCGCCCAGGTTCGACATGCGATCACCACCAGCGGCACCTCCACCGCGACCATAGCCACCGCCATAGCCACCGCCGTAGCCACCACCGCCAGAGTAGCCGTTGCCATTTTGATAACCGCCATCGTGACCACCTCTAGAGCTGTATGCATTTGTCAGTCATTAACTGAATCACAGATGTGAAGTTTCCAGATTTCTAGAGATAACTCAAGCCATCATCGACGCCAAACAAAGGTTTTGCAGGGCTATTGTCGCGCAGAACGCTAGCATAGCAACATTGAGTTGGCCAAAGGCGAGCGAGGGAGAACCCCAGCGAGTGATACCCAACCCAGGCCAGGGCAATACATTTCAACAACATATCACTTGCGATATCTCCGGAATCTGATGGATTTTGTCTCAAGAATGATGGAACTTACCGATAAGAATCGCCGCGCGACTCGCGCTGATAACCGCCACCGTAAGAAGACATGGTGTAGTTTTGTGTTATTTTGATGAAACAGAAAACGACGACGATGAAGGTGGAAAGGGTGACAGAAGTAGACTAGAGAGTACCAGAAGTAGGTAACAAGACTACTGAGAGAGAGATGAAGACGGAACAGTGTCCGATTCAGATGAAAAAGAGAGAGGTAAGGGGATAAAAAGAGAGAGAGAGATGGGCGAGGAGGAAAGGAAAAAGATCTCAGCGGCAAGAAAAAGTGGAAATGAGCGGGTTGAAAAGGAAGAGGAAGCGGCGAATAAGGGACTTTCCTGTTGTGGTTAGCGTGGGCAAGACTTTTCCTTTACCGCCTCTTTTGCCACAAATCACGTGAGAGATAACGCCTTCGGTGTTACCTTGGGGTTATCAACAGAAAGGTCTTCGCTAATGCAGGCTCGCTAATGCTACAATTTCCGCCTGTTTAGCAGAGCCACCAACTCCGCAAACCCCGGTAACGAATAGGGATCAGGCATGGGATTTTGCCACTTCTATTGAAGCGACTCAATGATTTTCAAGACGACCAGATTTTGTCGCTCAGTCCAATGTAGTCCGACCTATTACGTCCTTGATCCTGGTATCTGCCCCTATCTGATCAGATAGTGTACTGCATCTACTTTACCTAGATCTGCTGCTTTGTGTAGAGCGGTGCCGAGGCGGATGAAGTGAGATAGTCTCTATGAGAAATAATGATTTTCATACGTCTTCGGGTTCAATGGCGCACCCCTTCAAGAAGCATGGCTTGCACATAACGACATCAGCCTGTTGGACAATAGCATGATGGACTAGTTGTCCCTTGCGGATATCTCCACGATCACGAAGAAGCTGGATATGAAGCGAAGCACGTTCAACGACGGAAGACAATGGCGTGAGGTCAATCAAACATTGACCATATGGATCTGCTCCATGTTTAAGAAGCCGGATGGTCATCTCATCGTCTTCAGTAGCATATCCGGGATAATGATGAGTGAGGAGACTACATTTTCTAGGTTGTACAGCGACTTACCCATGCACTGGAGGTGTCTGCTCGCTTGTCGGTTCATTGATGTCCCATTCGTTTGGAGGAAGATGTCGAGCGTGGGCTTTGATTTATGCTTTATTGCCTCTTAAAGCATAATCTTGGTGCATTGGCAAACCCGCAACGGAATAGTTCGGAGACAACTTCCGGTAGTCTTGTTTCAAGGCTTATAGCATCACTGAGGCAAGGTCACATTTGTTGGATCTAGCATAGCTAGAGACCCATGAGACTAACATCGTTTTAAATCTCCGGAAGTCTTTGGTGGTGCAGACAGCCTTTGGTTCTTCGATTATCTTGACTGGCGTATCACACGCGATACAAAGTAGGCCGGAAACATGCTGTCCTAGTGAGCGGAGGATATACATGCCGAATAGAAGAGGATTTGAGCTGTAGAGAAGAGGGTTGTGGTTGATCGTTGTCTGCGCCCGGAGGTTTCTAGAGGCTGCTGGACTTGATTAAACATCTAGCCTTGCCATTCTATCCTACAGTTTAATAGTCATCTCTATATAAGATTTTCTACGTGCTCAATGAAGTCATATGCGCTCGTGGATGGTCACCCAATCCCATATCCCAGAAGCTGATTTCCAACTCCGTTGCCCGTATGAAGATCTTGATCAGTTCCTCCATCCGACTGGGTGAGACCTGTCGCATGTGTGTCTCCAGTAGTTCTAGAACACTTTTGTCAGCCACATATGCTTAGGTACGATTGCGAAGGAAAGAATTGTATCCCTACCGGAACCCAATCGAACAGCTTCCGTATACTCTTCAGCAACATAATTCTCAATCCACTGCCAATAGCGATTGCCCTCTCGAAGGGTCTCCTTCTCAGTGTACAGTCGCCTGGCAATGGCTCCGTAACCGATGAGACAGGGTGCAAGAGCCATCTGCAGTGCGAGCCAATCCTCCGATTGTCCCACGTCGAGAATGTACCGGCTGTACGCCGTACAGGCTAGATTGAGAGTCAGCAGCAATCAGAGAGGAAGCAGTTGAAACCTTGAATACTCACCAAGGCTTTCAGGGTAACTCTCCATTTCTGCCTTGGACAAGCCAAAGGAGGCACAGTAGTTCAAATGCAGAGCCGTCTCCCGTTCAATATGTAATACGATCTTTGCAGACTAGAATTTTTTTGTCCCGTCAGCGTCGATTATTTCAATGAAAACATGTCCTTGGTGAGCGAACTAACTGCGGCAATAGACGCCATGGATTTTGCTTTATAAGCAGCCAGCGAGTTGCTACGGGCAAAATGAACCTGAAGGAACCAGCAAGTCAGCAAGATGGCTGTCAAAAGTATCAGGAGGTTCTCACCAAGTAGAGATAGTCCTGCACCAGGTATTGCTTAAACCGCTCCACGGGAAGCTTGCCACTGCCCAGGCCGTGGACAAACTCATGCTCTGTAAACTTCTTCCAAATCGGACGGATATCAGGTCGGGCTAGAGCATACTCCAGGAAACGATTGCTGAGGTTGTGTTAGTCACATGGACCAGGGAACTAGAATAGCAGGACCTACGGTGCAAAAGGCAAGGAATACACGGAGTGAAAGTGGTTGATTGGACCACTTCCCTTGCCCATGTCGACACTCGTCTTGATTCCCGCTTCGACAAATCGGACAGCACTGTGAACTGCTCGTTTCATATCCTTCGCAAGGGCCAGATTGGCCGCAATGGCTGACGCCAGAGAGCAGCCCGTGCCATGAGTGTTCTTGGACACGAGGAATTCGGTTTCGAAGAGAGTGGTGTTCTCTCCGTCGTACAGAATATCGATCACTATTGACGCATCCTCAGGGTTCTGAGCCGCCTCGTGGGCTGCTGTAAGAGGTAAATGACCGCCTTTCAAAAGGACAGCCTTGGGACCCAAAGCACGAACTTGCTTTGCGAGTTGAGTGAGCTCGGAGAGGTTCTTCGGTTCTTGTACGTCCAGTCCGGCATCTTTCAGTAAGAGGATCGCCTCAGGGATGTTAGGAGTGAGAATGGTCGTCAGGGGTAGTAGCTTTGTGCGCAGACTCTGAACAGCTGCTTCGGGTAACAGTTGAGACCCGCTCGTAGAGACCATAACCTGTTTATGCGTTCAACCTCAGATACCTTTACTTCGAACAGTTCAACATAATAGAATTACCGGGTCCAAAACCACTGAGGGGATTTGATGCGAAGTCAAAGCCTCAGCGATGACATCAATCGTCTCTTCAGAGGAGAGCATGCCTGCGTCTCAATTAGCTGCAATTGCCGGACAGACGGGTGGGATTCGGAAGGCAGGCGACAGTAACAAAGGAAGAAATATCGATGCATGATACTCATACCTAGTTTGACAACATCTGCTCCCACATCCTCCAACCCAGCATTAATCTGCTTCTTCACAAACCGTGCAGGGACGATGAAAATGTCTTGCACCCCCAAGGTGTTCTGGGCGGTTAACCCCGTCGTCGCTGTCAGAGCATAAACACCATGAGCAGCGAGGACCCTCTGATCAGCTTCTAATCCGCTGATTCATTTCATAGCGTTAGTCGGACATTTACATTCCTTTTTTAGGAAACGATGACATACGCGCCGCCTGAGCTGTCCGAGCCGGCGATGACCAAAACCCGCTTGACGGCCATGGTAGGGATGGCGATATCTCCGAGCTGATCGATTCAGGAACGGCTGATGGAGATAATTGATTCAAAGAGTTTGTCTGAGAATGATTGGATGCGTCGTAGAATGCACGGCACTAAGACGAGAGAAGTGCCGACTGCCACCAGTGGGGAAATTTCCATTGCGGGGCTTTATTCGATAAGAGGCCGATAAGACAGAGCACCCTAAAACAGAAGAACGTCGCTTTGTAGATAACTGGAGCAAGGGAACTTGGTTCGTTCGGAGCCTGATGACTGTACAAGCACAACCAGTCTCAAGCAGCCAGGTTTCTTTTGCACATTATAAAATGCCTTTCATGCATTGGTCAAGCGAAGAAATGCTACCACTCATTATACAAACAGTGAAATCATTACGCTATCCACAGACAGAGCCCAAACCATCCAAATGCCCCTGTATATACAAAATCCAAGAATCCCAGTCAGAGACCGCATGACAGCAAAAATCGTTTATGGAAGCATGAACCGGAAAAGGGCATCCATTTCAACCCATTGTCGGCCGCATTTCTTCAGGTAGCCATCCACCACACCCTTGATGGTGCCGAAGCGAGTGCGATTGAACTCGACCAGCGCTGCGATGCTGTCTTTCTTTTCGCCGCTGGCCTCCTTCTGAGCATTGGCTTTAGCCTTGTCCACATCCCAAAGACCTGCAAAGTAAAGCAACTGGTTGTACATCTGCTTCTCCGAGTACTCATACGTCATACGTCCAAGGCAGCCCTCAGCGCGGCCACGAGGCCCCAGGCACCGGTGTCCATAAACGCTCATTTGGCGAGTTCGGTTGCCGCATGCAGAGTCATCACAAACCAGCCAGCCTTCGTAGTACTTTGACGTTTGAGCACGAATTTGGCTCTCCAATTGTGCAATTATCGTCAGCACGGTGAAAGGTTTTTGACATGCTTGGTTAGGGCAGACAATGCCATTGGCTGTACACATATGAGTCGAGGCCACGAGTCCCTCAAAGATAGACTTCTCTTTGCAAGATCGACAAGTCAGCGTAAGCCGAGCAGCATTCTCGAAACGCACAGAGTCTGGAATCTGGGACTCTAACGGAAAGATATCCGCATTCTGCTGGTTGCTTCCACTGGACGTATTGATCTGATACTTGCGTACATCCAGACCCAGACACTCAGCTAGCCGAACTGCATCAGTTCCCGGAATAGGCGCACAAAGACGCTCAATGGGAGGGAAAATCTGCTTAAGGAGGTAAAATTCAATATCGGGCTTGAGACTGTTGTCGGACTTCATGACATCATGAAGGGTATACGACCGCTTCGCTGGCGGTAACGATGAGGTCTCCGAGTCTCCATTCGTCACAATGTATGAAATGACATCGTTGGGTCGAATTGTCTTGCCACGGGCGAGCTCACGCAGGGCAACTTGTGCGGGAGGCATCGTCTCCTTGTTCGGGTATTCCTCTGGCCGTTTCGACAGTTTCTGTAGAGAGCATTAGCAGTGCAAAAGAGATCGTCAGGGGCTGGAAGCTTACCGTGTAGATCACGTATTTCTGAACTGGAATCTGGTACCCGCGCATTTTGTCGCCTAGGTCTCGAAGGTAGTCGTGAACTCGATTGAGAACCAGCTCTTGGTCTTCACCGGAGAGAATTTCATTAAGAAGTTTCTGAGATACTTCCTTCGACAGGGCACAGTATTCACGACGTCTCATATCCAAACCTTTGACCTCGAGCTTATCCACAAACTTTCCGTCCACCTCGGTCATGTTGACGGCTGCATACTTCTTTTTAGCGTGCAATAACAGGCGACGGAAGATGTTGTCGATATCTATTTCCAGGAGCCGGTATCGTTCGTTGACGGATTTCTTGAACTCCTCGCCAACCTTGAGTGCATCACTGATAGTGTCCATGTTGGTGTTAATCATAACAGAGTCGGTATCACCATAGATGACGCGGAGCTGCTTTGATTCCGCAAGCTCCTTGGTGCTCCTCAGAATCTCACGACCCTTGAAAGTTGTGAGCATGGCCAGAGGACGAGCATAGAAACGACTCTGTGTATAACCCAAACATCCGTACATAGAGTTAGCGGTCAACTTAAAGGCCAATTGTTTGGTATCCCACAACGCAAGCTGTTCAGGTGTTGCGGATTTGGATTTCATCAACTTCTTCACTTCGCGACGGCGACCAACAAGCGTGGCAATGAGTTTAGGAAGAATACCCTGCTCTTGATCCGAGGAAGGAACTTCCGGCACTTTCTCTTCGTTCTCATTTTCAGCCTGACAATCACGTTAGTAGGGTGCGAGTAGGAATTGTCAAGGCAACTGTTGAGTGCTTACCGTGGCGGTCCGGTCCACGGTCGTGAAGCAGATATTGTACTCTTGGATGATGCTCGGATACAAACTGTTGAAGTCCATGACCAAGACAAACTTGTCATAGAGACCCTTTTCGGGCTCGAAGACAAGACCGCCTTTGTATTTGTCCTTCTTCTTCTTGTCGCCGGCATCATCATCGTCGCCATCCTGATTCTTCTCTTCCGCCTTCTGTAGCTTGGACGAGTATTTGTCAGGGCAGATGTATTTGTTTCGGTGAAACTCATGCAGCAAAATGTATTCGTTACGCTCAGCGCGAGTACCACTGAGGGTTCGAGCCCAGGAATTGCCAGCAATATTTGTGAGGACTTTTGTGAGGGACAACATTTGCAGCCGCAACACCAGCGCAGCAATAAAATAGGTGTCCGCATCGCAGTGGTTCACAAAGTTCATGAGACCTTCTTTGGAGGTAGCCCAAGTCTTCAATGCCGCCTCAGTATCCAGTTCCTGCCGTGTATTGCCGTCTCCAAGGTAGAGTTCGCACATTTCTGTTAAGCTCCACGATTGACATTTCATCATGAGAGACTGGCGATGTTAACATATAATCCTCGACTTATTGCCACGAGAATCTTACCTTTCCCATGTCATTCGCTACATCGCACATTAATCTTCCAGCGATCAGGTGCCTTTCAGCAAAGAATCCTCCGCCTTTGTTGAAGCTTTTGGGCCACTCGCCACGCTTTAGACGTCCAATGCGATGCCACCCGGGGGTCTTCTTTTCTTTCAAGCGATTGAGCAGAATGCTGAGGTCGACTTCTTGTAGTTGATGTCCCATAAGGACATCAGGATCCATTTTTTCGAACAATGCCAGGAATTTGCTCAGCAGAAATTGTTCGCTCTTTTCCAGCATGAAAGTGCCTCGTTGCTTGCGCGTCTCAGCCTCGAAATGAAGTGGGTACGAAGAGCCAACTGGTCGCATGACAGTGAATGTCTTGCAAGGGAGTTTCTCTGGAGGAGTAGTGTCTGTGAGCGAGACATTTTCGTAAACACGTGCACTTGCCACCAAAATTTCTTGCTTGTTCTCCTTCACATTGAGCTGAGTCCTGAAAGCAAGACTCATGAGTGTAAGGGGTGGCGGCTCCAGATTCTCCGTGTCAGGCACAGGTGTAATGGAAGCAGGTCTAGCAACCTGGCACTCGAACTTGCACCATGACGCATTGTTGACAGCTGTAAAATCGGCATCCTCAATCTTGAGCCAACATGGACCCATGATGTTTTTCCAAAGCACAAATTGCTCGAAGAGAGAGGTGTTGGTTCCGAAGACATGAGAGAATGTTTCGCCCTTGGTTTCCATCGGTAATGTCGGCTTGTCGTACGGGTAGAGCAACTTCAAGTACTCTGCTTCCTTGGGAATATCGGGCAATTCAAACGCGTACTTGCGTGTGCACGGTTTGATCTTATGCATCCCGACTTTGAGCCTGGACATCATCTCGTCAACCTCTTCATAGACATCTTTCATATCCACCTCCTCATCGGTCACTCGACCATGTTTATATCTGTACTCGCGAGGAAGGAAAAAAAGCTTTCGTAGAATATTGTCGATTTTGACGAAAGCGCTGACATGAGAACCGGTGTGCTTGTTCTTCACCTTGCCAAATAAGCATAAACTGCCGTTGACCTCCGTAAAGTCGAGCCAAAACATGCGCAAACTTCCGTCTTCTTCAATCACATCCTGTGCACGAAGCTTACCGAAAGTCCGTGATTCCGTTGCTGGACTGCTAAGGACGTTCAGTTTACTCCGGACGTCGTTCCAAGAAGCATTCAGAACGTCCACAGGGGCTTTTGCGGGAGAAGAGTTGGTAGGAGTGGTATAATTCTCTTTCTTTATCTTCGGAGGCGGACGGCTTCCAGCCATGTTAACACTTGTCATTTTGGCTTCACTTTGTCCTGTTGCCGGAGCAATCTCCATGAGATCATTGTCCTCTTCATCAGATTCCTCCTTCTTCACGTTGATGTTCGACTTCCTCTCAACTACTTTGCTGATGGGGGAAGATGGCATAGGATCACTCATGGCCACATCGCCGTCATCCATTGTAGGGAGGGGTCCGTCGTCGTCTTCGAATTCGAGGTCCGGTGCTTGGTTAACAGGCGAGACCGGCTCGCTGTTCTCGTCCTTTCTGCTGATCCTCTCATTTCGTGGCTTCGAGACTAACGGAGGCGAAAGAATGCGGACTTTGCGTCGAGTTTCCGACTTGATCACATTCTGTGTAGGAATATGGTTCGCAACGACATTGGTATCGACTTCTCCGAGCAGATCTGCCATGAAAGCTTCGTCTTCTGCCGTGACAACGGGCTATTCTCATTAGAAATAACGCTAATCATCGTGCAAGTAAATAAGACTCACTTTCGGCTTCGGAGCAGACGCAGCAGGTCCAGTGTTGAAGTATTTTGAGATGCCATTGTTGATTTTCTCTTTTCTCTGCTTCTCCTCTTCCCGTTTCCTTTTGGCAGCTTTGCTGCGCCCTGGTAACTCGCCATCGTCGCTTTCGCTGTTGTAGTCCGCTACTCGTTCATTCCATACTTCCCGTCCATCATCCGCGTATCCTTCACCGTTGTCGTCGACCACGAAATCATCCTGATCCAGCCGGTTACGGATAATTTTCTTGTAACCTTCGTCATCGACCTCTTCGTAGATGTCGTCTTGCTCTTCAATCTCGTATGTCGATAGACGTTTCTTTCCTGCTGCACGAAGAGCTCGCAGCTCTGCCAACTTCGCGCGTGCGGCAGACATGGCGCGATTATCTCGGTTGACCTATCGATAGATGGTCATCAATGACTTCGCCGGTGGTGACTGGGTTCTGCAATTATCCAGTAATTGAATCTTGAATAGTGTGGACTGGGGGAGGGATGGCAGTCCATGCGGGCTATCGCGCAAGGAAATGACGACGCGTTTGGGACGCGGGTTGGACGCGCCTCCGCCAATCCCCATTCGGTTAAAGTGGGGGTACGACTCCCACGATAAGAGGATCATCCGAATTAAAACATTCGAGCTGATCGGGTTGTAAATTCGGAAAGATCATGGCTGAAGGCTAGGTTTTGAGTAATACATGAATTTCAGACTCTGCGACACGGAGATTGCTCTACAAAAAACCGACAACTATCTCTACATTTTGGGCATATCGAAAATATGAGCCCAAGGTAACTCTAGCTCCTAAGCTGGCTCGTTCAAGATGTATTCTCGTCAATCAGTCTGACATCCCTTCCGTGTCGGTGTCGCTGAATTCTTCTGTACCACGCACGTCAGCAGCTAGCATCGTCTATCAGGCTGAGATCTGGCGCTCACCCTGTGCAAGACCGAAGTCAAAGGTCCCATCAAGCTTGTGTTTCAAAATGTCGCGGATTAAGCTCTGTGCTTCCTCTGTGAGACTTGTTATTGAGTTCAAAATCGTGAGACTCATTCCTGTGTTACCGGGCCCCAATTGCGCGATGAAATCGAGTATACCCTGAGCCGTGAACTCGCTGAGCGCATGGATGGCCAGACTTCGTAGCTTTGGAAGGCATAAAAATGCATTCCATACGTCATCATTGAAGAGGTCACCTCCGATCCACAATTTCTCCAAATGGGGAAGATATGGTGTGAGTGATATGAGATGATCAGGTGTGAAATAATCGGAAATATCCTTGAGCTCAAGTTCATGCAGATTGTGTAGCTGGCAAATGGCTTGGACAAGCAACTCATTATCTTCGGGGATCTCGGACCCTTCACCTCGGAGACTGAGACGTCGCAGTGAATCTTGAGATGCCAAAGCTCTGTGGAACCGACGAGAGCCAACCATTGTATACCCAGTCAGAGACAAACTCAGTAGCTTAATGTCCTCGGCAACCAGGACACGAGCCAGTAGAAACGTGTCATCGACAAATCTTCTAAGCTCCAGGTGTCGCAGTGCCTTGCAGCTACCAATCCAATCGGCAACTCGATTGACTGTGGAATAAAAGTCTTCGTTCCGCGCTGCTGGTATTGAATCGGTCAACACAAGCACCTCCAGCACTGGCGGCGCGGTTAATGAAAGCAACTCTGCAATTGCTTCGATCCCAAGGCTTGTCAATTTCAGCTCTTTTAGTGATTTCAACTGCGTGCCGATAGCTCTTATCGAGCGTGGCCCTAAGTGACAAGAGCTCAGCATCTCGAAATACTCAAGACTGTGAGGCTGGAGTCCGTGGAGAAACTCCTCAGCATCAATCTCCGAATTTCGGCCTTGTTCGTCGATCCTGGCCGACTCAGTGAATATACTGCTTTGCCGAACACTAACACTCTGGTATCTTACCATCGATATATCGTGATTTGCTTGAAATCAGGGCAGTAGGTTCGGATTTTGTCACCGGCATGGTCAGTTAGGGAAACTCCAGACCAGATAGTCAGATTCTGTAACAATGGCAGTTTCCCCAGCCACTCGGCTAGTAGTGAAGGTCTGACTAGAAGTAGTCGAGACGTCAAACTTGCTTCTGGAACAGAGGCCCCGTTCCGCTAGATATTTCGGATTTCCCACTTACTGTCGCAGGACATTCCGCGTATCGAGGTAGTTCTTTTGATAATAGCTTTGATCTTCTCAGCTTTTAGAAGGACAACCATGAATGGGGTTGCATATCCAAGGGAGTCTGGACACGGTACATCCGGGAGAAGACTGACCAGTACCGATCTTGGATAAGATCCAATCATTGTCAGGCAGATTCCGCTGTGAGCGAAGACGTTTATTTCCCTTGAGCTCATAATCGTGAGACACAAGGTCCCGAAGTTCGGGAGTAAAGAACTCGCTACATCTTGTCAAATACAGTTCCCGCAAGTCTCGCCAGGACATACTCTTTAATCTTCCCGGTGAACGAACTATGGCTGAGGAGATTCGATAAATCGTTGAGATCCAAGTACCGGATGTAACTGTAGTACGGAAGATAGGTTTGATCAAGAGCAGAAAGCACGATAGAGCGCCACATAGTGGCCCATTTTCGTCGAGTATGTGTCGAGTCCAGGCTGCCAAGTTCAGTCCCGCCGCCTCTGACAGGAGAGAGTTCGTGTGATCTGTATTCACACGGTCAGAAAATCTGTAGAGGACAATAACATAGAACATATGGACCTACTTATATATAGTGGTGACAGCTTGCTCAGTAAAACATTTCGCAGACACAGCACACTGGAATAGGCTGTTGAAGTCCCTCTCTTGTCCCAGGATCTCGACGATGAGGTAGATAATGTCACCAGGCAACCTTGAGGCCATACTCATGGCGGATTTTCAACCGTCTCCGTCGAAACTGCGGAGAATAACGCTGATTAGACGCAACATACAAACAGATTGCTCAAAACTGAAGACTTGCCTGCTGTTGATGCTGCCCTGGATTGCGGTCGAGTAAGCCTTACTTCCAGGCCCAGATTATGTAAGCTCGCGTCGTGACTTGGAGCGCTTGAACGAATCGATGAGGAGGAACGATAAACATCATCAGGTATTATGGGGTTTCAGCAATAGGATGATGACATTTTGATAACACTAGAATCTCGCGTCTTGATCCCTCTAAAGACGGACATGACATCGCTATTTTTCTCCCTCAACCCAGAGGCATTAGGGCGGATGCATGATGCCCTTTTATGTCTGGCCAAATTCAGTGAGACGGTCTCTATAGAGGCCGAATCAAGTTTAGTGAGATCATACTGAACTATCTGAAATTCAATGAGTGTCACGATGACTGACGAAATGGTAGCTTCGACTAAGCGTCATCAACTCCAGCAAGACCGCCTATGCTGCATTTGTCCTCGACGGAGCAAGTTTCTTCACAACTTACTCATTCAGTCATAATGGTCAGAGCGAAAATGTCCGCTTGGACAGATTCTGCTGTCAAATCTATCTCAAAGTCAGAATCGCCCAGAACCGAGCATTGAGTGACGAGGCTGATTAAGAAAGGCTTTGCTGTCCATCTTCAAAGGGAGAACCACTGGACGAGATAAGGACACAGCGGTCGAGAGGTGCGAGTTTGAACTCAACGAAGATCCTGGCGAGACAGAATGCAGGCTCGTCATTAGAATGATCTGTGGGCTGGGTGCGTCTTTGCAATCTATCTCCGTCACTCAGGGGTCCAAAGTACTTATTTTTTCTTGACTTGGCAGGAGTCATCAGGACTTACAGGCTCACTTATGAACCGACTACAGCTCAGCATGCCATCTTCGACAGGTCTAGCGCAACTAATAAATGGAGCATTGAGCCCAGGTTTTTGAGAGAAATTACCGACCACTTTAGTCCGTCAGCAGAGCAACTGGATATCTACTCCGATGGTGGCAAGGCCATCTTTACAAGCTTCACGACGAAGATCACTGATGGTCAAGGTCTGCGCCATTGAGTAGCTCTGTTGGTCAACTGGAACTGACTAGTTCGCTTGCAGAGATTCTCAAACAACCAGTACACACCTCCGTGGCTATCGATAAAAGAGACTTTGAGGCTTTTTCGGCTGAAGATGAACTTCATATTGCCATTACTCTGAAGGACTTCAAAGCGATTATAACCCATGCAGAGACAACAGGCGTGCTGATCACAGCTCGGTACGCTCGCCCATGTAGACCACTGCAGCTTGCATATGACTTCGAGGGGGTTAGGACCGAATTCACCTTGATGACGACAGGCGAAGATGATAGTGAGAACTTCCCATCATCACGAGCAGCCGTTCCCGAGCTGTCCGCAAGACAAACGCCCGCGCCGGTGCACGTCTCTCAGAACAATGCTGCGTCGAATAGGGAACAGATGCCACCTCCTCGCAGTCGATCAATTCGGCCGCTGACTGGGACAACCGACCGCGTCAAGGAGACTAATGTTGTGAGTCAGCAGCCACCGCCACCGTCAATTCACTTTGACAGTCTGTTTGTCCCAGCGGATGATGACAGGCAGTGGGATGTGCCGAATGAGGAGGAGGAGACTATGGCTGAGGACACGCTTGGCTGGGACGCTACAGCTGATCAGGTAAGGACTCCAAGGTGTCTTGTGGAAGGTAATTATTGATCGTGCTCTTCAGGAAACTTTCAACGCAAGCCTTGGGCCTCGCTTGCGAGACACTGAACCCGTTCTGCCACATGGCTCAAACCAGCAAGGGCCTCAGGAAGAAATGGGCATTCCTCCAACACAACGCATTTCACAGGTTGGTCGACGCCTCTTGTCAAAGGACGAGCTAACAATCAGCAGGTTCGTGGACTCGGCCTCTTCGATTAGATTGTTGATGTCCATTATCGTCAATTTAAAGTCCAGCGGGTGGATCGTACGGGATCCAGTCCGCAAGTTGACTCAACCAGTCATTAAATTTCCTGGCTTTTGCTAGTTGCAGGGTGGTCATGATGTTATAATCCAGCTTGTTGCACAGCCTGCAGCAATGCCGACAACCTTAGAGCCATGAAGCGTCGCAAGCGGAACTTGCTTGTACGTTCCATTCACGTTACCTTGCGCGTCGATATCAGGGCCACAGTTGCCATGTTCGCCCCACCCAAATGCCGCAACAGTGTGCTCATCAACAAGTGCGAGAACATGTTCACTTCCCACAGCCAGTTTCTGAGACCGAGGCAGGTCCGGAGGAGGAAGCTGGCCTCGATCATTCCGTCCCCAGGCGATGACAGAAAAGTCGTTCTGATGTACATAAACACCATGCCAACTGGCTGCTATACCTCGGTAGTCTGTCAACGATTGGGATGCAGGAGCATCAGACAGTATATTCCACTTATTATCGCATGAGCCAATAATGGCATATTCCCCTGCGGCCTTGTTGCCCGAAATTACTGTAAACTCGCGCCCACATACCGCACCCTTGGCTTGAAAGGGAATCCCTTCCACTTTTGTAGGACACCATACAATCTTCATTCCCCTGGCTGATTCCCCAAGTTGACCCTTCCTTGCTCCTCCCCAGCCATAAACCTCCCCATTCGACAACACCACAACGGTATGCCCCATGCCACTGGCAATCGACACAACTTTTGTTCCTCGAGGAGGAAAATCAGGGATCTTTGTCGGCTCGACGGCCTTCGTACATCCTTGTCCAAGTCCTAGCTCTCCTTTCGCTCCTGAACCAATTACAAATATACTGTCCGCCTCACCAGACGGGTCCTCAGATCTAGCAACCAGGAACGTCCCCTCCCAGGTCGCCGACACGTGCTTGAACGTATCATAGCAAGTACCATCATCTCCACTTTTGACAATCACGCGCTTGAACATCTGCAGCGTCGCTGTTGCGAGATTATGTGCGCATCTGCCATCCTCGTTACAGCCGGCGACATATACCGATCCGCCTTCATACAAGATCAGGCTATGATTTCCTCCGGCAACGATACGGGAGATATTCTTCGCCTGTGTGCCATCTCCCTCTTCAGAAGATGTCTGGCCTTCTTCAAACAGGCATCTTGTAGGGAGCGAGACATCTTCATCATGTCCGATGCCCAGTTGGCCCGAGCCGTTCGAGCCAAATGCAAAAAGCGGCATGCTAGATGGCTAATTTGACGACAGTGGCTCAATATCGCATTCGCTTAAGTGTGTAATTGGCGACAGTATCATGGAGTAGTTGAAGTCCAGATCTCGATGGGCGTACTCCGTCAGTGTAAACAGCAATCAAACCCACCGCCTCCTTGAGCGCTTACTATTAACGCACTAGTCCTTCTTTCCGGCTGGCAGAATTCGTCGACTAATGGGGTAGATCACGTATTTTCCGGTTTGGAAATTACCTAGGTATGATTGTTGAAGCTTCCGCAAGTCTACCACACGATCATCATCACTACTATAGAACAAGACCGACAAGAGAATTGATCACTACCTTGGAAAATATATGTATCATGAAGTGAAAAGAGTCGCTAGAAATTCATTGCCCAAGAGGGTTTCTAGACGGGAATTTAGATCTATTCACAGTGGATAACCAGTCCAATCATCTAGACATTGAACAGGAAATGAGGGTATGAGAACATTAATCCAACAGTGCCAAGCAACAATCACGCGAGAGGGTATGTACCAGTTGAAGAAAACAAGGTCTTTTTCCCAAAACAGGAGGGATGGAGAAAAGACCCTTCCTCAAAAAAAGAAAGTAAATGGAATATACAAGTTGAATTATTTTCAGAGAAGTGAAATTTGTGGTGGCGCTCTACTGTTGTGTCTTCTCATTGAAAGAATCAGTAGAGTCACCTCCTTGCGCAGCAGGGGGCAGGGCGAAGTTATCAGACTTGGCGGGCTTTTCCTCCATACCCCGGAACATGGGGCTGGTCCGGTGGAAGTAAGAGTGGACGTGACCCTCAAGCAGAGACTCGTCGGTGTCGAACGCGAGATCCTCTACCTTGTCGTTCTCAGAAGCCTTGCGGGCCATTGCTGCCTCCCACTCGGCACGGAATTCCTCGACCTTCTGCTTGTAGTCGAGTTCGGCATCGTAGTACTTGCCCTTTCCGCGAAGACGCTCCCAGACGGACAAATGCTTGGAATGAACAGCAGGGCCATGGTACTCGTGTTCACGACCAGAGCGGATGAAAGCCCAGCGACGCTCCTGCTCCTTCAGGTCAAGACCAGTGGTATCGGGAAGGAAAAGGTAGGTCAGGACCACACCCGCCAGACCGAACCAAGGTACAACGTAGAACTTCGTCTGGGTGTCGATATAGTTGTACAGGATGGATGCCAACAGAGCACCTAGCTTACCAGCGGCAGCAGACAGGCCGTGAGCTGTGGCACGAATTGGTGTAGGGAAAACCTCCGCAGCGACCAAGAAGGTGACCGAGTTGGGACCGAACTGGTTGAAGAAGGAACTGAGGAAGTACATGGCCTGGAAAGCCTTGATGTGCGCCGGCTCTCTGTAGTATTGGAAATGGAAAGCGGGAATGATGAAGAGGATGAAGTCCATCATGAAACCGACGATTTGCATCCATTTACGCCCGTAAAGTTTGTTGTCGATAAGGAAGGAGGCAAGATAGTAACCAGCCAGCGACACGCCGACGTTGACCAGATTCCAGAGCCAGGTGGGCATAATCGATGTAGTCTCGGGGCTGATAACCTTGATGAACTCACTCTGGAAGAGCTTGTTACCGTAGAAGAAGACATCGTTGGCGAACCATCCACCAGCGGTAGCCACGATACGGAAACCAAAGTGACTGAAGGCCAGCTTCAGAGAGGTCACATCGTAGCCGGTAACCGAAGCCTTCTTCTTAGCGGCCGCGAGCTGCTTGCTAGCCGCCTTCATGTGGTAGGTACGGTAGTAGACCAGCCACAGGGTACCAACAGCAGGGATGGCGAAAGAAATACGGTAAGTCCACTGCGCGGCGACGCTGGAGTAGGGAGGATTGCCACTTCCATGATGGAAGCAGAGCAGCAAGATAATGAGGATGACCTGGTTGAAGAACTGACCCCAACCCTGCATCAAGAAAGCGCTAGTGACCTTTCGACCACGGTGCAGACGATCCTCCTTGGTGGAAACCTTTCCAGAGCCAACGGCATTTTCCATACCGCTGGTGGCAGTCATCGGGTACTCACCACCTATTATTGCAAGTCAGACAACATGCACCTGGAGGAAGAAAACCGAGAGAAATAGGAAGACTTACCAACACCAATACCGTAGATGAACAGAGACCAAGCATAGCAGATTACCCAGCCATTCTGGTTAACACCCCAGGCGGCGACGAGCATAACCAGACCGAGAAGCATAATAGTGGCATCTTGAATAAGGCCCCAGCGACGGCCAATCCTGATAGCCCAATTAGCATGGCTTTCCACCGATAATATTGAGGATAGAGATATCCTACCAGTCACCCAGAACTCCGACCAGAACCTGACCAACAATGATACCGACAATCTCCAGGTACTCAACGGCGTTGATCCATTGAGGGTTGCAAATCTTGTGGTCCTTCCAACACGACTTGAAGGCGGCTTGGAAGAGTGGCTTGACGTTTCCGATCGAAAAGAGCACATAACTAATCGGAGAAGACACCGAGATGTTAGCATTTGATCCTTCCCCGCAGATCTGTCTGCTTTGACAAGGCGGAGCGCTTACCCTTCCAGACCAAGACCAGCACCAGGAAGCACCATGTTCCGGAAATAGTAAGCCACAGGTGACAGAGGGTCCTTCTTGGTCATATCCCAGATGCCCTTGAGCTCACGCTTGGCTTCCTTGGCATCGTATGAACCAACGAACTTGATCTTCTTCACCAGGGGAAGATCCGCCCAGTAGACACCATCCGGCGTGTAGCTGTCATCTGGACGAATGAGAGCATCGAAGGCGCCCTTCTCATGAACATCCATGTCCTCCAAAGGATCATGGGTTCCCGTCATATCGGGCCCATGAGGAGCACGTGGGCCAAAGTCAGCCATTCTTTCGTCGAGTTGCTGAAGGATAAGAGATCCGAGACCCTGACGGAGAGCTTGGCCTTCACGACAACAAATCGTGGCAGACGCTTAGAACGTCCTTGTAGGACTAAAGGTGATTGCGAGGCGGTTGCACAATGCAAGCCAAGTCGAACGGGCTTGATGAAATCTTATATGCGGGCGGCTGATGGTAGGGGAAAAATTTCTGGGCAAAAGGCAGACGACGGCCAGCACGAGAGGTCGCCCCCGACACATGCGCAATTCGCGTTTTGTGATAAGTCGACAAAAGGTCTGGGCAGATCCAGAGTAGTGGCGGGTTCCACGGCAGCCTGCACTCGAAGTCGTCGAGAGGCAATCAACCATCAGACAACTCCATAGCGTCCCGAGCTAGAAAGAGGGACCACTCCGGCCTCGAAAGTTTGTTAGAATGGCCAAACTCATCTTAGCTGGAGGGTCCCTCCGGCGAGGGCCATTGGGATTGGCTGCCTCTCTCTTTACTGTCCGAATTCATACCATAATTGGTCGAAAATTCCACTTTGATTTTTATTTTATTTTCCGTGTTTAACAATAACTCCGTAAGCTAATTTGAAAGTCAGCAGCGGAACCAGTTTTGCCTGGATCGGAAAGCGGGACGAGATAGTTTACCAGCCTCCGCTGGCCAATCATTGATGCACGTGGTGGCAGAATCTGCAGAGAAAACCCAGATCGGCCTTCACCGCCTTCTAGAAGAATTCTTTCTGGTCCTTATATTAGCCAATCAAACTGTTCAATGCCACCTTTTCTCACCCCCACATCCGGACAGAAACGCCGCTTGCAGAGGACGAGAGCGGTCACGCCAGTAACCATGGACTACATCAATAAGGGCATTATGAATATTGACTGCAATTAATATCCTGAGACATGCATTAAGGTGTCAGTAGATATCTACCTAGGTAGTTCGGGTATGGTCATTCATTGACAGGGATCGATATCAACTTCGACGTCAGTCGCGATGGCAATATTTTAGAAAAACTTCATCTTGTCGAAGTTACGTCAGTTTGACGATTGGTGTCACACTGAATCGGTAACCAATTCAATACCTCGAATATGGCTTAGCCTATCTGGTCGGGGAGTACGGAGTACGGAGAGATTGAATAATAATACACACGATTTTGCTTCCGTTTGTGTATCACAATTATAAACTCTGAGAAGCTCGTGGTCAAATGTCCACCCCTCGCGTGAGTCGCATGTCATAATCCTTTTAACTAAAAAGCGCTTAACGTGGAGATGACAGTTAGTGGAATCTTGGCATCTGGACATCAAATCGGCCATCTTCATCAACCAGTGAGCTTCGTTCTTTCGAACACGTTCCTACCTGTCACCTGTAAAAGGGCAAGGTGCCTCGTGTGAGATGCCCATTTCTTGCATCTGCGCTAATAGCAGCCACTTCACCATGATGGTATGTCCTACGAAGTAGGATTGTTTGTTATGTCACTATTCCTCTCATCAGTTGATTTCCATGATGTTGATACTGGTGCTCTGTAGGTCATATGAACACATGCCTTGAGATTATCCGTGGTGTCAACCAAGTACATCAGTATCTATTCAGGTTGGAGATAAACTGGGAGCTTTTGCATTGCAAGATCATCAGCTCAGATCATCGAGCATTTTAGCCCATGATCAGACCTCGAATCAACATGCATTATTAAATCATATTCGAATTATTTGCGCCACATGAATCATAGTTCCCATCCAGCAAAATGTTTGGTCAAGTCCCACTCGCGATTTCAATATCTGCCAACCTTTCGGGGACGCAAGAGGGATCGAGCTCAGCGAGCTTTTGCTCGAGACTACCACTTCTATCTACATGAGCCGTGAAGACAACTCGCACGATGCAAACGTGGTCTCCGTTATCTCTTGGCCACGCTCCGTCTGTCTCAGTCCACGGTAGAGGATTTGAAGAGTCAATGCCAATAATAAATGTCGATCGTCATTCGCACTCAGCCATACTCTTGATTCTTACGTATGAGAAATGCTTAGCAATGCTTAGCAGTCTGTTACCTTTATTCACTTTTTGCTCGTGTGACATCGTAAGAACAGCCTCCTCAGACAGCCCTTTTCTTGAGCCGGAGTTGCCGCCCACTCAGCAGGAGATATCCAGTTTCTCTGCCTCAGGTGGTCGAGCCCACGCGTTGAATGACTCCAATTTCTATGAGAGAAATGAGTGGCCATGCTCCCTCCGTGGAGATTCCGTTCTCATTCTCTGAATACACTTTGGAGGAAGACGCTCCTGGTGCTGCATCTGCTGGTAATTGGTTGACGCTGCGAGCTCATTTATCTTCTGGACTCAAGAGAACGTCTACTAGTCTCTCCTGAATCCTGGTCATCCTTCTGCCATCCATATGGATTATGAGGATTTCGATCCTCAACTAAACTTGTACTAGTGATATCGTTTCCGCGATATCCAGCGGCGACATCAGCCACTGCGTCACATCCGTGTACACAATTCTTGGCCCACATCCCGGTTCGGCCTCGACGGCTGAGGCAGTGAGACTGCATCGGGTTCCGATTTGCGATCAGCAGTTCGCAGCCCCTTTCCTTAGCCGTGGATGGACCTGGCGCCACCATGCTTGATGCATATGCACGTTTGACTTCTAAGGCGCCTTCTAGAAGGTCAACGATGCTACCAGGCTTAGTCTAGCCACCAGAGGGAGGACTGGTCCGCTTGGAGCCAGTTTGTCACGTCAAAAAGCTCCTGACATAGAAACGTGGTGCAATATGACGGTCTTATTGGTTCGCATCCGGATAGACAATCTAGGTCGTACCCGACCTAGCTTAAGGTATCTCTTCTCTGCCCAATCCCATATCCAAATGTAGATGCTGCGTCGCTTTGCTTGCATGCCTGCTTCTCATTGAAGTCTTTACCATCTCTATCTGCGAAAGGGACGGGAGGAATGAATCGGGAGTCAATACCTTCCAATTGCTGTCTTGAATTCATTGGCCTTTCCATTTGCATGGCAGTCAAATGATTAATCATTCAGCCAATACAATAAGCAGCAGTGGCTGCCATGTTTCTTTCTCTGCAGCATATTGTTTTCTGTTACTCGAGGATATCAAGATATCACTCTGTGCGCTTCCGGGCAGCCTGAAATGAGTTGAGCTCAGCTTCTTAATGTTTAGACGTCCAGTTGTCCTTCACAGGCTACCGTCGGTGACAGCGGAAATGACTACCTCGGTCATTGGCCGATTGACGTGCTTGTTATGATCTGTTGATGGCAAAAACCGTCATGCCTGTTCTCTGTCAACCCGTACGCGTATGTATACACGTCTATGACTTGTAACCCAACAGGAAAGCAAGGCATTGAACTTCTCGAGGCTTTCTTCACAGTCGGCTCCTGCTTGCTTCAAGTCACAGTCTGTCGACGTCAAGGTGATTGCAACCCAAGATGAGCCACAGCTTCACCCTTCGTAATCGAGTCTCCCTGATAACTTGGACGTCACTGGACAAACTTGAAGATCTGGATTTGCGACCCGTTTTTCCTTCGATTCTCTGTCTTTCCTGGACATCCTCCTGCGATTAGTATTGCGATTGTTTCCGTTTTGTGTCCGTCCTGCAACAATGACCCCGTCGACTTCGTTTGTATTTGCAAAGACCTCACATTGAGATGAGGGTCTTCCCTGCTCGACGCACCGATCAACAGCACATTGCGTAACAGACATCAGGGAAAACCTTCTTTTGAAGTCTAACCCTCAGCACGAAGGTGGACTCAATGTCATAGTGGCGACTGACGCAGTCAGGAAGTGAAACCATGATGTCAAGCAGACTGGAATTGGTCCTTAACCACGGGCTTCTCCTCCAAAGTGTCTGCTGATATATTGACCAAATTCGAACATACTTGGTTATCATTTCTCCGAGAACTTTGGTCTGCGAGGACCTCTCCAATCTTCGTCGTCTGATTTTACCGATTGGATATTCAGCCCTTGTCCTCCAGACTATTGGCTTGATATCGAACTGACACCCTCAAGTGCTAGACTTTGCCTGATGGCTCAGTATTTCTATCAACAAACCTCAGCTTCTGGAATCGTGAACTGTGGACACCACTGTTTAGCTGGGTCTGGATAGTCCTTCAGACACGCTTTCCAGCTCACCTTGCCTCATGTTGCGGCTTCTGGAACTTGTTTTGAACTCATGCGTCAGAATCTTCAGCAGGTCAGGCTCATACCTCTCTGTCTTGCTGTTGTTCCGTGTGGGGTATCTATCTAAACTTAACACCACATGGCGAGAGCTGGCCTTCAGGGCCACGTTCTAGTTTCAGGATGGATAGGCCCTGTAGTGTTCCATTACACTGGGACTGAACGTCATCATCGAGCATAAAACACAAGTTTGTGTCGATCAAGTCTAAACATTTTGAACGATCTCCCCGAGCACGAGGGCTAGAATGCTTAGCACGAAGAAGGTTACGAGCTGTACATATCATTTCGGGTCACGCTGTTATTTGCAAGGTTGGCTTACAATTGGCTCACATAGCCGATAAGTTGGTAAGGCATGTGCCAGGAAAATGACCGGCGAGTCCTGGAACTACCTACAAATATTAAGGTACTATATGTTGTCGCATAATTTTTCCACACAACACCACTGGTAGAACCTTGACATGATCTCTATTAATCCTGCTTGGATTCCTTATTTAATTCCAGAAATTTAATAGGAGGTCTCGTGTCATCATGATCGTGCCCGATACTTGTGGTTGGGTGGTTGGACATTCTGAAGGGTCAACAAAAGTTCCTTACCATCAACCCTTCATTTCTCAGGGTGACTGGAGTATCTACAGGTTAGCGCTATCTAGAAACGCCATGTTTTCTACATCTGAGTCACGGTCAAACACAGGTAGTGACGCCACAAACACTACACTATCTAAGGCTGGGTGGGTGAACGGGCATGCCTGAGGCTGGTCATACATTCCTCACATTCCTCCATCCCAGCCCACCTCACTTTGACTGCTAGCATTCCACGGCTATACCATTCTTCCAGTAATCAATGATCCGGAAGCGGTTCCAGCAACCGCAGATATGACCAGGCTTCAACCACGTGTACAGGAGCATGCTTTCAATGTTGATCTGCCATCGCCAGGAATGATCTCCTTGCTCGAGCTCTGAGAAGAGAGTCTATACAAAATGAAACAGGTCGTCCCTCGTCCTCGGCTGTCAGACAGTACAGCCGTTGATCAATTCCCTCTTTGACACTGAGTTAAGAACGCAAAGCTAGTCATTGAAATGGCTCGACTGTTGATCTTCCTACCTACCGTGTGCGCGTTCATCGCCTTCATACTGAGCATATTATGTCTTTTTGCAGGGACAAAGAAGGATGTCCTCTCGGGGGCGGATATTCTCACCGTGAGTTGGCTGTCCCCCTCTGCTGTGTGTTTCCCACGTGCTGATGAGTGTGCCAGATCTACACGTCTACATTAGCAGCGAAGAAACCGGGAATGCACGATTTCTACTCAATACACGTTATGTCCTACTGCGAAGGCTTCCTTGACCTCAACGAGACTGGACAACGAAAGAACCTGACGGGTTGCTCGGACCGTACCGCGCTCTTCTCATTCAACCCGTCCGAAGTGCTGCTGAAGGAAACGGGAAATACTACTTCGCTGGCGGACATGGGATGGCCAACCGCGGTCAGCGACGATTTCCGCGCCTTCAGGATCACCAGCAAGAGTATGGGAGTCTTCTACTGCATTGGAGTAGGGACTGCCGGTCTGGTCATTCTGGCGAGATTGTGGTTCCTTCTAGTCAAGGGACCACGACAGACAATTGCCGAGGTGTCAGGTCTTCTGGTATGTAGGAAGCTGTTTGGCTGGCTCCCGAGTCCCGACTGAGGTTGCATGGCAAGGAAACTAACTATCATGGTCTTACTCGGCACTACAGATCAGTTTCACCAGCCTTAGCATTGCCTCGATAGTCGCAACCGTGATCGCATTCCAATTCGTCAACCTCGTCAACTACCACGGCAAACACTCGGGCGTGACCGCCAGATATGGCAACCAATTTCTAGGCATGACATGGGCGTCTGTCGGGCTGTCGCTCGTCGGCGGGATCGCGAGTCTGCTGTTTGTCCTCGTCGACCGTTCCCGACCTGATCCGAGACCCGAACCCGAGGCGGAGGCCGAAAACGAGCCCAAGGAGCGGATCCTGTATCGTGAGGAGGATTCGGATTCGGTGAAGACCAAAGTGAACACGGATTGATGAAAGAGGGAAAGCCAGGGGTAATGGAGCAGTGGATTTCGATCGGTTACGGTGGTGAGAGAACGGAAGAGAATTGTAGGGAAATGAGTTATGGAAAGGAAGAGAAACGAAGTGAGGCCAGGAACGGAGGAATGTGCAAATAGTATTCGTTGGATATAGCTTTGATGACCCACTGGAAGCGCCATTCTATTCAATTCTAATGCCTAGCACTACCTGTAGCCGTCATGGTGGACCATAGAGAGCCCTGGGGCTTCAGGCTCAGCCCGTCAAGGCACACAGAGCGAGCAGAATGATTGGGTCTTGCGGGAGTTGGCGACGTCATAAGTGGACCCCGATGGGATCAACGTCGAATGACTTGAACAACGACCACTTCGTAATGTCTCTTCTCTATCGAGGAGGGAGTGAGTGATGGTGAAGGGTAGTGGAGCATAGCTGATCAACCTGGAGATTAAATTGATGACGTCCGAGGCACAAAGTTCTGGATTCACCGTGTAGATAGTACTGGTAGAAGAACGTCGAATGAGTGACATAACATAGTACTATGGATGAACTCCACTCAGACGGGATTGATGGTTGAACCGCGAAACCACATCATTCAGTCATTATATGGATATTGTAGAAGCGGGATACTTGAATCATGACCGGAAGGGCGGGCTAATTCTCCGGCAAAAACATTTCCAAAGATGCCCAAGAAGTTTAGGCAGACAGTTGAGTTTCTATGATGCATGATTTTGGACAGGACTGGGAATGCGGGAACCACCGGAGCAGCGTCCGAGACCGGGTTTCATGTGCTAATGGAGGTCCGTCCCCTGGAAGATGAGGCCTTTCCGCTCCATTTGGGTTAGGATACACCTTGGATCGGTGTCTCATTATTTACTTTGTATGGTACATACTTCTACTCTCTTCCATGAGGCGGATCCCCCATCCGAGGTGGAGGAGAACCACCAGTACAGTGGTCATGTAATCATTATCCTACAATTTTCTACAATCTGCACAGCATTGGATGATGGCTAGATGGGAAAAGCCACGGAGCACAGTGCAACGGAAATGTCTCTATCTCAAGGATGCTGATCAAACTAATATCAGCCACAATAAGATAATTCAAACTAAATGAAGCCATCCGGTGAAGTAACCAGCCATCGACCCCTCCCCCGCCATGTCAACAGCCCCTCGGGCCTCAGCTCTTTTTTGGGCCTTAGCACGCATGCATGTAACACATCTGAGGATAGGTAGGATCCAGTGAATAGCGTCAATACTCGATCGAATCCACGCTGTTCCTTCCAATCCGGTTTTAGGTTTTGGGTTTCGTTCCATCATCGCTCTTTCCCCTCTTTCTCTTTTCTGTTTTCCATCTGCATCTGATCTCCTCGTTGCTGTAATAAATACTGCCTCTCTTCCCCTCTTCTGCATCATTCTTCATTACATCACTCACATCCCTCACTTCATCCGACTTCCTCGTCTTCCTTTCTCATCTTCTGACTATCTCTCTCTCTCCTACTCTTCTCTCTTCTACTCATCTACTCTTCTACACTTCCTACTTTACTCTACCCTTCCACTCTCAGGTATCACTCTTCCTCTCTTCACACCACTGATCTTCCTTTCTTCACCTTCTCCAACTCGTCTAACACAACATCATGGGAAAGAAGGCTATCCAGTTCGGCGGTGGTAACATTGGCCGTGGCTTTGTTGCTGAGTTCCTCCATGAAGCTGGCTACGAAGTTGTCTTCATTGACGTCGTCGACAAGGTCATTGATGCGCTGAAGAGCACTCCTTCATATGAGGTCACTGAAGTCAGTGAAGAGGGCGAGAAAACCAAGACAATTACCAACTACCGTGCCATCAACTCCAAGACCAACGAGGAGGACGTCGTGAAGGAGATTGGTACTGCTGACGTTGTCACTTGTGCCGTCGGCCCTAACGTTCTCAAGTTCATTGCTCCTGTCATCGCCAAGGGTATTGATGCTCGTACCGCGTCCAAGCCCGTCGCCGTGATTGCCTGTGAGAACGCCATTGGCGCTACCGATGCCCTGCGCGGCTTCATCGAGCAGCACACCGATAAGGACCGTCTCAGCTCTATGAGTGAGCGTGCTCGTTTCGCCAACTCCGCTATCGACCGCATCGTCCCCAACCAACCTCCTAACGCCGGCCTCAATGTCCGCATCGAGAAATTTTACGAATGGACGGTGGAGCAGACTCCTTTTGGCGAGTTCGGCCATCCGGATATCCCTGCCATTCACTGGGTCGACGATTTGAAGCCCTACATTGAACGCAAGCTCTTCACCGTCAACACCGGCCATGCCACTACTGCCTACTACGGTCGCGTGCGCGGCAAGAAGATGATCGCTGACGCTCTTGCCGACGCCGAGATCCGCAAGATTGTCCACGACGTTTTGGAACAGACCGCCAAGCTCATTACAACCAAGCACGAGATCACTGAGCAGGAGCAGAATGAGTACGTCGACACCATCGTCAAACGGATGTCCAACCCATTCCTGGAAGACAACGTTGAGCGTGTAGGACGGGCTCCCCTTCGCAAGTTGTCTCGCAATGAGCGCTTCATCGGGCCTGCCTCGCAACTCGCTGAGGAGGGCTTGCCGTTTGATGCACTGCTGGGCTCGATCGAGATGGCTCTTCGCTTCCAAAATGTGCCCGGCGATGAAGAAAGCGCTGAATTGGCCAAGATCCTCAAGGATATGTCCGCCGATGAGGCCACTGCCAAGTTGACTGGATTGGAAAAGAGCCATCCTCTGTATGAGCCCGTACAGAACGTCGTGGCCAAGGTGCAGAAGGACAGCAAGTAGAGGGTTGAACCGCTCGATTACAAACCTGACTCGACTTTCATTATCCGTACCGTCTTTGCAACCCTTTCGCCAACCAGTCTTTGTTCTCACTGACACTCCGTCGTGACCACAAAAGCTTGAGACAAGAGGGCCCGAGTCGACTACGTATTGTGAACGGTCCATGAAGACACGTTATGATATTTCACAGCGACGTTGAACTGGTTCATCCGCAGGACGGATACTGAACCGCATGGGATACGGCGAACAACTGGTCGGCGCGACGGATTACTGGGATTATGGGATTAGCATACAGTATCATGACCTCGTTACCCCGACTTGGATGCAGAGCACCGAGTCTAATGAATTTCTTTGACTGCATTTGTTCTCTCCTTGTAGTCCGTAGACTGAAAGTTCATTGCTCGTATGCATAGATCGAAGATACCTGGCGCAAATGGAGTCAGATTTACAACTTGCTGTCCACCCACTTGGGCTTCCTCTTCTCGACAAACGCGCGCAGACCCTCCTTGATATTCTCCCCCTCATATAGCCTCTTTGACCAGGTATCGACGAGCAACCGACTGCCATCTTCTGCACCGACTCCCTCCCAGCCCAACTTGATGCCCTCCCGACTCACCACTACGGCATCGGGACTGTTAGCCGCAATCAGTTCCGCGATCTCGATGGCCCGTTTCACCACCTGGTCTGCCGCATCCACCACTTCATTGACAAACCCCCACTCTTTCGCTTCCTCCGCCGAGACCTTCCGCCCCGTCAACGCCATCTCCATCGCCCGCTGCCGCCCCACCGTACGAACCACCCGCGGCAGGGCCCCGCGATGGCAACCACCCCGCGCTGCACCTCAGGCAGCCCGAAGTACGCCTGCTGACACGCCACGACCATATCCGCGTTGACGACCATCTCGCATCCACCGCCGAGGCACAGCCCGTTGACGGCGCAAATGACGGGTTTCTTGCCGCTGCGTCTTGATAACCCGCCGAAACCGCCCTCCGGCATGGGTTTCCGGGTACTGTTCGATTGAGCTTGGTTGTTCCATTCTACGAACATAACATTAGCATCAATCTCCTCATCTTAGCTCGAAAAAGCTGTGGCTGGTAGGTAATAAATATGTGAGAGGAAAGGCAAGTTTGTACCCTTTAGATCTGCGCCTGCGCAAAACGCCCTCCCTGTTCCGGTTAGGATTCCCACGCGCAGCGAGGGCTCGTCGTCTAGCCACTGCCAGATGGAATTGAGTTCTTGGTGGCCGGTTGTGCTGATGCAGTTTAGGTCGCGGGGCGGTTGAGGGTTACGAGGAGGATGTGCGGGGAGGGGAAGGAGAGGGTTGCATCTTGCGGGTTTGGTGGGGGGGTTGTGAAGGGCATTTTCGGTTGATTTTGTTTATTTGAGTCCCTCAATGGGTTGGATGTAGAAGGAAAAAGAGGTTTTAGGTGTTGTTGGGGAGCGAGATGATATAATATGGTGCTACCTTTTTCTAGCTCTAGGTATGGACTTCGGTTGATGTGGAGAGGCCGAGGCCCGAGAAGGTGATAATGCGGAGTCGCGGCGTGGTGGGTGTACATATCCGATTATCTGATATATTAGACTCCGGGTTGAAATACAAAGGATGAGTGGTTCGAAGATCATTATGAGAATAAAAATGAAGATATATTTACAACTATTTACTCGCTTCAGACATGCCATACTGAACTCGTCAAATTCCCTCCCCCGTCGTCAACGCCCGAACTCCTTTTACGGCAGTGATCTTGGATATCAAATGTACGCATCAACTTGTGTAAAGATCGGCCCAGGTTAATCACGCCTTGTTGATCCATCCGCTGTGCACCATAAAATCGTAAATTCGACTTGTTTTTGTAGTATCAATCTATCATACCATGATCTGTTAGCAAAGGGAGCGGAACGACAAAGATGTAGATCCTACCTTGCAAATAGCCCGTGCATCCTTCTTCTTGAGACTTCCCCCTTGCTTCATCGCCTCTTTCAACAGCGTCTCTTTGATCACCAGGTATGGCTTGGGTTGGATGTGTAGTACATTGCAGAGCTCCACTTCCTCCTTGGTCAAGAGATGCAGATCTGGTGCGCCCTCGTTCTCTAGCTTCCACGGGATCACTCCGTTCAGTGGTTGCACCACAAATTTGGTTTTGGTGGGCTGGGGTGTATTCAGTCCGTCTCCGTTACTGGCGAAAGCCCAGTCGAAATCGTTCAAGGGGACGTTGGCTGGCTCGGGAGCCTTGTTTGCACCTGAAGCTTTTTGTAAGCGCAGAGGAAGCTCGGGTGTTGTCAATTGACTGGCCGCGGTCGGCTGCTCAGGCTGCTGCGTCTGCTTCGGGCGTGTGCTGGCGAAACGATCGAAAGATCCCTGCGGCAGGAGTCTTTGCGCACGCTGCTGTTTCTCTTGCTCGTACTTTTCTCCGCCCTTGAGGTCGCCAATGCCCATCTGGCGCCATTCCTGCAGCTGCGCAATGGCCAACCGAAGATTGTGCTCGTACTCTAGGCCCTTGTTGAACTCCTCAAAGTCGTCATGGTTCATCATCCGCGCAAATGGTTTGGCCTTGTTCAGCAAATCCTTTTCTTCCTTGGTGCGCTTCTTCTCCAATGCCGTGTTCTTCCGGTATTCCAGGAGATTGTGTTCGAACAGAATCTTCTTCCGCTCCGTCCGCGCAGTCAGACGCGAGTTGTAGATGTCGACCACGGTCATCTTCAGTTCCATCTCCGCATCCGTCTCCCCATTTGGCGTCTCTCCAGCGCCCGGTTCAAAGGTCATGTGCTGCACCGCCTCTTCGGCCTCGTTCATGAACTCGGTTTCGAACTCCAATCGACCAGGCATGTAGCCCTGTACTTCATGGCAAGCTGGTACACTGGCAGTGGGTTTCTGCTTGGGTGTGGTTGGAGGAGCCGCCTTCGCTGCTTCCTTGCGCTCTTCAATACGTCGCTTCTTGCGGGCCTGGAACTCCTCCTTGGAAATGGAATCCTGTAGGCTCGTATCATCGGGATCCGCTCGTTCGGGTAGGGGGAAATTAGAGCTTTCGATGTACGTCCTGATGTAGTGATCGCGCACTTCGTCTTTTGTGCGATATCCGCCGATGTGATCTGCAATGTCCGCCCATGATCCCAATCCGTAGATCTCTGCACCCTCCAATAACAGTAGTTCCTCGTCGGCGCCCCAATCTTCTTCAAATATGGGGACCGAATTCTGTTCGATGACCTGGTACGGATGGGCGGATGGATCGTGATTTTTCGATTTCTCACCAGCCGCAAAGCAGGGGACACAGAGGTCGTATTCGTGGCAGGCGGGATGGGCGCATGATATGCGAACCTACACTCATCACGTCAAATCAGCGATCGCTTGTTATGCTTCTATCGAGCAGACAATCAAAGAACCTCCATACCGTCGACGTCACATCTGCCGAGCAGATATCACAGTGATACTTGGTGCCTGCTTCGGTGCCGCGTGAGGCGGTCTTCTTCCGTATTACACCCATCGATTGTGAGTTCCTATCATCCTCCTCAGTACCCTGATCCGTTTCGAACACGCGTATGAGCCCTCCAGCAATCTGAGAGGGCAACTATTGTGCGCTGGGGCCGAGGTTCATCAACAAAAGAAAGAAATTAAAGTTGTCGAGGGGGTTTGGCCGTGAGGCTGATAACAAAGGGATATGTATGTCTCCGCAGCCGAAGCGGAGGTACGCGGGGAGTTGTAACTGGTCAATCAAGCCACGACTGGGATGACAAGGGAAATAGGCTAGTGTGATTGGAAGACAATGATTGCGAATGATACCTAGATGATGATTGATTCACCAGGATTTGGGACCTATTGTGTTGACTCAGATTGATCAACAGATTAATATCTCTCTCACTCTGTGATTCAGTGGTCACCTATGGAGTAGTCTCCAGAAATACCAGTTAGATTGTTTGAATCTGGTGGGCGACGACTGGGACTGGGGCTGTGGCTAAAACAACCAACTGGGGCTGAGGGAAATTGCACAGCCCCAATTGGTACCCAAAACAGAATGATAGTTGCCTCAGGCATAAAGGCACATTGACAGCGATGTTTCTGTTGCCGAGAGCCAATCACGGGACTCTCTTTCCTTTCCCCTCTTCAGTCTTCAGCCTGTCAGGATAGTGGAGGTACGTCCGTTCTTACTACGCTACGGGCTACGGCTAACTGAAAGTCTCGGTCTTAGTAGGACGGAGTGTCTGATCCCCCTCCCTTCTTCATTCCTATTATTGTTATTTTGAACCTTAGACCTCTCTTGCTACCTATCTCAGAAACATCAATCAACCTAGGGTCGTGTTCACTTTTCCGACCGACGACTCCCTTCCGCGGCCCTGGTTGTTCTCACTGGGATTCTCCTCATTCTTTATCCCTCCCTGTGTTGTGCCTCAATTGCCTGTTATCGATCATCTTAGGAGATTCCCTCTGTGTCTTGCATGTCCGCTGTGGCTGTGGCAACTCAGTATCCTCTCGCATTGGATTGATTCAATTATTTACTTTTACAACGGTGATTGTGTTTCTAAAAACAATCATCGACTTATCCTTTCTCTCTCTCTCTCCTTTTCTTTATTTTGGTTCCGTTCTGAGGACATCCATCTATCTTCTTTTATCATCACCCCTCTCCTTAAACCTCTCGCCCCAGACTCGCCGTCACAATGTCGTGGAAGCTCACTAAAAGTATGTTCAGTTGGTCTTCCCATTCCCTATTGATAGTAATGTCTTGTATTTGTACACAGTACTGATATTTTTTGCTCTTCTACCGCAGAGTTGAAGGAAACGCATCTTGCGCCTCTGACAAACACCTTTACCCGCTCATCCTCCACATCCACCATCAAAGGTGAATCCGGCGAAGAGACTCCGGTAGTTTCGCAGACTCCGAGTATTTCATCCACAAACTCCAACGGAATCAGTATGTGCTCTCCTTGTCGCTTATCACTCCCGCCCTGCATAGCCGGCTGTTTCCCTCCTGTTTTACCCCAAATGTTCTCTCTCGTCGTATCACATAAACATATCATCTCTAACATGGTGTAAGATGCCTCGGAGTCGCTCGTTTCACCACCTGTCGACCCTGTCAAGCCTGGTATCTTGATAGTCACTCTTCATGAAGGGCGAGGCTTCGCCCTGTCCCCGCATTTCCAGCAGGTTTTCACTTCGCACTTCCAGAACAACAACTATTCGAGTTCAGTCCGTCCCAGCTCCTCTTCCTCCCACTCTACCCATGGACAAACGGCTTCGTTCGCGCAAAGCGGCCGCCCGCAGTCCACCAGCGGTGGCATCAATGCTGCTCCAACCATCCACGGTCGCTACTCGACCAAGTACCTCCCCTACGCTCTTCTGGATTTTGAAAAGAACCAGGTTTTTGTCGACGCTGTTTCGGGTACACCTGAGAATCCTCTCTGGGCCGGCGATAACACCGCTTTCAAATTCGATGTGTCTCGCAAGACCGAGCTGAACGTCCAGCTGTATCTTCGTAATCCGTCCGCTCGACCTGGCGCCGGTCGGAGTGAGGATATCTTCCTCGGTGCGGTCAGAGTTCTCCCTCGGTTCGAAGAAGCCCAACCGTATGTGGACGATCCGAAGCTCAGCAAGAAGGATAATCAGAAGGCAGCCGCGGCTCATGCAAATAACGAACGTCACTTGGGTCAGTTAGGCGCAGAGTGGCTCGACCTTCAGTTCGGCACGGGATCAATCAAGATTGGTGTCTCCTTTGTCGAGAACAAGCAGCGCAGTTTGAAGCTGGAGGACTTTGACCTGCTGAAGGTTGTGGGTAAGGGTAGTTTTGGCAAGGTGATGCAAGTCATGTTAGTATTCAGCTCGACAACTCCTTCTTTAACGATCGTGCTGATCTTTCCACAGGAAGAAAGACACTGGTCGAATCTACGCTCTCAAGACCATTCGTAAGGCCCATATCATCTCGCGATCGGAAGTCACACACACCCTGGCGGAGCGGTCCGTGCTTGCCCAGATCAACAATCCCTTTATCGTTCCCCTGAAGTTCTCGTTCCAGTCTCCCGAGAAGCTGTACTTGGTTCTCGCTTTCGTCAATGGCGGAGAGTTGTTCCACCACCTTCAGCGGGAGCAGCGGTTCGATATCAACCGAGCTCGTTTCTACACGGCTGAGTTACTCTGTGCGCTGGAATGCCTGCATGGCTTCAAGGTCATCTATCGTGATTTGAAGCCCGAAAATATCCTGCTTGATTACACCGGCCACATTGCACTTTGTGACTTTGGTCTGTGCAAGTTGGACATGAAGGACGAAGATCGGACGAACAGTAAGTCGCCTATTTTGAAGATTATCCTTTCCATTCAATGGCTGATCGGTCGTATAGCTTTTTGCGGAACTCCTGAATATCTTGCGCCTGAGCTCTTGCTTGGCAACGGTTACACGAAGACTGTCGACTGGTGGACTCTGGGTGTCCTTCTCTACGAGATGTTAACTGGTCTTCCACCGTTTTATGACGAGAACACGAACGACATGTACCGGAAGATTTTACAAGAGCCCCTGACTTTCCCCAGCAGCGACATCGTTCCTCCGGCCGCTCGTGACCTTCTGACGAGGCTGCTTGATCGTGATCCTCAGCGTCGCCTTGGCGCAAACGGCGCCGCAGAGATCAAGTCGCACCATTTCTTCGCCAATATTGATTGGAGAAAGCTTCTTCAGAGGAAGTATGAGCCAAGTTTCCGGCCGAATGTGGTATGTATTAATCTCCCATTCTACCAAGCCCTGCCACTAACCATACCATCGCAGATGGGCGCATCTGATACCACCAACTTCGACACGGAGTTCACTTCGGAGGCACCCCAGGACTCGTATGTCGATGGGCCTGTTCTGTCACAGACAATGCAGCAGCAGTTTGCGGGCTGGTCTTACAACAGGCCTGTCGCTGGTCTTGGAGACGCTGGTGGCAGCGTCAAGGATCCATCCTTCGGCAGCATTCCTGAGTGAGCAGCTCTTGAGTGTTGCTAACAGGCTAGCCTGGACCAAGAGGTAGAATGGCTTTTGGATTACGGGTTAAAGGGGAATTGTTTGATACAATTCTATCTGCCTTCGTTTCTCGTTCCCTTCGTCTTCTTTCTGAGTCCCCGGCACCTCTGCTTTCTCATTCTCTGTCCTCTCTTGCCCTTTCCTTTTAGCACAAGGAGTCCATGGCATTTTCAAATTCTCCTGGAATTATTCCCTTTGAGTGATCTCAATTCAATTGAGCGGCTTGTGTTTGTGTTTTTCCCCTTTCCATCTTGCATTTGAGATCAGTCAAGGCAGGTACCTCCAACCAGTTCTTTACTGTCTCTGATTCGTGTTGACTCGCATCATGTTTCGGCATTCTACATAACATCTGGCCATCTTTTTTTTATGCCCGGAAGATGTTGAGGAGAGCGTACAGTCAACTTCGAACCTTGTCTGAGAGTGTGTTCTGAAGTCTATGACCTCTGTGAGCCGCTCTGTTTACCTCCCAACGCCATGATCTGCTGGTCTGATCCTATCTTGCCGGTCGGGAGAAAATGTCAACGTCTCAGGCATGATTGATCACTTTGTTGATCTTGGGAGACCTGCGTATTCGACATCCTGACTTGGTGTATCACTTTTCATCTCCGGTTTTCTTTCTACAATCTGGTGAATTGGTTTCTCTTCCTTCTGGGCCACTTCAGCATACCTGGAGGGCCTTTTGTCATCCATCGCAAAGCGAACATGACTGGGTCATAGACAGCAATGACAATTTTTTTCATGAATGCCTTTATCTAAAATGTGGCAATCAAGCCTTTTTAAGCGGATCATAACTCGCCAAGGACGCCTCCAGGAGCGGAAGTCTCTAGGTGAAGCTGAAAGCTGTAGGGAATTATTACATAGACCAACTTAAGGCCAGCGGAAACCCTTTAGTATAATCGGCATCAATGCTTCCCCCGGCCTGCGATACAGAGACGCATTCTTTGACCTCATTTACCCAAGGTTATTGTCGACAATGGACTTGGTCAACATCGGACAAATACACAGTCCGAACCGGTGGCCATGATGGAAATATATATGGATGAAACGGCAAGGGAAAAATGAATCAATAGAAACTCTGCAATAAATCTAGGTAGTTATGTAAAAGAGAATCGTTCCCGAGGTAATCGCTCGAGCTTTGCTTTGAAAAATTGAAGCGACATTACCCTCTTTTCTGCACATTATTACATCCCACCGCTATGCCCATCTAGGCCTCCGTTTCCACCTCCGCAGTTCCGTTCTCTGCACTCCCGGTGATCGCCTCATCGTCTGCGTTGATGTCGATCAGAGACTCAGACGACGGTGGTTCAGGGACGACACCTTCCTTCTCCAAGCGCAGGTACTCGTCCCACTCTGGGAACAGATCGTCGTCTGTCGCTACGACATCGGGAGCACCGGGGGAACACAGATGAGACGAGCGACCTTCGATTTTCCAGATTGCTCCAGCGACGCCTTCCACTGGACCACAAGCTCGGGAGCCCGGGACGGCTTGTAGGTCTGTGCGAAGAGAACGGCTTCAGCGAGGCGGTTGGTCCGCACCAGGAGGTCGATACAGCCATCGACATCCCCGAGCGACCACAGGCTAGAGAAAGCAACGTTTTGGAGACCAGCTTCCGAAGCTTGCTCGGCCAGCTGGCGGAGACCGGCGCGGTTGCCGCTAGCGGTGTGCAGAAGGAGGAGCGACCCAAGATCCTTCGCGTTCGTGAAACACTCCTCGGCCAAAGCAAGGTTCCATACTGCCATAGCGGCATCGCCGACGATCTTCCACTTGTGCTCCACATTGGCTTCACGGGCAATCTCGAGAGCCGTGTCGAGGTTGTTCAGAGACAGAGCAAGTTCGAAGCGGTGCTCTGGATCGGTGGCCACCTCCAGGGCCATTTCCTTATAGCCTTGACCCTCAAGGAAGCGTGCAACCTTGTTCATTTGGTCCTGAGGAACATCCTTGAGCAGCTCGGCCGCCATGTCCATGTCACCACGCAGCACCACTGTCTGGTACTCAACCATGCTCAGCGACAAGCCGAAGGAAACAACGTTGACATCCTTGTCGGCAAGGTAGATACGACCGTCGCGCGGCAGATACCCCAAGACATACATTCCCTGGTCAAAATGAGAGATTGTGTAGGTCTGGTCACCAACAAGGTAATTAAGGCGATTTGTCGAGTTGGTGTAAATAAAGCAGTCTCCAACCCATTGACCCGTCCTGACAGATTCGTTGACGTCGGTAACAACCTCAAAAGCAGACTCAACTCCATCTTCATCGGCTTCGCCAGCATTCAGCCCGTTGATGTAGTTCTCCTTTGAAAATCGCAGAACGTAAAATGTGTCTTCACACGCAAGTGTGACCAACTCTCCGGACTCAGACCAGTAGACCTATGAACTTTATGTTAAGGCAATGCGACATGTGAACCGGGCTTCCGTTCTTAGACTTACAGCTTTGGGTTCGACTTCAATGCGGCGGACAAGGTTCCCTGTCTCCCAGTCGAACATGCCAATTCCTCCCTGGCCCTTCACACCCAGGAGCACGCCGCCCGTGAGTCCTTCGGCCTGGAATCCCACATCGAGGCCACCGGTTACTTCCTTGAAATTCTTGAAGATCTTGACACTCGTCGGTGACTCTCGAATGGCATAGTCGTTGCTGTTGTCCTTTGAACCCCAGGCAAAGTCCAGAGCCTGACCGAAAGCCTTATTTCTCCAGGCAAGAGCAGTGTAGATGATGTACTCTCCATCACCGCAAACCGAAACAAATCTCCCATTAGGAGAGTGCGATAATGTCTGAGGATAGATTTCGCAAGAGCCCAATTCCTTTGTGGGTAGGGAAAGCGGCGCTCCATCTTTAATGCTGGGGTCACCACCCTTGATAACTGTCGATACGACTTCGTTATGTCTTGCCCAAACAATCTTGCCAGATCCGTCCATCGAGACAGCAGGCTCTTCTCGTCCCATCTTCACGACCACCGCACCGTCATCGAAACCCATAGCAATACCTTGTCGGCCACGTTGATACGCAACACACCACGCTCTCTCCAGACCGTAGCTCAATGATTGCTCCAATCTGTATGTGTTTGCGTGCCATAGCTTGATGGTGCCATCCTCGGATCCGGAGATGATAACCGGCAATTCAGGGTGGTAACAGGCGAATGAGACGTTGCTTGTGTGACCCTCCAAGGTCGCAATGAGTGCCTTGGTCGTGTAGTCCCAGACTTTGACGGTTCTGTCATCAGAAGTTGTGAGAAGGTATGGTTTGTCGGCTTGTGGGTAGTAGTCAACGTGGTTCACACCCTTGGTCTCGTGCGCTTCCAGAGTGAAGTTGGCATGGGGGGAGCCCAGGCTCCAGATCTTAACAGTGCGATCTAAGCATGCAGAAGCGAATGTGTTCGTGTCCTTCGGATTGATGGCCAGGCCCATCACATAGTGACTGTGCCCTTCGTAAACTTGAACACACTTCCAACCTTTCTCCCAATCCCAGAGTTTAATGGTCATGTCATCGGAGGCTGTGAGAACAAATGGTTGCGTGGGGTGGACGGCGATTGATCGAATATAGTCCGGGTGAGCTTCGAACGATGCGATCTTCTCAGACGTGTTGTAGTTGTAGACGCGGAGTTGGAAATCATCGGAGCCGCAGACGATCCAGTTCTTGCGTGCAATGAATCGTCCCGCTCGTACAGGGACATCGGTAAGTTCAAAAGTTTTGATGATTGACTTGGGGAAGGATATTGGTCAGTCGAACTTCGAAAGAGTGTCTTCTCAGTTAGAGCTCACCTGGGTCTCATATGACCAGATGTATACGTGACCTGTACGTCTTCATCAGCGCATTTGCGATTGCAACCATTCAGGTCGCTATCATACCGCTATATAAAGTCGTCAGGATCTGATAGCAGGTCAGCATGTTATAAGAGCCTAGAATCACCGAAAGAAGTACTCACCCATGGCTCCGTGGGATGGAAGTCGATGCCCTTCACCCGCTCCGAGCGGGCGAAAAGCTGTCTCTGTTAATCGCAACAATAATCAGCAATCATGTCAATGGGTATTCAAGCACTCGCAATCTGTGTTTCAATCCGACAGCATGTAGACGTATATGCATCTGAGCGCTTGCTGCGTACCTTGACATCCAATCTCATGGTGTATGTGGGGGGAGACTCTTATGTGCGGCGTCGGGGGTGCGGCCTGTGAGAAGGAAGCGGAAACCGGGCCACGAGCCGCTCAAACAGTCCAGCCTGGGATTGAAGAGGACTTGAGTGAGAGGGGATGAATTGAAAATGTGGTCGACAAATGAAAGATCGAAAGTCCCCGGACAGAATGGCCTGCGGAGTCGTCACAAACATTCAGGGACTGGCAGCGATGTGTCCACAAGGGAACGGATTCCCGCCAGCTATCTCGAATGGGCTAGCGACGCTCACCGCTCACCGCCTACGCTATTTGGTTCATCTACTTACTCCAGGGCATGGATATCTACCTGACATTCAGAGATTATAATTCGCAAACAGCTGTTCAGAATCAAGAATATGATCTCGCAGTAAGATTCGCCTCATACATTGGCGCAAATGCGCACACTGATGAGTGTCGTATGTGGTGAGGGAACTCGACGGGCTAGGGTCACTCATTCGCTTGACGATGTGTGATGCATCCTCGCAATGAATTATATGTCAGAAAATGGAAGCGGCAACTATGGCCTCACCGTCAATTGAGTCCAGGAGGTGTGTCCCGGGTTCTGCAACGCAGGGAGTCGGCCGCGAAGAGGACAGCATCTTCACGCCATATACAGCCTCGTTCCGCGGGCAAGCCTCAGCATGTAGGACCCATGCGGCGCAACTATGACCAATAATGGACCTTCAGTCTCGTAGAAACGGTTGTGATTGTCTCAAATGGGTGCCCATTCTAATGTAGGGCCACGTTGGCTAATAAATACAAGTAATTTTCATTCGAACAAGTAATATGCGAGACATCAAAAGTCTACTAAGGCGAAGAAGGGGGGACACGATCGAAGTAGACCCACTGACCCGGGCGAGGCTTCTCTTCCAGTTCCTCCCACCTGTAAATGATTAAGTATCAGCTCCCCGAGTGGTAGGGTGGGTGCAAAAACTTACACTTTAGACTTGTACATTTCGTCGACAAGCTTCAGCTCATTTTCGGCGACCTGGATGACCTCCTCAATCAGACCAGCACCGATCTGCTTCTCAATCGCGGCAACCCTGCGATCTATGGTCAGTTGCCCTGCTAGTGACCGCAGAATAAGGGCGCAGCTCGACGTACTGTTCTGCCTCGAGGGCTGGCTCATTCTCCCACTTCATTTGTTCGGTAGCAAAGTCTGAATCTTTCGCCTGTGTCGTGGCAGTCGCTTCTTCAATAGCTTTGTGCCACCGTGCTTCTTCTTCCGCTGTACGAGCAGGTCCCTCCGTGGTTGGCTCCAGGACTTCACCGTCCCACTCCTCACCACGGGGATTGTCGGTTCCATCATTGCGCATAAATCCCGCATAAGTTCCATCGGCGAGGCGTAGAGAAGCGAAGCGCTCGGGTTCGGCACTGACAGCCTTCTTCACGCGCTCTAGCCAAGCATCATAACCTGGGGGCTTAACGGACTCGACGATCTGCAGGCGGTGGCGTGTCAGTGCTTCGGTGGATTGCCGGTAGACGGAGGACTCTGGGAAGCTCTTCAAGTTCTCCAAGGTGGTCCTGTAGAGGTGGATTAGGGTGGGACGAGGGCTGGGGTGGGTGACAAGGCCGGTCAAGCCGGTAGGAGCAAAGGGCTCCAAGTACCGGGCCGACTTGACGTTGGCCAGCAATCGAAATGTGGATCTCATAGTGATTTGAGGATATGTAGGAGATAGAAGAGAATTGGCCCAGAGGAATTCAGTGTTCACCCTCAATGGCCAAGAGATTCGACAATAGCCGGACTATCTGTCTCTGCGGAGTGATCGCACGAAGGTTGAGGTTCCGTCGGTTAGCGGAGAAACAAAGACTCCGGGGCCTCATAATGCAGTAACCAGTCTTAGGTAGTCTAGTCCCTCCAGCGAATTAATTCATGGGGCCAGACTTGAGGTCTACTTGGACTTTATCAGCCAACGCGCTAAGGGGGCGTCGACACTCACCCGCCTTCTCATCCATTCCGAGGGTCAAATTCATCTCCCAGTTCGCAGTTCGCAGTTCGCAGTTCAGTCTTCTCTATTATAAGCAATTGCTTCTGTTGCACTGCTTATCGCGCTCTGACACTGCCTGCTGGTGGATTGAGCCGTTCGATAAACGTGGAGTTTGGATCAATGTGCCTACTGTGAAAACCTACTTCAACCCCTTCTTCTTCGACGATTTTCCACTTTCGTTTTCAGCCTTAACCTATTGCTTTTCAGGTCTTTGACCTTGACCGCCTGCCAGTATGAGGTCCTCTTTGCTGGCGTGGTCGCTCCTTTCGCTTCTCTCTATCCCAACTTTTGCCATTCCTTCCGGCGATATCGCAAATGATCTCAATCTTGCGAACAATCGCCTCGTCAAAAGAGCGGAGCCGGTTGAAAAGACTGAATCGGGGCCGCCGTCGACAACATTCAATGGCGTCGAGGTGCCACCCCTGAAAGACTTGACACCAGAGGACTTTGAGGCGCTTACCAAAAACGGTTACTGGTTTGTGGCTATTGTACCCGTAGCATTTACCCTTGATATAGTATTATTAACAGGCAACAGGTTTGTGAAGCACTATTCTCCATCATGTCCCCATTGCAAGGCGATCGCTCCCACATGGCAGACTTTATACGAGTACTACTATGTGAGTGCTATATCCACGTTCGGCGCGTTCGTACTTTGGCACTGTCTAACATGCGCTAGACATCGAAACCGATATCCTCCTCTTCCGAGCCCTCCGATACTCAATCCCTTAACTCCTTTCAAAATTTTTACAACTTTCACTTCGCTTCGATGAACTGTCTTGCATTTTCGGATTTCTGCAAGAGACTTGATGTCAAATGGTTTCCGACATTTTCCCTTTACCATAATGGCAAACTGGTCGAACAGTTTGAGGGTGCTAAGACTATGGAAGGTCTAAGTGAGTTCGTTGAAGGCAAGCTAGAATCAATACGACCTGGGTCCCGTCCTCCGAAAGGCGTAAAGCTTCCCGAGCCGGGCGACAAACAGGTGGACACGGAAGCTGCGCCGGACGTTCCAGCCGCCAAGGACAAGGACCGTGTGGCGGGAGTCAAGGCTGGTGAGAAGCATAATGAACAAGTCGCTCAGCTCGCCAGCGCAGAGGCTCCGGTGAAATCTGCTACCCCTAAGGTGAACTCGAAACCATCCGCGCCTGCGAACCCTCAAGGGATCTCCGTTCCTCTTACAGCAGAGAGCTTCCAAAAGCTGGTCACGACTACCAGAGATCCCTGGTTCGTCAAGTTCTATGCTCCGTGGTGCCATCACTGCCAAGCACTGGCGCCTGTTTGGCAGGGAATGGCCCGGGAGATGCAGCATGTCCTCAACGTTGGAGAGGTGAATTGCGACGCAGAGCCCAGGCTCTGCAAGGACGCTCGGGTGAACGCCTACCCGACAATGTACTTCTTCCGTGGCGGCGAACGCGTTGAATACACCGGTCTACGCGGTCTTGGCGATTTGGTCAACTACGCGAGGAAGGCTGTGGACATTGGATCTGGTATTCAGGATGTCGACGCGGCTCAATTCAAAGAGCTGGAAGAAAAGGAAGAGGTGATCTTTCTGTACTTTTACGACCACGCAACGACCTCTGAAGATTTTGAGGCCTTGGAACGTTTGACTCTCAGCCTGGTGGGTCACGCCAGATTGGTCAAGACAAGCAGTGCGGCTCTTGCCGAGCGGTTCAAGATCACAACCTGGCCTCGTCTCTTAGTATCCCGAGATGGACGTCCCAGTTACTACAATGCTCTGGCTCCAAAGGATATGCGGGATGTCCGCCAGATTCTGAACTGGATGCGCTCCGTTTGGCTGCCTATTGTCCCTGAACTCACAGTCTCTAACGCCCGTGAGATCATGGACGGGAAATATGTCGTTCTGGGGATTCTGAGCCGGCGTCGCTCGGATGATTTCATCCTTGCCAAGAGAGAATTAAAGAGCGCCGCTCTGGAGTGGATGGACAAACAAACCCAGTTGTTCCGATTGGAGAGACAAGAACTTAGGGATGCTAAGCAGCTACGTATTGAGGAGGCAGAAGACCGCAATGACCAACGTGCATTGCGGGCTGCTAAGAACATGCGCATTTCTATCCGGGAAGATGACAAGAAGCAAGTTGGATTTGCCTGGGTTGATGGCGAGTTCTGGGAACGGTGGCTGAGGACCACTTTTGGTATCGATATCGAGAATGGAGAACGGGTCATCATTAACGACCAGGATGTAAGTATCATTCGAGAAGTGCAGTGTTTGCCATTACTGACCACATCTCCACAGAACCGACGCTATTGGGACGCCACTTCTAGTGGAGCTCCGATCATGGCCTCGCGAACCTCCATCCTCGAAACGATTCCGCTGGTCATTGCCGACTCGTCGAAGTTGAAGCCCAAGTCCACAGTCGGAACATTCGAATACGTATTCTTCGTCACTCGGTCCTTTATTTCCGGCCATCCCATCATTTTCGTCGCATTGTTGACCATGAGCATTGTTGCCGTCACCTACTTAGCTCGAGCAAGGCTGGCAAAGCGCGGTCTCAGTCGTGGTGGCATCCTCGGTGCGGTTCAGAGCAACAGTGCCGGCTTTTTCCGTCTCGATGGGAAGGAAGGTCTATTGAATGGGGCGGCACCGGAAAGGTCGATTAGATCGACCGCATCAAGCGCATTGTACAGTTAGGCTTTGTTCCCCCGCTGTTGTTTTTTATTGCGTATCTCCATATTGGCTTTCTTGATTTTACCATAATCACTAAATGGGTCTCTTCTTTTGACACGGACGATGCCCCTCTCATCTTCTTTTCCCTTATACAACCCATTTTCTTTTATCGTTATCGTTGATTTTGATTGATTTTGATTGAAGCGGTGTTGGCATGTGGTGCACTCTACAAAGGAAACCTGCTGTGGGATTTTGTTAATACACGGCGGGCAACAGACACATAGACAGCTATGCAAATGAATACATGTCTGTTTCCTGTTAGCAGGGAGCAGATGGTGCGAAGTGTCAATCTCATATATTCATGAATGTCATCACAAAATAACTCGAGTAACTTGGGACAATCGATACTCTACGCACATCATATTCCTGCCATGTCTGCTTCTTCTTAGTTTAGTTCCATAATGTCTTCTCAATATCCATCAATCTAGATCGTCTTGACTTTGTCTACCTCTATACCTATTGAAAGAATCGGAAATCCAAAGCCTCTTATTTGACACCGTCATTGTCACGTGAGAGTTTTTTGTGTCTGCTGATTGGCCGCGGGATTGCCGCAAGTTGCAACATCGGAGCCTCTCGGTTTTCCTCGAACAACCATTGCTCTCGACGTTCATTCCATCGCTGGAGTAGTCCTTGTGTCCAGTGTACTTATACACAACTAATAACAAGATGGTACGTGTTGTATGGAAACGATTCTTGTCGATTGAGTTTTCAGCATGCTTGCGAGGGGAACATGAATGGTGCTTAGCCGCCTAACTACGGCCTTCGGCCTGCTATGCCATCCCGATGCTGTCGAAGAAGAGGGCAGAGTGTTCAATGGCTGACGAGTTCCTGCCTTTCTAGTTCTCGCAAACCCTCCGCCGCGCTGCGTCCCAGTCTACTGGCGCCTACCGCTCTCCTTTCGCTCCCAAGTGAGAACCCCTCGAGAATTGATACCCTACCTGGCATGTTACCTGGAGGCATTTGGTATTCGGGCGTGGCCTATGGACTGCCCAGATCGTGGGTCAATTGTTTGTGGCATTGACAAGTGATCTGGCCCCCATTTATATGCCCGGACTGGTGATTTGATTTGATGGGCTTCGTCATTTAAAAGCACAGCCTGGCTGTCGCAGAAAAGACGAACAATGGAAACAGGGCTTTACTGACTGTGATGCTTGATGAAAATTAGGTACTATGTTCCTGCCCACTTCGGGGGTGTGAGCGTCAACATGGCCACCAAGTAGTGAGTCTCACCTTTGGTGTTTCGATCAAGATGCTATACGAGCGGACAGGCTTCCGGAAACCCTACGCGCTCGTCTTATTACCCTTCCATTCTAACAGGCTTTGATATGTAGCGCTACCATTGCTTCCACCTTCGGTGTTGCTGCTGGTACCTTCGCCCTCTTCTTCTTCGGTGAAGTGCCCCGCGTGCGCAACGACATCCTGCGCAAGGTTCCCTTCCTTGACGAGTACTTCGACCGCAGCATCCCTGCCGAGGACAACGTACGTACCTTTGAATCATGCTGACTGTTGTGACAATTTGCTGACCGTTCACTAGCCGTTCTAAACGTCTTGCAACTTCCGCGCCGTTTTCCTTGACCCAAAATGCCACTTGTATGGTTGGTCATCTGCCTGCGTTACCGGCTCAGTGGTGAAAACAAGGAATCGGTACTGTATTGTGTAGAATAGCGATGGGTTTTTGATAGCACATAGACACGCCTGGTCACCATCAAGATTTTCTCCGTCTCTTTCCTTCTTTGGCACCGAAATAAGGCTTGAATGGCAAGCAACAGCAACATATGAATATGACTACGATCTGTTCGAATATCCCAGGAGTCCTAATATTACACTAGTACCAGCGACCTGAGTCTTTGCTTGGAGATCATTTCTGCATGGGTAAGTTCAGCACCGACGCCACACTTATATAGGGGCATGTCCTGTCATCATCTGTCAAGCACCATTCCATCAAGCCTGTCATATCTTTTCCCACATAGGCAGGTGTAGCCTGACGAGCAGCTCAAGTCAAGCTACTTTTGCTCTAGAGAGAATGTGATGGTCCAATAAATCAGCGTCTTCCGGGACGCTTTGACTGCATTTCCCCGGAATCCAACGAAAACGAACAGGGGCGCTTATCTGGCACGCGTATCTCTCTTCCTGTTATCAGCCACCGTGACTATCTGGCACCTCGAACGCAGCTTATTCAATTTGAGGTATTGATAAGCGGATTTGCTCTGATCAGGTTTCTGGCTTGTTAGTCACCTGTTGACCTTGTCGAACCCCTGGGCCTTGTTTGTATCCCCACCGCCTAAAGTTTCCTCCTCGAGTATGGACTCCTCGCCAAGCTTTCTCTTGAGTAGGATATCTACGAGGTCATCCATGCTTTTGAAGCATTAAAGCAGCAGTAGGGCGGGGAATCTATTCTTATTCGACATGACACTCCAATATGACCCGCCCCTTGCGGGTGATGATCCCGTCACAACTCTGATAGAGAGCCCAGCGTGACCAATGTCTCAGCGTATCAGAAACTCCTCCCCTCATTCTCCCTAATCTTTCAACGTTATCTCCCAGGTAGTTTGGTCTCAGTATCGACAGCAATGGCCCAAGTGTCTGGTTTTTGTGCCAACGGGCGGGCTTTATGGTCGGCGTGGATGAATATATGTACTGCTAGGGCATCCTTGCTTTTTTTTGTTGAGCGACAAGCGTCAGCTCATGCAAGGTGATATCATCGGAACTACATTTGCTGGTTACACAAAGGCTGGACTTGACTGCTTTAATAAGGTACTGAGACGCCTTGATCTCGTTTCTTCTGCTACCCCTGATTTCCATCGTGGACACGAGCAAGACCTGCAGTTAGCCTTGAAGTAGAGGCGATGTCGTCTACCAAGGTCGCTTCGAAACAGGCAGTTTACCAAGATGTCGACCACGATCCCGTCACGTCTGTCCTGCCGAACGGGGATATCCCGTACACGGATCATGAGATGGACGCGGATGAGCAGGTGATTGTGGCCCTGGGTTATAAGCAAGAATTCAAGCGAGAGTTCTCTTTGTGGACTACGTTCTGCGTCAGCTTCGCCGTCCTAGGGCTACTTCCCTCGTTCGCGAGCACTCTAAACTATGGTAATAAGACCTTGCTCTCCTATCACGGTGCATCTGCCCGGCGCTGACAGTGGCTTAAAGGAATGGGTTATGCGGGAACAGCAGGCATGGTCTGGGGGTGGATCATCGCCATGGTCTTCATTCAGTGTGTGGCAATGGCAATGGCTGAACTGTGTTCTGCAATGCCGACGAGGTGAGTCCATGGGATTCTTGCTTGTATCGTCGATGAGACGGAATGGAATGACTTACGGGATTAGTGGTGGCTTGTACTACGCAGCGGCGGTCCTCGCACCTCCAGGGTACGGACCCTTTGCGGCCTGGCTGACAGGTTGGTCCAACTGGATTGGCCAAATCACGGCAGCGCCGTCGGTAGACTTTGCATTGGCGGCGATGATTCTGGCTGCTGCGTCGATTTCCAACCCGGACTATGTCCCAACCAGCTGGCAGACCTTCCTGCTCACGACGCTGATTATGATTATCCACAGCTTCATCAGTAGCATGCCGACGAAATGGGTCGCGAGGTTCAATTCATACGGTTCGACCTTCAACATGATGGCCCTCGTTGTGGTTCTCATTGCCATTCCTGCGGGTACGAAGAACGAACCAAAATTCAAGCCGTCAAAAGAGGTATGGGGCACCATTACCAACGGGACGGAGTTTCCGGACGGCGTAGCTGTGCTCATGGCCTTTGTCGGTGTCATCTGGACCATGTCAGGCTACGATTCTCCATTTCATTTGAGCGAGGAATGCTCGAATGCAAACATCGCCTCGCCGCGTGCCATTGTGATGACCTCCGGGGTCGGCGGCCTGATGGGCTGGTTTCTGCAGCTGGTAGTCGCCTACACTGTCCTCGACATCGAGGCCGTAATTGACTCGGATCTCGGACAACCTTGGGCATCGTACTTGCTACAAGTCATGCCGCGCAAGACAGCCATGGCCATTCTCGGACTGACCATTGTCTGCGGGTTCTCCATGGGCCAAGGCTGCATGGTTGCCGCATCGCGAGTGACCTACGCGTACGCTCGCGACGATTGCTTCCCCCTGTCACGGATCTGGAAGAAGGTCAGCGAGAGGACCAAGACCCCTATCAACGCTGTTATCCTCAACACTGTCCTGGGTATTCTGATGTGCCTTCTTATTCTAGCGGGCGATGTGGCCATCGGAGCCTTGTTTTCCATTGGCGCCATCGCACAGTTTGTCGCCTTTGCCATACCCATTTCAATTCGGGTGTTCTTCGTGGGGAACCGCTTCCAAAAGGGGCCATGGCACCTGGGGCCATTTGGTCCGGCGATTGGAGGGCTCGGCGTCTTGTTTGTTCTGTTGATGGTGCCCATTTTGTGTCTTCCCAGCGTGAGAGGGGCGGATCTGACGCCTGACCAGATGAACTGGACTTGTCTGGTCTGGGGTGCGCCGATGCTGGCGGTGACTATCTGGTGGATCGTCGACGCACGCAGGTGGTTCAAGGGTCCCAAGATCAATGTGGAGCATGTTATCCATGGCGTGGAGGCGATCGTGGATGTGGGGGTGGAGGTGGAGGATCAACGGAGCGAAAGTGAAGATGATGCAGTGAGAAAGCCTTGAATATGTAGCCTGTTGGTAGCTATATCTATCATGGAATTTCTCTTACTACTCTTGTAACCTACATATTAGTTGCTTGGTATCCTAATGGAATGCGGCAGCAGACCAAAAAGAGTACCTCTCTAGATTCTTTCATAAAGCTTACATGCAACACCCAAGCGACTGGTGTGCTTGTCTACAAAAGCAGCGATATTTATATATATATATATATATATATATGTCTCTCAATAAGGCAGCAACTCGAACGTCTTGGATCCCCCAATAAGTAGAGTCATGGCCAGAAGACGACGTCAACTCAAGAACATTGTTCCTACGCCCACTGCAGATCAGAACAAGACTTCCTCAGAATATATATATGTATATATATATATCTCACTCATGCGTCTGAATACCACTGTCTTCTCTAGTCTCAACACTGAATTGCCCGAGGATACACGATTCTGCTGCCATTCCATCTTAACAAGGGTCCCACCCAGCTTATCCCCCTGGCCACTGGGAGCATAGGATGAGCTTAGCAATAACATGCATGATTGACTCTACCGATCATTCCACTGGCTTGATGCAGCCTGCAAGCTCCACTCCATCCTGGAAGAATGGAATATCTGCAACTCGTGCGATGGCTGTATCGTAGGTGCTCAAAACCCCACATACCGCAGGCAACGTAGTCAAAATAAAGAACTCTAGACTACAGCGGATGGATCGCATGTCAAATTGAGTCAATCATGAGTCTGGAATAGAGATATTGCATTCAACTACGGAGTATGAAACTCATGAAGGCCATTGATTGTCTCTATTTGTTCCCGTCCGTACCGTGTCCCTGTCTAGATAAAGTAATCAGGACTGATAAATATAGTAACCTCCCTGTCTACCTTGTATCAGATCTATCCTCATTTACTGGGGAAATTCAGGGGCAGGTAATCCGATCCTACTACCACATCTACTGTTTATTTCACACAAGGGACATTACCTATAGATTACAGAGCTTTATTCCATGCTTATCCTGCCGAAAACTCACCCGACAGTCACTCGGTCCATAGCACATGCAATGCGGCAGACTGCTAGTGCTATCCTCTCACTGAAAGCCCGACAACCACATGCTCGGCCTACAGGTTACAGGCTACAGCCTACAAGCTATCGTGGGGTCCATTGCAACACACTATCAAGTTTCCAACCATGGGGCTCAATGAGGTTATCCAGGCTAGGAAAGTATAATTTTGCCCACGGCGTGTAGTTTACTAGATTTGTCGATCACTGCGCCATTTCGGTCTCAGGATTGACAGGGGTTCGTAGATAATACTCGTGTTATTGTTACGACCTAGAGGGGTAGACGAGACTTTCCTCCAGGTTATTAGCATCTTGCGACTCGACTTTGTCTGAATAGAGTGAAAAGGGGCTATAGTAGTTGTATGGCGGAGCTTCATATATTGGGCCATTCTCTTGGAAATGTCCGTATCTAACCCCTGCTCCTTAAGCTCAACTCCTTTATGTCCAAAGACAGAGAGAGCGCACGGCCAACTCACAGGGCCTGGGGCTGCGCGGTACGGAGTACCTTCTTCGTTTCTGTTACTTTATGACGCGGCTAGTGATGATAAGAGGCGGCTGAGACCGATGATCTGATACACTAGAATACTAGGAATCCCTCGTACGATACTAAATGCTGATTGCTGACCCCTATGTATCAAGATGATCTACAGAGTACTTACAAACTGTAGAGTGTCAGAGATCCTGTAAACAATGACGTTGGCGGGGCTCGCTCCGTCGTAGACAAGTCCAAGCATAAGCAATATGCAAATAAGCTGATTACTCAGCTATGCAGGCAAGATCAGCTAAACATCCTTAGTGCTAGCACAGGGCAGATACAACCTCGGTGACCTCAACCCCTCAACAAATCAGATACATTCAGCGCGCGCAACTACCCGAACAAGTCAAGACTCCGCTTGGCATGAGGTGTGTGGCGCATTCGCCTTCGAAGGTTCTAAATTTTCTCATTGGCTGGCGTGCTGGACCTGAAAACTGGGCGATCCAGACAAAGTCTTCGGGTTTACTCCGGTCCAACTTACAGGGGCAAAACTACCGAGGGAATCCCTGGGCCGAGACAAACCCGGATGGGTCGGAAGCCTTCAAATTTGCATGTAGCGCGATGGATTGAACGATCTGTACTCATGCAGTGTAGGTAGAAATCAGAGCGGTTGTTGCCTGCGGGATCTTTCTCTTTTGTCATTCAAGCTTTGATGAAGCTAAAGGATATAAGGGGCAAGGAGCATCAGACGCAATCGGCTCTTGTTTCGTTGGGGCAATGGTTATTTGAAGACTCGCATTACGCAACTAACCACGGAGTAAAGGAAAACAGTCTCAGGTGGTTAACATGGCTTAGTACAGCCATGTAACTCCAAGTCTCGATACCTTGATGAGTTGTCCAAGGTTCGGGAAATTCGTGAAAGATCAAGCAATCAAACCAAAATTATGAAACAATAATGATCTGAGGGAATTGTCAGAAGAATGTACGGTAAAGGACTCCAGATACCACCCTACAGAGTACAGATTAGGCCACACCGCCAAGTGCCAGTTGCATATTGGACGGTTAGACCACCCATTGAGTGGTCCTTCCGTGGAAGTTTCGATGAGCGGAACCAGGGCTTCTCCAAGTGGGGCTGGATCCCCTTTGGGTTACCAGGATTGGACCGCCACATTGGGCGAGCTGCATTCTCCATCCTGGGTAGTGGGATGCATCACGCATCGCGCTATCATCCTCAGACATCTCACATAGGCAGTTGGGCCCTGAAGTGATGAAACGCTGCTGTTTGTAACCATGGATGCACCGTAAGTGGCAACTCGAGCGAGTAGATTTAGACTCGCAGTGCAATATCTGTACGTTGTTAACAAATTGGCTTTGGATTGAGTTCCATTTCGGCTTGTTGTGGAAGTATGATTCGGTGTACCAAAATAGGAGGGTCGTATCATATTGATCGTGTCACGGAATTCCTCCACCTGCATAGACCGTCGTTGATAGTACTCTGCCGTGCTATGGATTGTATTGGTAGCTGCCTGAAGTAGCAGACTAGCAGGGGAGGTCGGCGGAATTTTGTATGAGAAACGATATTGCCGCGCTCTTTCCGCGCACCACAGGACGGGAATGTAATAGGATGTATTACGGAGTACTGCCCTGGAAATAGCTTGAAATTATGGTGTATTTGAATACTGAATTGCTAGAATATGCAAAGGAGAGATATGCTCCTTCATTCCCCTTCTCATTCGTTGTCTGATGAATATCATTCTTTTGAAACCTACTGATATTGATTTAATTATCCCCAAGCAGATCAGATAGGCAAGCTTGAAGAACGATCTATGCAAAGAACCCGCCTCTGGTTGTGCCGTAGTGGTCCACAATCGAAGCGGGAGAAGCTCCCAGCGAAACTCTCCCGGTGGAGAATAACCGCCGGGCTTGTTGGGTCTAAAGGATGATGGGCCCATCTCATGATCTAGCAGTTGTAGAAGTAAACAGCTACATTATTGTCGAGGGACTTCTTGACAACAATAACAACTTCTATCCTGGTCAATTGCACCCCAGTTGACCGATTTGATGACAGACTGGTAATTGCTTTGTAACAAGAATCAAAATCTCTCAGACAGACTCTCCGTCTATTGCCGATATGATTCATCATACTTTCCTCATTGGGATGGTGGCGAAAGGCCACGACATCAGAACCACGGACGAGCAAATTAGGATTGGACGGTTTGGGTCGAGCCTTTCTCGGTCGGTATTTGAGTCGGGCAAGTACGTAAGGTACTTTACAGTAGTGTAGATACTCTGTACTGCCATTCTCCGTTGCATTCTACCTGGTTGCTAGATACTACTGCATAATTGCACAGATTACTGGGAAATATTGCGTTGCATCATTAAGACTGAATAGAATGCGAGGACAAGAGTGATGTTATATAGAGTCCAGATAGTCTTTTAAGGCCGATGGCAGTGATCAGCCGTTTTTGAGAATTTTGTTGCATGAGGATAGTCATAGCTGTGTGCGTACTCGCACCTGGTCATCTTATTGTTGTTGTTCTTAGAACAGAGAACATTCTCGCTTCTATTTTCAGCTCGCAGGCCAAGGGGTGCGAAACTATTCGAGTCTCATCCAATGGAATTGATATAACCTCCTGTGAGAACCGGACTCATGACATGGTACTTTGGTCGTATCGAATTATCTTCACGCCCAATCTATATATGTGAATCAGGTGAAGGAATCCAATTGCATGATCATATTGACTGAAAGCAAACTACAATGCGGAGGCCTGAGACGCATATTATCTATGTGAGCCGTTGTGCTCCACAGTAGTGACACTGCAGAAAGACAGAGGTCTAGACAAGACAGGAGGAGTAGTCGGTACTTTGTCCATGACAACTGGTCATGAGCCATTATGTATGAAGACAATATATTGGCGTTGGTAGTCTACAAAATATTGTTCTGGTATCCGTACTTTAGAGAGTATTTGCTGTCTCAATAGGTCTAAGTGACCGCAAGCACTCCGTACAGACCGTCCCATCATAATATATTTCCAGGGAAGGATTTGGTCAAGTTATGTCCATACTAACAGGCATCGATATCGCCAAAATAACTGTGCAAGGCATCCGGTGCTGTCAGGTCGATCTAAATATGCCAAAAGATGGAGTAAGGGGCTATGACCCATATTCAGGTTGATCTTGTTCACTGAATCTAGGATCCGAACATGTACCACTCCACTCATTTCGACAGCAGTGATGACCATGATAAGGTTCTACCGCTGCGAGCTACCATCCTCGCATGTGGAATCAATGTGGATGTGCCATGAGGATCCCGTCGAGCCCCTGAAGAACATCTGGAAGGGCGGGACTGTCAATTGCGGAGAATTGGTGCAAGAGCTGGAGACCCTCCACTTGAGCTTAAGCTTGACTATATCAACGACTGCTGTGGAACAATAATCAGACAACAGAAGCGCTGAAAGCCAGAAATAACTAATTAGAAAGCACAAATAACTTTGATCAGCAGTTCTTGTCGCTGATTCTCCGTATTCGGTACAAGCTAAGGATGAGAAAGCCTCAGAAAGGAACTGAACGCGATCGGAGCAGCGCTTGGTAAGTACGGTTACGTATGTCCCTGTCGTGGACGAGATAAACCTATCAGTTATTATTAAATTATTAGATACCTAGGTTCAGCACGGAAGCATGATCCTTGTCCTGAAAGCAGCATAGACCATAGGTTAAGTTCCTTCCAGCCTCCCACAACAAGGTAGCATGCATGGCGTAGGGCGAATGGCTTGCTTCCTCTTTCTTCCGCTGCCCCCTTCAACTTTAGGATCTACCTAGCTACAATCTTGGTAATGGATAATCCATCCTATTATTCTCCTTGAGATATATATTTCTTGTCGTGTAGGTAATCAGCTGCATATCAAAGTACACTATGGCTATATCTGTAAAATATCCTTCTGTACTGAAGTCCTGAAATCTGGATGCCTGTCGACGTCTGGTATTGTCTGATTGCACGATAAACCAAAGGCCGAAATCTAGGCCGACCAGAAAAAGCACTCAACCGCTTGCGTTCTCGCTCAAGATTGGCAGGCTTCTCAAGAACCCTGGCGCGTCACCTGTGAACAAGTCACTGCCAAGTATCTTTTATGTGTCTGTATGCGGCAAGTGTACCACAATGGTACTTCCCGACGACTGTCTTCGGAAAACGCCCGACCGCTTCCTGTAAACAACCACATTCATCATGGGATTGTTGCACGGATTTGGATAATTAGCATTTGAAATGGAATTTATTGAAAGCCGGAATCATATGAAGATTTAGAATTCATCATTACCATGGAGTACAGTAGGTATCATAAGGTAGTGATAACAAATCTCACTAACCAAACAACGATTCCATCATGATTTTCCCCTGCTTGCCGCCGCTGCCAACTAAATTCAATTCTGCATCCTCCTGCTTTCCGGATAGTCAACGTTCGGAATTAAATCTGATTAGGTGCTGGGCCGAATTTGCCGTTTTCCCTGTGCTAGTAATGAAATTCATTGGATGTTTTTTTCATGGCTTGACCGTTTCCATACTTTAGCAGGGAAAAGAATGATAGACTAACTACCCTAGGTACCAAGTGCTGGAAACTTATGTCACAGAATCACGAGTAGTCGGCAGTATGCGAGCATTCGGCTTTCAATGGTCCCAGAAATCAGAAATTTGTATGTTCTGGTACATTAGAAATCCAGGCATTCTTTCTCTCTACAACCCTCGAAGCTCGGCTCCTGGGCTGCTGGATGATCGGGAACCGGACGAAGCGCGAATCAGGTCAACGGCACACAACTGTTCCAAACGGTAGGTGCTTGCTTATGTACCTACTTTTACAACGTACAGTACTCCGTAGCTCCTTGCGATATTTATGAGTTTAGAAGTCTGAGATGCTTTCTTCGAGTCGAAGTTAGCAGTCTGGACCTCTGCAGTCTTCAATAATCATAGAAATAATGATAATTGATCGTAAAAAGTTGATAAATCGTCCCGTTGTCAGAATAATATTTGTTGTTTTGCGCTTCTGTAACCGTTTTCCGCGTTTTGCCTCCCAGAGTTAGTTATGATCGGCCACCGCCCGTCCTCGTCGGTATGTATGTAAACTATCTGATCTCTCATCCTTTTTCTTCCTCTTAACTATCTATTCGTCTATTCCTTTCCCTTTCTCCTCCCCGAAAGGTGCCAACCAATTTGCTCCTAGTAAGTCCCCCTGCTCAATTATCTCTCAGTTCTTTTTGCATTCTGATTTTCTCGCCGGTCTTTTTCCTCTTCTTTTCTTTTTTTATACTTTAAGCCGCCGTTGTTCGTCGCCCCCCTCCATTCCCCGTGACCACCGACCAGACGGCGACACCGTACGTACCTTGGTGCTGTATTTTTGAATTTTTATCATTTTTATTTTATTATTATTAATTCTCTCTCATTTTTTATTTTTTTTATTTTTATTTTATTTTTTGGTTTTCAAAAAAAAACTTTTCTCTCTTCCTTTTCCTTTGCCCTGGGTCATTTTCTATCAAAGCTCTTGTACTTTTTCTTTTTCCCTCCCTTCCTCTCTCTCCTCCACTCTCCTAAACTCCGCACCTATACGCATTGTTCTTTACAGCCCTTCATCTGTTGTTGTTGTTGAATCAGACACCGTCCCTATCCGAGGATCCTGGTCCCCATCTCGCGCATCTATTGACGCGAAGCAGATTTTGGCTAGTATTCTGCCCACTCTAGCACTGCTGGTTGTGCTAGACCCACTTGCACGCCGCTTCCCTGGTGGATACAGAACCATTGACTCTTCTGACAACGTGCGGATAAAAAGAAGTTCCCACAGAACTTGATTTTCTTGTGGGTGACCGTGGGGAATTCAGATTAAGCATTCGACTTCAATCCTGACACTCTTTTTCTGCAGTGGAGTCGAACTCGATCCTGTACACATCCATTGTTGCTCCAGCAGTTTCATCCTCGTCGCTGCTTTCGATTGTTGTGAGGGACTGCCTTTCCGTCGCAACCGACCTTGTCCTACCGTACTCTCTCCGTGTTACAGGAGGGAAAAGTTCCTCAGTGATCCTTTCTGGAAGGACAAGTGAACAAAAAAAAGTTTAAGCAAAGGAAAGGTTGTCACCAGTTGAAGCTGGACGACATTGAAAGGATTTCAGTAATCTGCTGAGCTTCGTTTCCTGTTCGAAAAAACGTCAGGGAAGAGGGATTGTCTTGGTCTGCGATCGATGACCGGGATACCGTGAACCTTTTGTCCAGTTCAGCCCTATCCTATCTCCCCTCTCGCGTCTTCACCGACCCTTCCTCCGCTTCATGATGGATCCCAGATCTCACCCTTCACGGCCTCCATCCACCAGCCTTCCCCAAGGCTCCACGTCTCTTTCCTCGACACCCATATCGAGCATGCCAATGCCTCAGTACACCATGCAGCCTCAGTACCCTGTGTCTCAGCCGCACACCCTTCCTCCGCTGCAGCCTCATCACAGTCAATCTCCTGCCCCTCATTCCTACATGGGTCAGCCACCATACCGGCCGGATCTGTCGAGGTATCCCGCGTCTACGCATGATGTTTACGCGTCGTCGGCTGCACCCATCATGCCTCATACCACCATGGGTAGCTTGCCACCTTCAACCTTCCTCTCCCACCACAATCACCAAGCGCAGGCACAACAGTCGCAGCACTATCCTCCTCCTCACAGTGTGCTACCCCCGGCTTCGAGCGCGCAGACTTACCCGCAACCAATTGCGCCCGCTCCGCCACGGGATCGCCGCCCCGACTTCAATGGTATGCCTTCCGGCGCTTTCAGCTACCCCGACGGCAAGGCTTCGCCTTGGATGAACCCCGATCCGGTGGCGTCTGCAAACGGTGCCGGACCTTACGGTGCAAAGGAGCCTCCACGCACTCAAGTGGTTGGATCCCAAGGCCGACGTGGTATTCTTCCGAGCGTTCCGGGTCGCGCGACTCCTGTCACCAATGGTGTCAATGGTACCGCTAAAAACACGACGATCCCGGCCAAGGACGCGGACGGAAAGTTCCCTTGCCCTCACTGCAACAAGACATACCTTCACGCTAAACATTTGAAGCGCCATTTGCTAAGACGTGAGTTTTTGCATTCCGATTATTATTATTAGGCATTGACTAATCAAATTTTAATTTCACCTTCTAGACACTGGTGATCGCCCGTACATGTGTGTTCTCTGCAAGGACACGTTCTCTCGCAGTGATATTCTGAAGCGCCATTTCCAGAAGTGCTCCATCCGACGCGGTAATCCCACAGGGGCGACCCACTTGTCGCATCCTCAGGCACATTTGAAGCGGTCTCAGGCTCAAGCTGCAGCAAATACTGCAAAAAGTTTACAGGAGGAAGTCAGTAGTACCGTCCCGCCTTCCAATGGCATCGCGGGTGCGACTTTCAGCGAGGGGGCCGTGAACGGGAATGGTCTGGGTACAGGCCGACCAGGTTTCACGGACCAGCAGCCTCTAGGCTTTACGATGCAGTCTGTCAATGGGTTGGGCCGTGGTCAGCCAGACGACGCCTACGCTCATGGACAAGCTCATCAGAGAGCATCCTGGATGGCTACTCCCAAGCAGAACCCGTACCTTGTGCAGCCTGGCACTGAAGCACCTAACCAGCAGCTGAATGTTGACCGCCCTTCCCTTGAACAGGCGAAACCCCCTGTCGTTGATCCCAAGCGTCCCATGATGCCTGGACCCGACCCGAATCACGGTGGTGGACTTGATTGGACTTCCATGTTCCAGCCCGGAGCCTCCGACGGCTATATCAATCATGTGTTCCCCCAGTCCATGGCATCCGGCCAGGAGCCGATTCAAGCCCAGGTTGAAACTGAACGAAAGTTCTACCCTACCACTACGACGGCTGGCCCTCAAGAAGGTGGAATGAACGGTCTATACTTGGCTTCGACTACTCTCAGCGGCGATGGTAAGTAAAATGAGAACGCGCGTGGCTATGTCCGAATAAACGTTTTAAGAATAACTTTCTAATTTCCTTCACCCAGGCACCGTGCAAGCCGCCAGACAATAGTCAGTGGCTGAAGGGGATGGTTGCGACCCGACTAGTAGTGAAGCCTGTGGATATTGTTCCTTCAGGTGTTCCTTTGGGCCTGATCTACCGTCCGGAAACTCATACGAGGTGTATTTTCGCGGCTTCTACAACAAACGGGTCATTTCATTTTCTGCTCCAAAAACGAAAGGTTTCTTCCGGTCAGCATTTTTCTACGGCGAGCGCAGTAGTGCGGCGGTTCTGAATCGGGTTTGATTTTCTCCGACTCCATTACGAGTGGCAGATGGGTCGGTGTGTGGTTTATCCGGCGTCCACAAATAGACTTGGGCATGTGTTATTGTGTTTTGTGTTGTTGTTCACTTTCCTCATCTCATCGACGCGACATTCCTCAGGGGAAAGTTGCCGTCGCCTTCAGGTCTCGATTCGCATGACCTTGTACTTCAAACGCCGAATGCGCGCGTGGAAGGACAGTTGTTGGGATTCTGATTGCATCACTTTACGGCCGTTCAGATCCGCATTTCATTTCCCTGTCGACCATGTAAGTAGATTCTGTACGCTCTGCTCGGACATATGAGCTTGATTTGGTCCAAGAGACATTTGTGGTGTTTTTATCTTCCTGTTTTTGTTTGTTATTATTGTGTGCGTGTGCGTGTGTTTTTATGGTTTTATTCTCATTGTGTTGTTTCCCATGCCCCCTCCTTTGTTCTGTTTGCCATCTTCTCCTCTCTGCAAAAAAAGAGTGTGATATGTCTCTCGAGGGTCATATTTTTCATACGATCGGAGGCTGGTTTGCGTTCCGGGAAGCCGAGCGTCGCCGTCTCTGTTTTGAGTGCTGAAATCTCTTGTCAGCCATATGAGATGGTTCTATACGTGCTATGTGCTGGGGTGTGCATTCTGTGTTCGAGCCATGTTCGTCTTTCCGTCTTCCGATCGGTTTGAATCGACCACAGTGGTGGTGTACCGATTCAACCGTGTCGGATACGAGCAGGCAAACAACGCCTGTGCATGTTGCTTTTTGACGAAGCAGTATGGGACAGATGAGCAACGGCAACACAAAAAAAAAGGGAAAGGGAACCAGGAACACCTGGGAGGGGGTAAAAAGGAAGGATTTGAAAAAAGAAAATAGATTATAGACAGTCGATGTTCGATTAACCTGCAAAAGACGGGCAAATGGGAAAAAATATGCTACTACAAACATCCTAAATGACCTAAATTCACTCTGTAGACACCTTGTCCAGCCTCGTAGCGAAGACAAACGGACATCATTCTTAGGGGGGGGAAGATGCACATGTGCAACGCTGTTGGACTTCCCTTCTGCCCGGCGCGGAGATGCGCTTCTGGTTCCGATATTTCCCTACCTCAAGCTGCAGCTGCCGTTCGTCTAGATTTCCCCTCATCTCATCCATCGGATGATTTAGATCGCATGCAGGGTATCTACATGCCGTCTAGAAATGTAACGATCGATATTTTAAGCCGTTTCCCCTCATGATATATTGAGTACGGAGTACATCTGGTAGAAGAGAAGCCGGTTTAACCCCCACAGTTCCCCTCCATCCATTGTATTATGCCCCTCCGAGTATTCCCTTCCTTACTCCAGGGTCATGACTTCTTTGTGAAACCGCTCAAGCGAGCCATTCAGTCTGAGGGATCCGTTCTTCAGCTCCTGCCTCTCTTATCATCAAGTCAGTATTCCCAAACTATCTTATTTTGCAACTGTTTTTCCTTCTCAGCGTAGTGCTCATACTAACGGACCCCAAGAGTACCTAAAGCGAGTGAAGACGTCACCGCCGAGTCTCTTTTCCTCCGGGGCGATATCAGCAACGGCTGATTGGCTCGTCCAGCGGCAAGCACCACAGCGGGTCAAACTTCGGAGTGACTTTGGGGGAATCCTTCGTCTCAGAACGAACGTCTCGCTATATCTACTCTGTACAGCAAAGTATCACAGACCTCCGAATGATTCGTTTGTCTAGTCGTCCCGCGCAGGCTGAATATTAAACAGTCGATCCAGAGGCGTTTCTCTGCCAGATCTGCTCTCTCTCCCTCTTCCTCCCGTCACCGCTGCCAAAACTGGGAAGCCCACGAACTACCGCCACTACTAGTCCACTACATCCCATCGCCTCATTCGAGTAATATACGTGATTTAAGGTGCTTTCTGGCCCTTTACGAACCCGACGAGACAGGTTGGATCCAGGATACGTTTCTCGTTAGGGTCTTTCCCATTCGAGTGCTACTTGACAGACTGTTGCCTTCCGAAGCCGAACAAAATCATCATGTCCAACATGTCAACTAACAGGCCTTTTCTGGCCAACTTCCTGGCGGCGTTTCGAGCACAATCGACGTACAAGGCCTCGACAGCTGGTACTCAGTCCGCCGCAGGTCCATCCTCCTCACTCTCTGCCGCTCAGATCTCTCAAGGGGCCCGAGCAATAGCCACCAAAGCCGGTGCCGGCTCGAATGCGGCCACTTCAGCAGAGCAAGCATCCTCTACCACTGCTGCCGTACAAGCGGCATCAAACCACCATTATCATCACCACTCTTCCTCTGCGGCTGCCGCATCTTCACATGCTAGACCTCATTCCCACCCTCGACCGTCGCTGAATCAGACTTCCCCGAGTACAGAATCCCCTGCTTCTTCTATCTCCACCCCTCTAGCTCCCTCTTCCCCGCCTACACCTGCCTCATCAAATCCCATCCCCATCGCGGACGGTCATGACCGCCAACGGCGAGGGAGTGACAGTTCCAGTGGATCGGGAGGCTTCCGGGATGCCCTTGGCCCGGAGAAGTGGTATATCGGCGGTCGAACAGCTGCAGGAGAGGAACGCTTCTACCGGTTAGGGATGGTGACCAAAGGTGGTGGACGACTGGGAGGCAGTGGACGAGTCGGGAGCATTGATCAGTTGAGCCTTTGATCTGCGTTTGCTCCGATCCATTGGAAAGCTTCTCCAACTTGATGATCCTTATGATTGCGAAAATTATATTATGGATGGGCGTTTGAGTGATTGGCATTGGTTTGGGTGTTTAAGGGCGTTTCCATCTTACGACGGGGAAGGCTTATGCGGGGGCTGGGAATGGGATTCGTGAAGAAAAGAACTAGTGCTTCATCTGTCTTCACTATTATTTCCTTTCTTGTCTACCATTACTCCGCTCATTGTCTTTTGACTGTTTCGAGAGTATAACTATCGATGCGTCTGTACATGAGGATATAACTTTGTTGTATGTATGCATACGGAACAGTGAACATTGATCATGACAATTGACCAGCGTACACCTCACATAGCTGATAGGTCTGTCTGGTGCAGACCTCTCATTTTGTTCTCTCTCGCGGTTCCGGACGCAGATGATGCATATGACTGAAGGTCGTACGAGCGCGTCCCGATGTCAGCGCATAATCCTCCGGGTAATACGGTCATACATAGAGAACAACACAAGTATAGGGACCTAATGTACACACTCAAACATTCCTATCAGCCTCCTCCCTCCTCTCCCCGCCAACAACCCTCCCTCTCCCTCTCCGTCCCTCAACCACCTCGCCCGGCGGCCCATCACTCAGCCAAAGCATCGGCACAGCCGTCACCGCGGCCAACGACCCAAGCGTCCACGCCATCGTCTTCCACCCATACCGATACTCAACGAACCCACCCCAAAGCGGACCCAGGAACATCCCCATGAATGAAGACATGGTCTGGATGCCGAACGCCTGCGCCACGGCCCCCCGTTTGCCGAAGATCCCGGGCCGTGCGCGCTCCATTTCTTCAAGGACCTGCTGCGTTTCGACGTACAGCGCGGGCACGCAGGCGTTGATGAACAGGCCGATGAGGGTGAGGAGGACGAGGAGGAGGATGATGTGTGGGGTTGTGTTGGATTCGACGAAGCGGAGGCTGATGAGCGGTGGGGAGAGGAGGAGGAAGCCGGTGAAGGTTACGATGCGGGCGCCGTATCGGTCTGAGATGGAGCCTGTGGTTGCTGATTAGAGTGTGCTGGGGGTTGTTTGGTTTGCTGGATGGCTGGCTGGCTGGCTTACCAAAGTATGGTTCGAAGAGCGCTGTTATGGCTGAGGGGAGGAAGGCCACTCCCGCGCCGAAGGGGCTCCAGCCGAATTTGTTTTCGACAAAGACGGGGATTGTCTGTCGGGTTGATGAGCGTGAGTATGATTCTCCTGAAATGTACCAGTTTGAGGACTATGGACAGCGTACCGAGTCAAAGGCGGAGTATAAGATGCCCTGGACGAGCAGGGCGAACGAGGAGATCATCACCCGTGGCTGGCGGGCTATGCGCAACAGAGCAATGTTCCTCCATCCCGTTGCAGATTCCGAGATCCCTGATGAGTGCTGAGGGCATCCCTCACCTGCGTTCTCCTCAGGGCAATCCGACAACCATGCGCGGGCGACCTTCTTCTCGATTACGGCCACTCTCATGACGAAGTCGACGCCGACGATGGCAAACGCCATGGCAAACACCGCATTGTACCCGGCAGCATTGTAGACTAGTCCGCCAAGCAGCGGACCAAGGAGGAAGCCCAGCGCGATCGACGACCCCAGATACCCGATCGTCTGACCCAGGTTATCGAACGAGACCGAGTCGGTCATGAGCGCCAGGCCCGCGACGGCCACCATGGCTGTCGCACCGCCCTGGAGCAACCGCGCAACTATGAACAGCCACACGGTATGCGCAACAGCCAGCATCCCCATGGAGGCGCCGAGCAGGATGAGCCCGAACAGGTAGGGGAACTGGCGCGTCGGTGCGATGTCGACGAGGTACCCGAAGATGGGGCAGCAGACGAACGCGACGGCTGCCTCACACATCAAGAGTACGCTGACCCAGTATTCGCCTGGACATGGAACATGTCAGCAACAGCGTCATTTGAAGACAAGCAGCTTTCTGCGCGACATACGTTCATCGTATGGAACTCCTGCCCTATCGACCAGCGCAGTTGGCATCACTGGAACAATCTACCATATCTGATATCAGCAATTGCGAAGACAGTATGTTCCATAGCTGCTCACCATTGCATATAAGAAGTAATCCTGGAAGAGACAGTCAACGACCAGACGAGTAACAAGGCTAGCTTAGATGTCCCACTCACTGTAAATGACGATGTCCATACGGTGGCGATAATGAATGCTGTGGACGACCGTATTTGTAGAAGCCAAGGAGGGCGTTTATGCCCTTTGCTGCTTGAGCAGAACATCGTCTGCTTGAATTCTGTTCAGGAAAGTAGCAGTTGAACGAGTGTGTGTTGTCGCTTTGCTTTTGTCAATCTTCAGCTGGCGCCATCGAACTTCGTAGCATAGCAGACTTTGATGCATCCACTTAGAGCTTCCTTTCAACAGCAACCCTAGCTCATTTTTCGATCCAACCAGTCCAGTGATATGATATCGGGAAGACAATGACATCTGCTCTCGCCAATGATTCAAGAACTTGTCGAGACGATGACAAACAAAAAAAGAATGAGCAGTGGAGCAATGGATCAGCGGCCAATTAGAATGATGAGTTGCGCTCGATAATTGCTTCAACTTCATGGAGCTACATCAATGCCGTGATTTCTTGCACAAGCTAACACGCAGCTTCTCAAGATAATCTGATACTATCTCTGCTAACAGATAGTCAACAGTCATGATAATCCGACAATCAACATGTTGATATGTCTGGGGTTTTTCCCTGCATTCCTTCCTGTCATTCTACGTGGTCACTCCACAGGCCAGACAGACTCCCGAAAAAGCGAAGTAGGACTCTCACATTTCGGATCCTAAGACCAAGAATGTATGAGCAATACGCCAACATTGTGGAACTAGGCCTGTCCATGATGAGAACTGATCATCAGCCCAGTTCGTTTGTCCAGCGGCTGGCATCTTGACTCCATGCGGACAGGTCGCCGCATGTATACCTCAAGGATTCAAAGAGCATCCTGATTACCACCATCATTCAACGGTTTTCATCTACTAATCGTACCATGCGATGGACTGTTGGGGAGTCGCCGGCCTTTAAAATTATCAGGCACCAGGACCTTGGAGTTCCAAACACCGCGCGATAAGATAAACGGCGGAGGACAGTAAGGAGGATGGCCGCAGCCGTCCAAATGCGCGGCTTTCGGAGGTGGCCGACATGGACAGCCAGCACCCATCATGCGATGGTTTTTCGCGGTTGTCCCTTCGTGACCGGATTTAAAAGCTCTTGTGTCGCCTGCTTGCGTTGAAGTACCAAGCTTTCCTTTCTCCTTCACCCGCATTGTTAGATCGTGAGCTTTGGCTTGCCCGTACCCCCGATTTCCTTATCGTTCTTGAGCTTCCCCGCAGGACTATTTACCCCGACTCTCCAACTACACTTCTTTCTAGACAACTACGGCTACTCAGCTCCATTAAATTGATCAAAATGTCGGCCTCTGTTACTGCTGCTCGCTACGGAAAGGACAACGTCCGTGTTTGCAAGGTCCACCGGGACGAGAAGACCGGTGTGCAGACGGTGGTGGAGATGACCGTCTGTGTGCTGTTGGAGGGAGAGATTGAGACTTCGTGAGTCGGAGGTTAGAGCACAGAGTCAGACAAAGAGTACTAATCGGGGATTTACGACAGCTACACCAAGGCAGACAACAGTGTCATTGTCGCTACGGACTCGATCAAGAACACCATCTACATCCTCGCCAAGCAGCACCCCGTCACTCCTCCCGAGCTCTTCGGCTCCATCCTGGGCACCCACTTCATCCAGAAATACAAGCACATCCACGCCGCGCACGCTCACATCATCACCCACCGCTGGACGCGCATGAACATTGACGGCAAGCCCCACCCTCACTCCTTCGTCCGCGACAGCGACGAAACCCGCAATGTCCAGGTGGACGTGACCGAGGGCGCCGGCATCGACATCAAGTCCTCCATCTCTGGCCTCACCGTGCTCAAGAGTACCGGCTCGCAGTTCCACGGGTTCCTGCGCGACGAGTACACCACCCTCAAGGAGACCTGGGATCGGATCCTCAGCACGGATGTCGATGCCTCGTGGCAGTGGAAGCGCTTCAGCGACCTCGCCGAGGTCCGCGCCAACATTCCCAAGTTCGATGCCGCCTGGTCCGCGGCCCGGAAGATCACCCTCAAGACTTTTGCGCAGGACAACAGTGCCAGTGTGCAAGCTACTATGTACAAGATGTCCGAGCAGATCCTAGCGGCCGAGCCCTTCATCGAGACTGTCGAGTACTCTCTGCCTAACAAGCACTACTTTGAAGTTGGTGAGTACTGACGATGCTTCCTCTGACTTGGGTCCCATTGCTAACGTTGTTTTTCTGCAGACCTCAGCTGGCACAAGGGCCTCAAGAACCTCGGCAAGGACGCCGAGGTGTACGCGCCGCAGACAAATCCCAACGGGTTGATCAAGTGCACCGTGGGCCGCTCATCCAAATCTAAGCTGTGAGAGTGTCTCAGTCAAAGGATTGCATTTCATGATTTGTCACGGGAGTTAGCCAAGGCATAACTGTACATAGTCTCTGGGAATAGGGTATTTCATCTAGCAATCATCCATCTTTCACTTGCGTATAGTACAGAAAGCACCGAACATGTAGACGACTGAATCCCGCTTCAAAGGAGGAAACTGTTGGGAATGATCGAATAGAAGATATCCTGAGAAAGAAAAAAACAATAAGTCACAAAACTCCCACCCATGCGCTAGTAAAATCGGTCCTAAAATAGCACAGAAAATATAGAGTTACAGAAGCAGATGGCGTCGCATCCGAGCGGGAGAATAATTCGCTTTTGTTCGATTTCGTCCCCCTGACCAGGCACCGTTCACGCAGACTGCTTGGCCTCAGCCTCAACCTCAGGCTTCTTGAAGGCCTGTTGCACCTCCGGCAAATTGCCAATAACCGACTTGTTGCCGAACTTTACGATATTCTCCTTGTAAGGATGAGCCAGACCCTCGAAGGCTGCTCATGTCAGCAAGAGAAGCGCAATCCAACAGCAAAGACCCAAAAAACTCACTCTTCAAACGAGCCAACCTCTTATCCCGAAGCCGGTTCTTAGGCAACATCCCCCGAACAGCCCTCCGCAGAACCTCACCACCGCCCCATTTCTCGAACATCTGGTCCATGGTCATGCTTCGCAGGCTGCCGGGCCGCGTGGTGTGCGTGTAGTACTTCTTCTGGAAGCGCTTCTTTCCCGTAGTCCGCAGGTCGCTGCAGCCTACAGCGACGACGTAGTCTCCGCAGTCTGTCGAAGGGTCGTAGATGGGCTTGTGCTTGCCCATGAGGAACAGGGCGATGGAGGAAGCCAGGCGGCCGAGCGAGCGCGGGTCAGAGCCGACGTCGACATAGTGCCATGTACGAGAGTAGGCGAGACGTGTCTATACGTATTCATGTTAGACCAGATGGCAGAAATGGAGCTGCAAAACAGAGCGGGCTACCGCACCTTTCCGATGGTTTGCGACATCTTTGAACTGCTCTCCTCAACGAGGATAGACCGGGGTGAAAGTCGAAATCAGAGCAATTGATTGAACAATCAAAACTGAATTATGATGAAGTCCCCAGAATTCGAGTCCCAAGTTCCAAGTTCCCAAACTTCCGGAAAAACCTCCGCTGAGTCCGCTCCCTACGTCCAACCTCCAAACTCCATCGCCGACTCCCGCAGGCTCTAGTCTCACGTGACCGCAGCCCCCGACAAGCCCTAGAACGGCACTAGCGCGGCGCACTAAGCGAGTTTGTCCGCACGGATTCTGCCCATCTCGAATCGAACGCCGCGAGAAATATAGCCCTGCGACGACGACAACTTTCCAACCCCCCCTTCGAACCCACCCTCCGGCACACTCCTTCTCGACACCGACAAGGGCCATTCTACACATCATGGCTTCCGTCCCGAGTGTGCAATGCTTCGGCAAGAAGAAGACGGGTAAGTTTTTTCAAAGGGGACAGGAACGCGGAGATGAAGAAGAACGTGATCACTAACTTAGAATTATCTGTATAGCCACCGCTGTCGCCCACTGCAAGGTATGAGGAGAATTCTTTCCATTTCCCTATGATGTCGCCCCAATGGCAAACTGTGTGATTTATCGAGATGGAATATCCGGAACGTGAAAGAGAAGGGTTGATATGGAGGACAAAAACGGGGATTCGCTTTTTCATTCGCATGGAATCAACAGAACAAATGCTGAGAATTTTGTTATCAACAGCAAGGCAAGGGTCTGATCAAGGTCAACGGCCAGCCTCTCGGCCTGGTCCAGCCTGAGATCCTCCGCTTCAAGGTACGACTACAAAACCCAACGGAAGGCGTCGCAAAGATGCGAAGGAAAAGAAGATAGAAAGGAAAAACAGAAATCTGACGACAATGCAAATAGGTCTACGAGCCTCTCCTGATCGTCGGCGCTGACAAGTTCGCCGGTGTCGACATCCGTGTCCGTGTCTCCGGTGGTGGTCACACCTCCCAGATCTACGCCATCCGCCAGGCCATCGCCAAGTCCATCGTCGCCTACTACCAGAAGTACGTCGATGAGCACTCCAAGAACCAGCTGAAGCAGGCTTTTGTTCAATACGACCGCACACTGCTCGTCGCCGACAACCGTCGTACGGAGCCCAAGAAGTTCGGTGGTCGCGGTGCCCGTGCCAGGTACCAGAAATCCTACCGTTAAACGACCCCGCCAATCAAAAAGCCACGAAAAAAGCGCAGAATGGTGTTGTGTTTCTCTCATGGTGTACTGGGGAGGAGATCATGGTGCAATCCCACTGGGCAATCGAAGAAGGTTCGAATTTGGTTGTGGCAGTGGAATGGGTTACTGGCTCTGTCTCGGATGGATTTAGTATAGGCCAGGAATCTGAAATATTACCCATTTTTCTTGTTTGTCATTGATCTGTCCCTAAACAGAGATAAGCGTTGCGGATGTTATCCTGCGTTGTCTGTTTGGGTCATCTTTCTAACTGTATGGTCTGGACCAAAAAAGGAATGCAATTTTCGGATATACTGTGACCAGGACTGACGCAGGAAAGGCGCAGTTGTCTTGATGACTTTCTACCCTTACAAGACGCGGAAATCAAACACCATTCTGCCTATGATCGTTGATGACCTAATTCTACAATTTGCTAGAAATTATTGCACTTAACTTGCCTCGCAGTATATGCCGAATCGGGACCTCCCGTCACATACATATGTAGAAAGCATCGGACGCTGAAGGACGCGACAGAAGCCATATCCTATGGACGCTTAGCATTTGGCAATGGACGACATCTGCCTACCAGAGGCGGTCTTGCTCAAAGAGTGCTGCGAGTCCCTGCATCACTAAGAAAGTTCCGCATCCGCATTCACTAGATATGCACGAGACCAACTGGAAGAAGCTTCGCCTGCCGTACCAACTTCCCTCAGTCAAGATATTTAGAAATATTCGAGATTGTCTCATGCAAGGCAACAATATCAAGGGGAAACGCAAGGGAGGAATGAACGCACTTTGCCATTTGAGCATCCATCTGTCTTCGGAACATCCATGCCAGATCGGCCACCAGGGTTAGGCTGAGACTCTATTCTCCACAATGTTAATGCTACCGTTCAAACACTGGGTGCCCAATGCGCCAGGTAGACTCTCGTGGTTTTCAACATCATCGTCTCCGGACTCATCAAGGTAAAGAAGTTGAAACCGATTTGAAGCTGACAATGACTTCTTTGAAGCTGGTTGCACATCTCTTTTTGGGCCAGAGGGAAGCTTGGAGAGTAGCCCTGCGCATTCGTCAGGGTAAAACCCAATGCGCATACCCTTGTAAGAGCCTCGAGACATCATGCAGGACCGAGCAAATAGTGTATTGTGAACGGAGTTGGTGGAGATGTATGCATTTGCTTGCTTGAATTTCACAGTGATCACAATCAGGTTGTGGATATGCTCAAGGTCCCTCCGGATAAGTGATTCGGTGATATTTGCATTCACATTGTAGATGACTAGATTCCGAGTTGCGCCGTTCCTGATCTTCGATCCAACGTATGGGGGAAGGTAGAATTGCCGGTCATTCCAAGAGACCTCGACCTATGAAGGTGAGGAGTGGTCAATTACAGGTACACATGCAATGGCTTCGATAGGCTTTCTTACGCGCTTCCCGGCAATATGACAGCCATGAGTTTTTGCGTGCTGCAGGAATTCGGCAGCGGCAGCTGGTTCAACAAACGAGACGTAAGCGGCGCGATCCCGAGCCCGAAGGTAAAGATGCAGCAGAGCACCGCCTCTCACTGTATCAACGACATCTTGATGAGTGGCCCGGTCCGGTAAGCCGCGAATAAAGACTGTGCGTTGAGCTCCCGGGGAAGAAACAGAATCTGCGCTTCTCGACTCGTCATAGTCATCCTTTTCGGCACTGTTTGGGGAAACGATGCCATCATCTTCAGTATCCTCCTCATAGATCTCGCCGACCTCATAAGAAGCATTTTCATAATCGTTGGAGCTCTTGAATTGGGTAACAGAGCGATTCTCGAGTCCATCAATATCCTTCTGCTCATGGAGCTCTCCAGAAACTTCGGAGGACTGAGACGGAAGATCTGCTCCGTAAACCAATATCTGAGGAGAGAGTGGTCAGCAACCACATGGCTGTGCGGCTTGGTATGCAATCATACATCGAGAGTTTCTTGAGATAGACCCCCACCCAAAAGAGAGTCTTTCAACTTCTCTGTATGGTGATAGATGAGCATATGGGCTTGCAATATGGCCTTATGATCCGTCAATCAGCGTAGGATGTGTTGACTCACTGAGATGATTCGATGCTTGCAGCTAGATTCATTAGCAAATGCGCTGAATAGGAATTGGACGATGTCTTTCTATCTTACCAGCTGCTGGTATTCTGATTTCAGAATAGTAACATAATCTGCGCCGAGCAGGCTGGTATTTGGAGGTAAAGTTCGCTGGTTAAGAGTCACGCGAGCATGAGCCGGGGTAAGGAATCCTCGCGTAGAAGATAGGAGGAACTCACAGCTTCAGTTCTGTCAGAAGCATCAGTACTGTTATTTTCGCTTTCTGATTCTTAAGACATGCTAGCAGAGATGAATGGCAAAATGGAGCATGAGTACTTACTTCTGAGCAAAGGATCTAGAATAAAGGCCACCATATGAGGTGATTGAAGACATTGTATCTAGTACCAGAGTTAGTTGATGATGGAGTAAAGAGGAAGGAGGGAGGAAGAAGCAGACCAGTGAACTAAAAAATGGCATCTAATAAGTAGATGCTTTTAGCCAAATCAGAAATAAAGTAAGGTAGAAAAGAGTTTAGGCAGAGACAAGGTGCATGAAAGGGAAAGACAAGATAATCTCCTCGTCTCTGGGGACAGGCATATCGCAATCATTCAATAACCCCACGTTGACTTTGCAGGAGCGATCGACCAGAAGACCAAGGGAGTTGCTCATTTGGTCGTTTCCAAAGTATACTTCTATTTTCTTCATGTTCTCTCCACGCCCTCTTATCTCAGGCAACTTGAACAGCTTGAGTCTATTGCCATACTTACTCCCGCGATTGTTTTGATGAAACAGAAGTCCAAGGTGAGTACATCGATGGCCATTGCTATCCTATGAGAATACCTACCATCACGACTATCTACGTACTATGCGGAGCTCATCGATATACTCAAAGGTAGGCCAAATCTGAGTGTCAATCTGCTATGTCGTTCTCTCTTTTCAAACGTCGAATATGGGCTGTGTGACCCAACACTCACTTTTCCAGACTCACCCTGTCTAGTGGCGCTGGACAAGTCAGACCAACTGGTATCTCCAAAGAAAGACAAGGTCAAGTAAATGATGGTTCGCAGGACTTCGCATCAATCAAAAGCGTTCCACCATCCCTATGATCTGCCAACTCTTCCCATTGGCGGCGATGCACAACCGGTGAGCGGACGCAAGGCGCTTGCTTGCTACGATTGCATATCCAACTAGCACCAGCCACAAAGCTCATCGCCTCACTGCGGATGCTCCATTGCTCATCTGCAGTATTCTGTACAACCAGTGTAAAAATTGACAAGGCAGCTGATTTGATTTTCCTGCAACCTATATCCGAGAAAGAAAGCGGCAGTGAACAGATTTGCGCAGCCATCCAGAAATTTGAGAAATGTCCGCAGTTGGCGTATAAAGATAAGCAGACTTTTCCAATAGTGAATCGTTTGGATATGGAGAATTAGCACGACCATATTTGGCGGTCGTGGGATTCAGCTGGCATGATGAGTGTCCTGTTATTCCTGTGAACTGCTAATGGAACAGTATATGAAACAATGAGTATCTCAAAGCGGCCTCACGTCATGACGACGTCTGATTTGCACTAGCTGACCGCTACGCACATAGTGCAGGATGCATTATTAATCGTCAGACAAGCCCATTTTCAGCCAAAATGGGATTGGATGTGAGGCCGAGCCTCGGGTTGCTTCTTGCTTAGCTCACATCGGTGAAGTGTGAAGATATCAGCGATTGAAGAATGTGGCATGTGTTATAATCTCAAAGTTTCTCCTGCATGCACATTCAAGCGAGAGGATTATCTATAAGAGGCTCTACTCAGTATCTGCTGTCTGTGACTGAGCCTCTCTCTCATCATCCTCCTGTGGCCTTTGTAGAGCTCTTGGAGGCTCCGGTTGTTGCTCTATGTTTGATCTAGTATCCACTGCTTCCCTTCGTCTGATTCTCATTATCTGACCGAAATTGGCGGCAACCTGAAAGAGAAAGGTGGCAATGAAAATGCCAATGATGAGGGTTTGTGACAGATATGATTCACCGTCTTGCGGCGCAGTCCGCCGTTGGTTGCTTTCATATATAGCAGGGCTGGCGGAACCGAACGACACAGAAACAGAGAAGGAGAAAGGCGAAAAAGAGGTGAGGACACTTGTAGATCGCACTGACATGGACGATGTTATCGGACCTAGAGCCAAGGGAATGAGACCGAAGACGAGAAATGGGACGGCTAGTCATAAGAGAGAGGCGAAGGATTGTGGAGTCGGCCTGACCAAAAAGGTGTCGAAGTGAGTATAAAGTGCTCTCTAGAAGATTGATTGAGAACCGGTAAGGGCAATTGAGAACATACCACTCCCGGGCCTCTGCCCTTCTAGCCCACTGTGCGGTGATCTTCAGCCGCTCCCTAACACTTGTTGCTGACAGAAGCGCGTACTTTTCCTCTTCGGATACTGGGAAAACACAGGCAAGCCACCAAGGGAACTGCGCTGGATCCGAAGGTATATCTCCGTAGGCCATCAAGACGCGCGGGTGCAGCCATCTGGCACCTTCGCCCCGCCGCTTTCGTACAAAGTCCAGTCCCAACTGGAACAGTTCTTGCGTTGACATGGAGTCTAGTGGCTGTTGGGATGGCCGGGCTTCTGTTGAACGATGGGAGATGGTCGCCGTCTCCAAGGACTCCAAATTCTCCTCTTCTGCGATAGGAATATCGTCAACACGCTGTATTTGGCCAACGTGGTAGCCATCCACTATGTGAGATTTGAGAACTTTGAAGCGCGATACACCATTGGCAAAAATCAAGCTTCTGCCGCCAGGAAGGGGCTCAAAGCGCTCGACCCTAAGAACTGTTCCATATTGCATGAATTGGGATGCTCCTAGTTGTCCTTGCGGTCGTCCTAAGCGGTTATACATGACCATCCCAAACTTGCGATCTCTACTCTCCATGACTCTTCGTATCATGAGGCAGTAGCGAGGTTCAAAGATACGCAAGAAAGTCGGCATAGTTGGAAATGATAGAGAATTGACGAACAAAGGAAGAATGGTTCCAGCCTCTGAATCAGGCTGCTCCTCAGCCAGACTCTGCCACTGTGAACTGATCTGGTCCGAGAAAAACAGCTTTGTAATGTCGGATACCCTCTTATTGACGGGCTCAGAGTTTATGGTCGAAGCCATATTCAATTTGCGCCGGCAGATAGGACAGAGATCACTATGATCTAAAACGGTTGCAACACAGCCGCGGCAGAACGTGTGGCCACAGGGTGTGGTGAACGGGTCTGTGATCAGCGAGTAACAGACCTGACAGTCCAGTTCATTCCGGATGGAATCTTTCAATCGCTCAAACAGTGCACTTGACTGATCGACCTGTCCAGAGCAGTCTTCGAGAGCTCTCTCGTATATTATCTCCGTCGCATCGCAATCGAAGCGTCCCTGCTTCACCAAGTTGTATACTCCCCTCAATACATCGGGACCGATGTCCGCACAGTTCAACGTTAGCTCCTGATCCTTAAAGCCCTTCCAGGTCATCCGAAGCCCATCCTCCCCCTCATTGCTCGTATCCGACGCTGCCGCAGTATGCGCGAGAACTTCATCAAAGACGTCCACGAGCCTGCTCAGTAATACATCGACCCCACAGTCGCCCACACAATGTTCCCCATGGCAGTTATGCTTCCCTCTCCAGTAGCACCTGAAGCCTTGCTTTCGTCCCTCGTCTGCCGGATACGTGATTCCCTTCCGCTCATGAAGCGGGGGAAGACAAGCTCGGCAGAAGGTATTCCCACATGGCAGCCTGAGCGGTGACCGGAGAGGCCGCAAACAGTGCGAGCATTGAATCAAGCGTATGAGAGAATGCGCTAGGATCGGCTGAGAGGTCGTGACGCTGTCGGGGATCGTGGGTGCGGCGCTGACGGAAGTGCTATCTCCATCGTGTGGAGAGTGTGGAGAAAAGGTCACTCGGTCATCTTCCATTGGTACTGGGCCAGTTGATGGTCAGGATACGTGAGTGTGACGAATATCTACGGTGCAAGTAGTATTGAATATTCCACTATTTTTAGTATAAATTGCTGGAGTAGATGGCACGATGTGATAGATGACTAGCTTGGAACAGATCAATGTTAGTTGGGGTGCTAAAGGACTGCGGAGGCATAAGGCCTCGGCCATCCCGAGGTTTAGTCACTCCACTCACTCTTGGTTCCAACCAATCTGACATCGAGAGCTAAGCTACATCATACTGCACTGAAAAGCTTTCAGAAGCACGACCGCAGAAGTATCAGTAGTAGCCCACTCATGCTGGATATGCTGCATAAAGGATAGAATGTGTATTTGTATGTACAGAATTGCTTATGAGACGCTTCGTGAGCCGACGAGGAGCTCGAAGCCAAGAGTACCGGTGAGCCCTTAACTGTTGATCAAGTCTTCGCCCGTTGAACTCCTTCTCCTCAGTTGTTCTGGAGTCTGGTCTCAAGCAGATGGGGGAATCCTGCGGAGTCTCAAGTGTATAAGAGAACATAACATGGTGACATCTTTCATTGCTCAGGACTGGACATTCCTGAACGCCATACCAAGACAGAAGGGGGTACTCTGGAAGAAAACGTAGCAACTCGCGTAAAATGCCTAACCTTGAAATCGGGAATGCAATAGTGTGGTTCGTAACCATCGTCGTCATTCACATTCAATGAGAGGAGGGGAAGGAAGAGGTATGTATCGATGATGATTTTAACGTAGGATGAGGGAAAAGGTTACAAAGGCCCAAGGCGGGTGGTCCAGCCATAAACAGTCCATCAATCGGATTCTTGCGATGAGGCCGTCTCGGAATCAGTGTCTGAGTCTTCTTCCAGCACGATACGTCGCATTACACTCTTGTCAAACAGATCAAGGGCGAAGCGTCGTGCCGGCAGTCGATAGTGATGACCCTCGAGGATGCTGAGAGTCTTGCGGAAAAGGTGAGGTTGCCGAAACCGATCCGGATCCTTCGCTTTAATGCTACAGATTCACATATGTCAGCTTAGTTTCTATTCGAGATAACCGTGATCTTGAACACTTGATCCGCTTACTTATGAAGATCTGTGGCTGCTCTTTTGGATAGAACTGTATTTCCCATGTCGACTATTAGTTTCAAGATCTTCTGATTGGTAGGATCTGGATCGGTCGTGGCCGCCTTGAATTTTTCATGAGACAAGCGTTTGGCTTCAACCGGCCGAGAATGAGAAGGGAAATCGACCTGCAATCAGAGTTCAGTATACTTTGGATGGCTTGACTGCTAATGTGTTACCTACCAAGAACAGCTTTTTGAAGTCCGTGGGCAAACTCAGCCCGATCGAGTCCCCTTTCTGGTCGACTGCGGAGTCCCATCCAGCTTCCCGGAGTACTTTCAAGCCATGTCGACTGCGAGAAATTAAGCCAAGAACAAAGAAAGCAGTGCCCCTCATCGTCAAGACTTCAGCACTTTCGGCAATCTTCACAATATGTTGGACGATGTCCGTCTCAAGAAACGGTGCTCCCAATTCCATGGAGCCAACGTTGCCGACAGCCCAGAGGCAGCCCTTGACTTTGAGAAGCGCCTCGGTATCTTCTTCGTCCAATCGAAAGTCTCGAATAGTCCAAGCGAATTCACTGAAGTGGCCCGATTGTTCCAGAAGTCGACATCCCTCTTTCGTCCTCGCAAGTTCTCTGTAGAAATGGGGCGGTACAACTCCAACGTCCTGCAAATCCACGAAATCCTCAGGCGCAAAGCTCCCCCTGCGGGGTTGGTCAACGTAGGCTCTCGAAAGCGCAGCTTCCACGAGACCAACATAGGCGTCGTTCCGCCCTAAGAACCAATCATCCATTTCTTGCGTGATATAGTCGAGGCCGTCCAAGTAATGATAGCCAACTGATGTCGACAAAAATCGTAAAAGTAAAGGTGCTCCAATCTCACCGAGGTGATCGAGAGAAGGTCGGCATTTGACAACATATTCAAGGTAGTCTCGATGGTTGCACGCTTCCTCAAGTATCTTGACGGCAATCTGACATACGGAAACATCAGGATCGTACAGCTGGGTTACCAAGAGCTTAACAACCCAGTCCGCTCTACCCAGTCCCCCTTGAGCGGAAAGATGCACATTTCCAACTGCGTACTTCCGCAGCAGCTTCGTCGCGAATATGCGGATATCTTTAGAACCAGTAGTGAGAGCTTTAGACAGCAGAACTCTCAAATGGCTTTCTTGACTATAGTCGAGGTTACCCAAAAGAGTTTGTATCAGATCGTCCCGATCCCGAAGTTCAATTATATGGTAGAACATGTTGAGCATGTGCCATCGCTCCATCATAGCAAGGCCGTTGGGGTCGCCGCTTAGCGTTCCTAACATGGCAAAGTATCCTCCGCTCAACGTGGTAGCCATCTGCTCTCGCGAAAAAAGAGGCGAGGAGGAGGTCAGTCCGCTCATGCGGTCGACCTGTGCGAGACATTCAGCGACCTGCCTTAAGAATTTGTTCTCCGCCAGGTACTTCGTTCCCTCTGGGACTTGGACTAGAGTGCGCATCAACGCGCATCCAGTCCGAATATAGCGCTGATTCGGCTTGGTGTTCGGAACCATAGAGAATCTGTATTTGAAAGGTCGATAGAATCCTATGAGCCGTTTCATAAACTTTGAGCCCTTTATGGCCTCGTCTAGTCTCTTCGGGTTTGTTAGGGGCCCTTCGACAATACGATGGATCAGGTCCCATTTCCATTTAATGTAGTTGACAGTATTCAGGACGTTTGTCTCCAATATCGCATTGCGAAATTGCGTCTCATCCATGGCGGGACTCAGTCGATCTTTGCCTTGGTCGCCAGACAGAAGTGAAGCAGAAATGTCTACATCGACGTTATAACGCCCTGCTCCATTGGAGTAGCCTACCGAGCGAGCTAAAGTTCGGTTTATGCTCTCAATTTGATATATGGTTGAGCTGCACACGTCGTGGTTCTCGACATCAAATTTGACGGCTGGTGGGAGTAAATGCGGAAGAACTTGGAGTTTCGCGCTGATACGTTGAGGTAAGGAATGGTGTGCCAACTTTAACACCTCTGTCAGAAGCAGTGTGGCTTTCCGCCTGAGTGACTGATCAGTTTCTTCCTCGATGAGATCTGAAAGAGACTGTTCCTGGTTAGAGTATGTACGGAAGGAGAAAGATTCGTGAGAAGCATACCTGTGAAAGTCCGGCATCAATCAGCGTCGCGAGAATCAATGTCGAAAAATGCGCCGTCAAATCAAACCTATCACCATTGCTGTCGTAAAATGCGCGAACTGGTTTTGCGTCGGACTCGGATCTGAGGTTAGCGACTCTGCCATACGTGGTGAGTCGGCGGCCTGCGAGAAAGGAAGATGACCATGAAGGTGGTTTGATTCGGAGGGCATCAAAGAGTAATTCCATAATCAGATTTCTTGCCTGTGGATCTGGGTAGTGAAGCGATTCTAGGAGGGATTGAAGGGGTTTGGCTTCATGTCTTGCAAGGATTATCAACCCGGGCCATGTTTTAAGCATTGCGGAAATGGCCTTGGCAGACGATTTCAATCGTCCATTATGAATCGAGTCCGAAAGGGAGTCAGTAAACGGCGCGAGTACGGCCTCGAGTTCGCATCCTCCTTGCAGGTGTTTTCTGCTGTGTGGTGTATCGAGAACATGCAAGAAGCTTGCAATCAGACTTTCCGACGCGCCAAAAGTCCCCTCTGCTAAAGCATCGTGCAAAGTTGCAAATCCTCCAGCATAGGCGATCAGCTCCGGATCCTTGACCAAGATTTCAGCGAGAGTCATAATAGATATGTTTCGAAGACGGTCCTCATTATGTTCAGCAATGGAGACGATCGTTCGCACAACAGCTCGCGAGATTTCGTGAACGCCGTCTTTCACATCCAGAAAAGCTCGGACGAACTTTAATGCCTGTTCGCGCTCAATGCTAGCTTTGCTCTCCTTGACTAGAGATAGTATCACCAGCTCATCTGTGTGCAGGGACCGGATGATTTGAAGCGACTTTCTATCAGCTATGGCGTATCGAGTCAAGCGGTAGCCAGCCGCTACGACTTCTTTGCTGTCGCTTAAGAGCATGACTTGAACGCGCAAGCCAAAGACGGACCAGGCAAGGTCGTATTTTAGGGTTGGGTGACGTCTAAAGAGTTCGACCAGACTGTTGGCGCGTTCGACATAGTAATCTGGCGCCATCCCTTCAATCTCAAGCGCCTGTAATGTTTCCGCGAGGACGTAAGTAGGGGACTCCATCTCCGCCTCGGCTTCTTCCAATCGATCATCGTCAAGTGTGAGGTCGTTGTTCCGGGAGGGCGACCGCCTGGGGCTACCCCGAAAAAGAGACATCGAAAAGCGATTCCGCGGAGGAGTTGACGGCGCCTGCGCACGTAGTAATTCCTCCTCGAGCTCATGGTGTAGTTCCGCAAGCTTGCGATTGGACGAGCTCAGTTCGGATTCTACCCTCAACCGCTGATCCTTGGTATGTTTCGGGTCCTTGGCCAGAAGTGCCTCAAGCATGTTCTCGGTTCCCGTTTTGATCTTCATCTCTTTGGCGATCTTGTCGCGAATCGCAGCCTGGCGCTCCTCGGTGCTCGACAATTCATCCAACTCAACATTGCTGCTTCCTCGTCGCCTGTAGGTACCATCGGGTCGGGGTGTCACACTCCGCGACGTAGTCATGCTCTTAAGCTCCGAGCTGAAGCTACCAGGACCCCCGAGGGAAGGCGCTAGAGAGCCTCCAGAACCTCCCCGAGGGCGGATACTTGCACTGTTTCCAGACTGTGAGCGACCATTCCTCCCAGGTCTTGACGCGGTCTCGACCCAGCTGCCATTTGCGGAGGCATCTTCCTGGCTGGCATACGACCGTCCATCACCCAGGTCACGGTGCTGGATCGACGTTCCGGAGAAACCTGAATTATATCCGGACGCCATAGGTCTCCATCTAGTCGCAAGTGGGAGAGTGCGTATCACCTATCGCGCAAGAGATAAAGGATGAAGGACCGCATTGAGCTCGAAGGAGGTGTATCAAAAGACTGTATGGATGATGCTGACACGGGTGTCTTGTAAACAAAGGCCGGTGACTGACTTCAGGTCAGAATGAGGCGCTGTTTGGAGAATGACGAGTTCGAAGGGAGGGGATGCGTGCGCCGCGGTCACGGGGGGCAGCTTTCCGGGAGTGAAACAAGACCGTACCGCAAGCTATTCAGATCGGCAAAGGTTCGATGTAGGTATCAGAATAACGGCATCATAGTGTCGCTTCAAAGGTTCGAAGAATACTCCAAGAAGGGACTATACTCTCCCCTGTTGATGGTTTCCAGCTGGATCTCAAGTCTTGGCTACCACTGGCTGACTAACTCGGGTGACAACCTTATCGCCTAAGGCCGCTATTCTTAATTGGGCTTTTGCTTGTACGACAAGTAATAGATCTTGTTCTTCTCGGTGCCCTTTGAGAATTAATGCATAAATTTATGCACCTTGTTTGGCTTAAATTCGGGTTGTCCAAAATGGACCCTGCATATCCGAACTAAAAAGGCTGTTTTGGGATCATTGCTCTGTAGACGTTGATGCACCTCTGGCTGGGGAATATATTCAAGACAAGCGGGCCAGGCACTCTCTGCCAGCTTTAACTTTAGAAGACTAGTTGGTCCGAAGCGGATCCAACACTCAGAGAGGGTTATCAAGAGGCCACAAGAAGCTAGTACAACTGAAAGCAATAGTGATATGATATTCAACTTCCCACTGACAATAGGCAGTAGATGGGCATATAAGATACCTCCCACCGTATCTCTGACTGCCAGCTATCCAACTTCTTTTCTTGCATACTCTGTCCCTTCCCCTGCGAACCACTCTTGTTACGTTTACAAAGATGCCTTCCATACCACAAGACAAGAAATGCCATGGATGCCCTTGCACAGATGACCGTGGTGAGAGGGCCCTTGCCATCTAAGTGCTGTCATCGCATTCATCTTAGCCCAGACTTCGCTTGAAACACCATGGGTGATGCGTATCGGACCGAGAACTGATATGTCTTGCGCATTAGGCCGTGGGATAGGCATGAAACGAACCAAACTGGTGGTGCCGAGGGTTCGACCATTCTGAAAGCTAGTAATAAGATTACTTCACGGGTAACTTCCCAAAGGAAGACTCCGGCAAGCAGTGACTATACAGAGGCGTACATGTTCTGATCCATGGACATTTCCCGCGAGAGATTGAAAGGTTTATGTAGTATCATCTATGCCCTCTTTCTGTCATTCGTGGTTCATCACATCATCATGGTTACCCATCAACTTCCAAAAGCGCTTATCGAGTCCCCGTTGCTGTCTTCTCCAAGATCGTCTTCATCATCTCGTTTCCAAGCTTAACTGCGTCAGGGAAACGAGGCGCGAAGTACTGCTGAATTCGCTCAAAGCGATCACGGTAGGATTCGAAATCGCCAAATGAAACGCAATCAGACCAGGCCTATTGATTGTACGCAATATGTCAGCTATCCTGGGCTTTTGAAGACAGCATGGAAAGCCTCCTGGCCCACGACATCACTGCCCTTAGAACATCAGGCGAGATTTAGTACTCACCCTGGCAGCGAATGTGAACTCTAGATCGTCTGAGCGAAAGGTTTTGTCGTCAATTGCGGTATCCAATGCCTCATCGAGGAGCTTAGGGTTGCGGAATAGATATTCAGTGACCCCAACCACAACCGGAAGAGCTTCACAGAGCAATTAGCAACTCAACATGGAACGATGTAAGCAATGCAGCTGCGGTATTAGCGTCACTCACAGGTGTTGAGCAGATCATATGGTCATAAGGGACGATGCCCAATTTCGACCAACAGTCGACAATTGCAAGAAGACTCAGGTGGTTGTTCGGCGGGTGATACTCCCGAGGCCGGTTCGAGAGGGAGAAGCGATCCAGGACTTCATCTTTGAGGAGCAATTCCTGACCTTCAGTACCGTCCTTGAAGACAGCCGCGCCGGCCGCCTTGACTCGACGTTTCAGCTCCTCTCGCTGTCCACCGATCATCAGTTTGTACAGCTCCGTTACGGATTGGGCATAGGTGCGGATCTGTTCTTTTGCAGCAGGGTTGAGGATGGCCAGGCCAGCATAGACATGCCATTTGTTAGAGTAGATGCGCAATGTGATGTTGATCTTGACGTTTTCAATTCCGCCAACCCAGCGCGACATTTCCCAGGGGAACTGATTGTTTGCTTGCCAAGCCGTTCCCATGCTTAAAAAGGCTGCATGTGTAACCGCTTGGGTATCTGCAGTGATCCGGTCATGCATCTCGCCTGAGAGGTAAACATATTTGGAACCGAACGATGAGAATACTTCTTCGACGAACCGCAAACTCTCGTCCGAGGCACGATGCTGAATCAAGACCTGAAGCAAACCATGTTATTATGCAGGAAAGACTCGCAGTAAGACATGCGTGTCGTACCAGAGGTTGTCCTTTCGGGTTGACCTGGGGTCCATGGAGCGAATGGCAAGATAGGATTTCTACATCTGGAGGAAGATGCTTCTCAAATGCAGCTAATTCAGGCGCCTTGCAGGATGTCTGGCCGCCGACGATCGCACCGACCTTGGTTGCTTTCCACAAGTCAGAAAAATCGATACTAAGAGTGGTAGTATCCTTTGCTCGAACAAGGACATACATGGCCCATACTGTGCAACTACCCTGTCGATGACAGCAGCCTCTACACTGTATATAATATAATCGCTAATTCTTGAAACCAGGTGTCCATTCGGGAGTATAGTGACACCTTGCTATATATACGATGAGTATGGACAGCATTAGCTGTGAGCAAACGACGTACTTGAGAAGCAAACTCCTCCTTTAGACGTTCATAATTCTGAGGCAGATCACATGCATTTACCCTTATAAACAGATAGTGGTTAGTGAATTTCAGCCGCTTGGACAGACTTAGTACCAGTACGATTGAACCTGAGAAACTTGAGAGTTAGCACTCAGTTTGAGGACGGCAATATCAGAGCTTTGAGAACCAAGGAATCCTTAATGAAGATTTCAGACAAAAGAAATAAAGGTAGCTGAGATTTTACATCATTGACAACCTGACAGTCAACCACATACCAGAATGGCGTAGCGGTGCAACCGTCAGGTCATGCTCGAGCCAAATGCACTCAAGTCATCATGTAAAAGGAAAAGAAAGAAGAGAGAAAAGAGAGGATGTCTTACCTATTACAAGCAAATGATGGTGGTCATTAGGGAAAAGTGATGATTTACCTCCACCCTGCGAGACTGAGCCGCTGGGCATACATCTTGCCCATGTCTCCCAAACCAATGATGCCAATTTTGGCATTTTCCTTGGTGAGGACCATATTGATTCTTATTTAGCTGCACCAGGCTAACTAATGAGCGAAAGTACAGCCAAGACAGTAGACAGAAAAGAACACGGATATCTCTAGAACCATCAGGCTATGCTGACTATTCAAATAAAAGAGTGATTCGAGAAAAATCCGCACTGTTGATGTCTGATTGTCCAGAAGATGAGAATCCGACAGTGCGGTGGAAAATTTGACTCTTAGCTTAAAAGCTCCTGGCTGACCGCCCACCGGCCCGACTGCTGCCGTCTCACCCATTCTTTCTGCCTTTCTGCCTCAGGCTGTAACTCGCTTGACCGCCGCGAATTAACTTCTGGCCAATCAGCGCGGTGCAGCATTCGTAGGGCACACACAATCTCCACTTTTGTATATCCAACTCCATCAGCGGATCTTGATTTTCTCTTCTTCTCTTGCTCCATATTCCATCCCACGACCAGCACACCCAAAATGCCTCCCAAGAAGACCACCACTGCCGCCAAGGAGAACGTCTCTCTCGGTCCTCTGGCCGGAGATGGTATGTTTGAGTAATGCCGAATTTTGCGCATACTTGACTCTAACAGTCGTGTACAGGCAAGCTCGTTTTTGGCGTTGCTCGTATCTTCGCCTCTTTCAACGATACCTTCGTCCACGTTACCGATCTGAGGTTCGTTTTTGACCTTCGCAACTTTTGGCCTCGTGCGATTGATGCCCTCGAAGAGCGATGCGCAATGGGGTCTCCTCTCAGACAAGGAACTAACATGGTTCTCAAATAATAGTGGTCGCGAAACCATCTGCCGTGTCACCGGTGGTATGAAGGTCAAGGCTGACCGTGACGAGTCTTCTCCCTATGCTGCCATGTTGGCTGCTCAGGACGTCGCTGCCCGCTGCAAGGAGCTCGGCATCAACGCTCTCCACATCAAGATCCGTGCCACTGGTGGTATGTAGCGAAACATTAGGTGACGGTGTGGGTTGGGACAAAAGAGCTAATTATATCACAGGTAACGGTACCAAGACCCCGGTCCCGGTGCCCAGTCCGCTCTCCGTGCCCTTGCTCGTTCTGGCATGAGAATTGGCAGAATCGAGGACGTGACCCCCACTCCTTCCGACTCTACTCGTCGCAAGGGTGGTCGCCGTGGTCGTCGTCTGTAGACGTGTGCGGGTGTGTCTTTGTCCATGTCGTGCAATTCGTTTGCACGGCTGGGCTGGAGGCTACCGCCAGGGCCTTGTGCCCGCGGATGTGGATGGAATAAACGCGAAGAACGGCCCTTATCGCCTGGTCTTCAATTTTTCTCATGTCCAAAAGTTTTTGTCTTCAGTTCGGGGTCTCATAGTCTGTTAGCCAGTATAGCAGCTATCTCTGCCAAAATAACCAGAATTGGAGCATACTCAGACTTTCGTGATGTAGCGGGGTCATTGTAGAAGGTTGATGTAGATCGCCATATAAATCCTAGCAGTCTACCGTATCATACAGATGTCGGTTTAACGTAAAAATGGAATTAAAGATGGATCTGCAAGTCAGTTCAAAGCCGATCTGAAGGCTGAATGGTGAAGCGGCACTTGTTGAGGTGACTGCTAGTGTGCGCGGAAGTTCAAATTCGATAAGAACTTTGGAGCTTTAGCCACTCAATCTTTTTCACCAACCCATGAAGCACAATCATTCTCCTTTAGAGTATTCCAGTCATCAGATCCTACTAACTCTGCCACCGCCCGCCTCTTTTGACGTTGTCGCGGACAAGTCCACCTGAAGGACGGCTGATGCTATGTACTGACGTCAAGGCTCAGATCTGTATCCGGGATCAATTACACAACGGCAGATCCTTGAAAGGCTTGAACAGAGCAGTCGAATTTGCTGCCTCTCCAAGTGCTCGCTGAAGTTGAACTTACAAGAATAGCACTGCATCCACGTCCACAGCCATGCCTCTTCCTCTCTCCCCTCCCCCACCATCCTCGTCCCCACCTTCCGCCAAAGACTCTCGTCGGCATTGACCTTGTCACCTTCACATCGACACCAAATTTTCATGGCATACGAGACCTACCGAATGGTTGGCACTTTTTATACACTGGAACAACAGAAAGCCTTTCTCTAAGATCCGGGGGTTGGTTCTACGTTGGCGATATCAGCGTCTTTGACGAGAGCCACAATGGGGCCATAGTACCGGCGTCATCCAGAAGTTTGGGGTCGGATATTTTTGTGTGGAAATGGAATTGGGAGACAGAAACACTGGAGCCTCTGCGAGCAAGCAGCGACGCAGACAGGCAGGAGGCGATGCGACATAAAGCGAATTTAGGCGCTGTCTGGCAGCGTGGTGGGCTGTTCCGGTACCGCAGTCGTGTCTCGTCATCGCGGACATCGGAGTCCCAGTCGCAGGAGCAAAAGGAGCAACAGAGTCCAGTTCAGGAAGACATTGACGAAGATGACGAGGACCAGGGCCGAAAATATTGGGCGGACTTGACGAACAATATTTCCCCAAGGCTTCTGTCGCGGATTGTTGGCGACCCTGAACTGGACGTCGATGGTCGGCCTCGGTGGATGGTGACATCCGGTAGCTCTGCAGAAAGGGATAGTGATAAGATTCCAGGGCTTCCCGATCCCAACTCAGAGGATCTGGCTAAGGTTACCGGCGAGCAGGAAACTGCATTCTCGTTTCTTCCTGTTGACCTCAAGCGCACATGGAGAGAAGGAGCTATTGGACGGGAGAGGACCGAAGCGGCACAAGATCGTTCATGGGCACTGGGAGACCTGATTCAACGACACTCCAGTGGTGGAGACAGTGGAGAAAAGACGGGGGAGGCACAGATCCTGGGTGAACTTCAATTCAGTTTCTTGATGGTTATGACGTTGATGAACTACTCATGTCTGCAGCAATGGAGAAGATTGCTGGAACTAGTCTTGACCTGCCAAAATGCAGTCAAGGATCGTGAGCCTTTCATGGTGAGCGTGCTCCGATTGCTTCTGCTACAGCTCGAACGGTGTGATGATGTCGAAGGTGGACTGTTCGATATTGACGGAGCCGATGGCGGGGAATTTCTGCGCAAACTCCTGATGAAGTTCAGGCGAACCCTGTATGAAGTCGTCGACAACCCTGGTCCTACGCTGAAGGCCGAATTCGACAAGCTGGCTACGTGGGTCAAAGACGAATACGACTGGGAATTGGACCGCGAAGCCTTTGTTCGCCGGGGCATGGTCCAGCTGGAGGACGGTGAAGAAGTTGAGCTAGAAATGGAAGATGATGGAGACGACGAGACAGGGGAGTATGCTCCCCTCGTTGTCGATCCCGGCGAAGGGAACACAACGCAGGATCTGGACATGGATAATGTGGGTACGCCATAGGCGAGTATCCTCTGCTTAATGACACTCTAGTATGTAATTCAGTCGACTCTTTACACGCCATCGCGATTCATTATTGAGTCTGTGCTCCATTCACCTGTGCATCTCAAGTAAGCGACTTCATGATGATTGGAAAGACTCTATACCACCAGCAGTTATGTGACGAGGGAACAAATTGATCGGACACCTTCTGGGCGAGGTACCATGCTCACACCTCACTCAGGGCGAATTAAATCAAGTCATTTTAACAATCGTCAAGGATCAATCCTCCATGCTAACAACAAAAAAATTTGAATGGGTATTTACAATTCCAAGAGCTAAAGCTCGGTACATATGTATAGAAAACTGGCGTGCTCAGCATGGAAACACCGTTCTAACAATCATCCCGCATGCAACACTTTTGTCACTTTGAGTCTATGTCTATTGGCAAAAAAAGGGATGCATCCACCTTAATTTTCGACCTCTCCTTCAATCACATAAGACCATTCATGGTTCTCCTTGCCATACATGATGGCGTCCAACCAAGATCTGATCTGGGCAGCGTATCCTGCACGCTCAATGCCCGCATCAACCATGTCCATGTCGAGATCACCGTTCCTGACGAGCTTCACAGGAGTGATAAAGTACTATTTTGTATTAGCGAAAGGATGCGTGACAGTTGTCGAGCGAAGAGTGACTTACAGCAGTGCCGGAGACGAATGCCTCAACAATGCGCCCTTCCTTCCAGGCCTGCTCAACATCTCCGATGGTAAGCGCCTTCTCCACAACATCAACAGGTGCAAGGCTTCCGACAGGCTTGGCCAATCTTGACCGCGCCAGCTCCAGCACGCTGCGACGGGTGACACCGGCGAGGATAAGCTGGTTCTCAAGGGGTGCGGTGACGAGCTCGAGTCTGCCGGTATCCTTGTTCTCCCAGACAATGAAGAAATTGCTGGCGCCGGCCTCGGTCACTTGGCGGTCCTCTCCGAACAGCCAGAGGACCTGGTCAAAGCCCAAGGCTTGAGCTTGACCGTGAGCTGACAGGGAAGGGCCATAGTTAGCTCCGAGCTTCGCGTAACCGAAGCCACCAGGCCAGGCACGGATGGTTTCAGGGCGGGAGGCGAGAAGCTTCAGGCCGGGCTTGGTGCCAGGCTCGACGGGCTTCTTGGACGGGTCAGGCCAAGGCACGGCAATAATGAAGAGAAGGGCTTCTTTGGGTGTTTGCACGCCCAGATGAGGGCCGCTGCCGATCAAAGTGGGACGAAGGTAAAGGAATCGACCGGGTTGGTCCTTGGGGAGCCAGCCTATTAGGGAAAGAAAAAGTCTTGTTAATCCATGTCAAGAATTCCTTTGGAGCAGGGGTGCATACGGGGTCCATCGATCTGCATCAACTTGGCGATAAGCACCTTGAGCTCCTCAAACCGAAAGGTGGGCAAAGAAGTTCTCTGGGCACTCATGACAAGTCTCTCGCCATTGCAGTCTGGCCGGAACAGACGCAATTTGCCGTCGTATCCTCGGTACACCTTCATGCCCTCGAAGCATTCCGTAGCATAGTGCAGGCAGCCGGCGGTCGGGGGAATGCTGAGATTCTCGTATGGTTTGATTTCAGGGGTCTCCCATCCATTGTTGACGGTCCATCTGACGGTGACCATGTGGTCTGTACAGTGCGAGTGACTGAGTTCCTCCGGGGAACCGGGTTCAGGAACCAGACGCAGGTTGGTGGACCGAGTTACCTTGACGGTCGAGGCATCAAGCTCTCGTACTGTCTGCGCGATTGAACCCATGACTGGCTTGGTGTGATGATAGCTGAGACGGTTCGAAAATTGGATTATCGCAGAACCCGGTTATGACGAAAGGTGCAAAGGTCGAGCGAGTGATGAAAGGGGTTCGAGGTCTATTGACTTTCAGTCGGGACTTGTGAGTCACTATCAGATCCGGCGGTGGTGCCGAACTATAACAACCGCAGGAACCAAGTTGAATCCGCCTGCGATAACGGAGCCTGAGGGATACAAACAAACGATGCCAGTCTACAGAGGAGGACAACCCGCTTAGATTGAGTCCAGATGATTGTTACTATATAAATGATTGACTATCTACTCCATGTTTTCTCCGATTGACAAAAAACCGGGAGGGGCGAAAGCAAAAGTTTTCTTGCCGAGCGGAGCCATTCTCTGGGACTTCGCCATCGATATCCGCAGCACAGAGTAGAATCTATTGCGATGATCTAGCCGTTATGTTCTCTTGATGGATCTCTCAATGTGGTTACAGGATGCTTCTGAGAACATCTATCTTTATCAACATCCCTATCTAGCAGCTTTGTTCATGACAACAACATAAATTGCTTCATCGCTTTCCCTGTTGATGACTTGCAGCAGCAATAGGACTAAACCGCGCTAGCCTACTTCCGGTATCGCGCGACTGCGTAAATGGGCAATATTCAGGCCGTTTGTAGTAGGCGGAGAGATCTATGGCACTTACCGCCTTCTCTTTTACGAAACCTGGCAAGGGATGCCGATTCTAGCCGGGCGGCTATCAAGGGAGACGTTTGATTCCTGCAAGATTTCAGTGAAGATTGAAGTACCGACAGTCAGATACCCTTCAAGCATTCACTAAGTGCCAAGATCTGAGATACGACTAAATGATTGGGTTAACAAGGTAGAGCTATGTATTTCTTAGTCTTCTATCAAGTCCAAGACGCACAGTGACGACTAAACGCACCAGACACTGATCTGAGCACCTGCGGAAGAACAACAGACGCTGTTGAATAACCTTCATTGGTCAAGACTTCTCTCCCAGGAATATGGAACTGGATCCAATAGTTCAGTTAGTACTAAGCTTACTGAGGACATCTTCATTGTTGAACCAAGTATCTTCCCAGCCGAAGTCCGGACCTTTCCCTTATCAGTTGAAGCCATAGATACCAAACCCCATGATTCGTCACAGCGGGCCCTTCACCGTCAGACTGGAACAAGGTGCTTGGTAGAACCAGTCCATTGGTACAGACCTTGATCTGGCAGTGATATAATGTGTACAAACGACGCAGCTTGGGCCTCAATGACCACGATCGTGGGTAATGTACCTAGGCGTATAGCACTTATCACTTCCTCAGCACTGGGCCTCGAATCCATGGTGGTAGGTACCGAACCTCACCTCAACCATTTCGAACATGATGTCCAGAGATCATCCATACATCCACCACAGTCTTAGATTTAGATGCTTTGGCATCTGTCACACTACAAACTCGACAAGGAACCTACCTGTGCATCACCAAATTGAAGTCCACTAGGATGATGGGTATCTGAGGTCGAGCTGTTAGTGGCTGGCTACTACTAACCGGATACCCTAAATGCTGAAAAGCAATTCCCATCATCGTTGCGTAGTCAGGTAAGTACCTTGTACTGATGAATATGAAGCCAAGTGATTAGATAACTCTCCAAGCCGTCAAAGGGATTGATGTGCATAAACACCTGCCTATTCTATGGGTACATCTGCCCTGACTCGTGATCCATGAGGCAAACATCATCTCAGCGTGATGTAAAGTTCCATATTACGGAGTAGGTATCAATATCCGCCGCGGATGTGATCTGGCAGTCCTCAACCATCAAAGACCTAAGATTCAGGTGTTCTGTACGACTGCACAGGAAAGATAGGTCGAGGCTGGGGTCCCCTATTTTCCCGTTTTGGTCGTCCTTCAGATAGTCGGATTGGAGGCTCGTGGGGAATATTAGTATTCGGATACAGAAGTTAATAGGCCAGAGGCTGTAGGACAAATTAAATAGTAGTGAGAATACCAAGGCCATGGTTGTCTCTTAATACTTCTTTCAATCAAGAGGCATTGCTATGATAGGCGGATGCAAGGAAAGCTACATATCGCCACGGCTGTGACGTTCCTGTGCAACGACCAGTCAGGTTGACGATGAGTGCAACGGACAACTTCCGTTGAATGGTTGCCATAGGACATTATTTTATATTTTTGAGTCAGCCATACTCGCTGGTTAACTAGTGGTTGAGGTACTCAGCTGAGTCGCATTTTGGTGGTCGGCTCTACCCTTGGATTATGGATAGGTACGTACCTAAGCTACGGGTCGGTTGTGATATCCGCAACTCTGTTGCCACGCAGGTCCACGCTTCACGGCTCCACATTATGAGTAGCCAAATGAAAAAGGACCAAGACGAGCAAGAAGGGCGGGTCTGGCTTGGTTGTCATATTGACATCAAATGCGGACACCTCTACTTGGATGCTAGGTTAATGTATACTCTGTACTCGTTGGCTACCCCCTTTGCACGAGCTAGGTAGACTGGCGGGTCTGATGTAAGTCCAGGTAGACAGACTTGACACTGGATAGATAGACATACAGACAGACAGAAGGCCCAAGCAATGAGAACGAAGAACAACTTGGATGGAACTCGAACCCCACACTATCCATGGCGTTTCGGATCCGGTGGTCTCTTCCGCCGTATTATCTCATCCCTTTCCATGTTTCTCCACTGCCAGATGACTAGTAGATGAATTTGCATCAATACCTTTATTTTATGCACCTGTGAGTCCTGGACGTTCGGTCTGTTAGTGCGAGTGGGTTCATCAAGGTCGAATTTCTTGCTTGTGCGTCTTGATGGACATAGTGCGATACCAAAGAAGTAAAACCCGCGTCAATACAATTTGCTGGGTAAAGCCCGTTGTAAGGTCGGTAGTTGACCAATTCGGAACATTCGAGGAAGGGTTGTGCGGTATCGTTTGGGTTCCGAAATTAATCAAGGGGATGGGCACATTTTGTATACCTCAACACACTGAGATGGCGCTTGGTTGTATAGACAGTTGTAATCGAGCCAGGCTGGATGGCATGGCCGTTAAAGTCGTCAGGCGCGTGCCTACTCGGTTAGAATGAGAGGAAGAAGGATGTGATGGAACTGATGGATGGCGGAGAGCGCGGTGGACCAGAAGTTTGAATATATACACAGAGGAAAGTTAGATGCTAAGCCAGCAATCAGCTGATGTGGACTGATTGCTCACTCGTGGTGGTGTATGAAGGTTACCAGGTATGGTGTAGCCTGGTCCCTCTAAAAGGGGGTCTTTTTCACTGTTGGACCAGAAACATTGAGCTTCAGGTCTCTGTCCATGGACAGCCCGATCCCTGCCCACAGGAGACTGTCCACAACGGTCTCAATTCGCCTGTGGTTGTCTCGTACCTTACTTTACCTCAGCATGCAAAAAGGAGGCTCCATCACTGTTAGTAGTACCTTTGGTCCACATATGATTTAGTAGGTAGTAGGCTCGGACCACAGCCAAATAAGACTGGCTGGTTTGAGTGCGTCTTAACTTCTTCCGGCCAATCCAGGCCTGTTACCAGCAAGCTGTGTTGACTATCGGTACCAACGCCATGTCTATGCCTCGCTACCTTTCTGGATTTCCCTCATCCTTCAAATATTGCCACAAAGAGTTCCTATCGGCCGTAGACGGCAGTTCAGTCACCTTTTCTTCAACAAGCTTCCCCAGCATCTGCAACGAGGCTCCCTACTGCCATACCGACGCCCACAACCCCGAGTAAGTCCGTCCGTCAGTCCTTCCTGTCGCTACTGCGCTTCGAGAGGATTGGTCAATTGAAGCGAGACACGATAACAAGTGGGGTCTGGAGCAAACTGTGATCGTCACGTATGGAGTTCCCTCTCTGGTCCAAGTGAAAGCTGCATGAGTCTGGATAGGTTATCACTGCCGCCAAGCCCTTATTGTTTGTCAGTATCAACATCCCATTCCTCTTTTACTAAGGAGCCTCGTCCCGCAATTACCAGTTCTTCTGGAGTGAATCAAAGAAGAGAAAAATGGAATAATGTTGCGCCCTGAGACCGTCTGTGTTCGCGTCGTGCGGTGAGACAGTTTCCTTTCTGCCGAGAGTGAAGGTGTGGCCCGAGATGGCATCCGATGATCAGGACAAGCATCTTCCAACCCTCGCCCCGGGCCCACGAGGTCCCATTACGCTGAAAACTACCACCGTATCACGGCCAAAGAAGATTTCCACAGCGTGCTTACCATGTAAGCAGGCGAAAAGAAAGGTAGGACTAGAGGTTTTCTCTGTCAACTATAATCGCAGAACAAACGGGACAGGTCAATTAGGCAAGGTCTTTCCGCGTCGTTTCCACCTCCTTTGGCTTCAACCAACCCTAATACGCCAGCTCATAGCTAATGGTCATTGACTTTCTTTTGAAATTGCAGTGCAGCGGCCGACCACCACCCTGTAAATCCTGCAAGACCGCGGATGCCGAATGCGTCTTCGATGAGTCCCTAGACCTGAGGCGAAAGGTCGCGGCTAAACGAAACCTCGAGGAGTTGTCCTATTACCGAAGCCTGTTATACGCTCTCCTTGAGTCACTTCGCAATTCAGACGAGACCGAATTAATCAAACTCCTGGATCACATACGCGGTTCTCCATCGCTCAACAGCATTGCGGCCATCGTGGCAGGGCCGACCATAGACCCAAGCGATGTCAGTTCCGAGGACCTCAAAGGTGGTTCTGAGGAGTCCAGCTCGCAAGCCGGCTCGCAGGAACCCGTATACCCTGATATACACTCTCGAATAACCATGGAGAAGCTTTGCGATATTCCTCTAGTCCAGGTCCCTGCTAAGCCTTGGACAGCCGTCACCGATGATAGTCAACTTGTTTCGCATCTGGTATCTTTATACTTTACCTGGGACAACCCACTAGTGCAGATCGTGGATCAGAAGGTCTTTCTGGAGCATATGAAAGCAGGGAAGACGAACTCGGAGTTCTGTACGCCGTTACTGGTGAACAGTGTTCTGGCCATGGCAAGTGTACGATGTCTCCCCGACTCTGTTGAAGGCTGCGTCCAGTTTTTGACTTTGGCAGCTGTACTCTGATTTCCCTGATGTCTTTGCTGTTCCCTCAGAAGTGGCTTCGCGCGGCCGGCATTTTTTGATGGAAGCAGAGAGACTTTGGAGAGCCGAAGAAGGCCAGACTTCTCTGGCGAATATCCAGGCGGTAGTCCTGATGAGTTATGTGTATGTCGCCTGCATGGAGCGTTGTCGGGCTGTAACGTCTCCAACTTCACTAC